GAATATATGTATGTGTGTGTGTATATATACATGTGTGTGTGTGTGTATATATATATATATATATATATATATATATATATATATATATATATATATATATATATATGTATGTGTGTGTATGTGTGTGTATATGTGTGTATATATGTACATATGTAGTGTGTATATAGGTATATGTATGTGTATGTATGGATGTACATGTATGTGTATATATGTATATTTATGTATACGTATATGGATGTATGTATGTGTAGATGGATGGACGTATATATAGATGTGTATATATATATGTGTGTGTATGTTTTGGTATGTATGTACTCATATATATTTGTATATGGGAGTATATGTATGTGTATATATACTTAGATGGATAGATATAGGGATACATTGTCTATTTAAAAAATTATCTAGAAATGTAAGGTTTTAGGTATATATGTTTATGTGCATGTATGCGTATGTCTATGTATATATGTGGGTAAATGTGTGTATATATATATATATATGAAGGACTGGATGTGGATGGATGGATGTGTGTATATATATGCATGTATGTGTGTGTATGTATTTTTTGTATATTTTTGGTTTTTATATATATATATATGTATGGATGTGTGTGTGTGTGTATATATGTGTGTATGTATATATATATGTGTGTGTGTGTGTGTGTGTATATGTGTATATATGGGTATGTGCATGTGTATGCGTGTATATGTATGTGAAAAGTGTGTGTATATGGATATAGATGAATATGTGTATGTGTTGATATGTGAATATATTTTTATATGTGTGTACATGGGTAGATGTATGTGTGTATGTGGGTACACGCGTATGTGTATGCATATACATGTATATGTTATTGTGTATATTCGCATGTGTTTTTGAACATAGAAATATAGGTCCTTGCTGGATTAGATAATCGTTATATTTATCTTCATATATTTATATTTGATTTGTAACCTGTAGTCGATATTAAATTTGTCAAATTTTCTCAATTACAAAGCGGCCCTTTAAGTAAATGCAATTTTACTTTCCTTCGTCCCATCTCTCTCCCCCACCTCGTCACCACGAAATGTATCTTTATGCATTAGACATCTGTCAACATTCATTTTTTTTTCTCTTAATTAAACCCCTTCCACCCATCTCTCCTAAAATTCTCTCTGTTAAGGTTTAATCTCCCTCCTCCTCATACTTACACTCTCTCTAAATTCTGTTTTTATTTCCAGAGTTGTTTTTTTTCTGTTTTATTTTTGAATTTGTAGGTCTGATGAATTGGATCGTATTTACGATTCCAATGGAATAAATGTTGACCATGGAATATTAGTGTTTAAACCTTTTATATATATATATATATATATATATATATATATATATATATATATATATATATACACACACACACACACACACAAAAGAAAAACCAATAATCATATATTAATATACAGTAGCAGCCATAATATAAGGAACAGAAACAACAAAGACATAAATATGTGTATTACTTAAAAAGTAATGCATGATTAGCAATGAAATTTTTCCTGAATAAAGATTAGGGTGTAATGCATAAATATTATACAAAGTTACAAAAATTTACATAATAGTTTTTTTTTAAATAAAGATTAAATGGAATAAAGGAAATAAGCTACTGGACAAAAGTTAAGGAACAATCTTGTTAATACTTGATTGTGAACAAAATATCAACAAAATTTAATATTTGGTAAACATCCCCTTATTTTCAATGACTTCTCTGCATCGTCGACCACACAATCTAATTAATTTCTTGCAAAAATCAGCAGTAATTCCCTCCCATTCATCTTTCAATAACTCCCATAGGTGATCCTGGTTTTTCGGGTTTCTTTTCTGAGTCCTTTCTCCAATTATCTTCCAAACATTTCTATTGGATTCAGGTCGGGGCTCTGGGCTGGCCACTTCATTAGGGTGATTCCTTCTTCTTCAAATAAAGCCATAACCTTCTGAGCCTTGTGGCAAGGTGCATTGTCCTGCATGAAAATAGGAGATTCATAAAGATTATGGTGTAATCTTGGTACCACATGCTGCTGAAGAAGCCTTTTGTAAATCTCAGCATTGATATTGCCATGTACGTGGATGATAGGGCCAACTCCTGCAGATGAAATCATTCCCCACACCATCACACTGCCGCCACCAAACTTAACATTGACACATTGAGAAGACAGTCTTTCACCTGCTCTACAGCGTACGTAAGTTTTGCCCTCAGAACCAAATATAGTAAACTTGGACTCGTCATTGAAACGAACTGTATCCCATTGTGCGTCAGTCCAAACAACATGTTCTCTCGCATACTCCAGGTGTGCCCTTTTGGTTTTGTTTTGAAATGAGAGGCTTCGAAGCTGGAATACGGGCATGCAATCCTGCATTTTTTAACCTGCAAGCAACCGTTTTCCTTGAGATCTTATCTGTCTCTTCATTAAATTTACGGGCAATTGATGTAGCAGTTTCAAAACGGTTTTTTGTAGATATTCTAACAATTCTTCGATCTTGTCTTTGTGAAGTTGTTGGAGGTCTGCCAGTTTTTGGTTTTGCATCTAACGTTTTATCAGTTTTATACCTGCTGATTACACGATGAACGACACTTTTAGACCTATGAACAATATCAGCAATTTCTGAAATTGACTTTTTTCTTGATAGTTAGCGATAATGAGTTTTTTTTCTTCAAAAGAGAGCGTTTTGCATGTAGGATTTGCCATATTGCTTAAAAATAAAGTCCTAATGATAGATGAACTTTTACTTATTGTTGAAAAGCTCCATTGAGTTTTTTAACAATGTAAATTAAAAGTTTATGCAAATTATTAATATCGTTCCTTAACTTTTGTCCAGTAGCTTATTTCCTTTGTTCCATTTAATCTTTATTTAAAAAAAACTATTATGTAAATTTTTGTAACTTTGTATAATATTTATGCATTACACCCTAATCTTTATTCGGTAAAAATTTCATTGCTAATCATGCATTACTTTTTAAGTAATACACATATTTATGTCTTTGTTGTTTCCATTCCTTATATTATGGCCGCTACTGTATTTATCATTTTACCTCAAGAAAGGTAATAAAGCCACAAAATTCTAAAACATAAGGGGTTACTGAGTGTGACAGAATATAAGAAAAAAATAAATAAAAAACACTATAAAGAGAGAGAACAATAAAAGAAAAGGAATTAAGACATTTCAATTTTTGAAGATCAAAGTTCAGTAGAAAACAAGAGGTCAGAAGAGATTTCCACAAGTGAGAAGTACTAGAGAAGAAACTGTTAGCATAGAACTTACAGTTACATCTAACCATTTCAAATGTAAAATGACAAGAATTTGCTGCTAATCTCGTGCTGCACTTAAATTTATAGAGCCTAGGTATCATAGAGGAGTGTTCATCAGAACAATTACCATGAAAGTATTTATAGAAAAGGCAAACAGAAGCTACGATATGCCAGTGGGAAAGTGACTGAATATATCATTTTTCAAATAAGAATTTGGTTTATAAAAATTCATCGAATACAGAAAACACTTACAATTTTTTTATGCTTTTCTTGGAAGCTTTCTGATGTCCAAATCGTGCGCAACTTGTCAACCTGAAATAATCAAAAATTTCAATAGAAATTAAAAAAAAATTTTTTTTAAATTCTAATGTGAATTCAGCAGTAAAAAGGAAAATGTTTTAATATTCACCTTAAATACATTTTACAATATTTCTTATTTAATCCATTATCTCATCATATATGATCATAAGCTTCAATTCAAATATTTGTGAAAATATCATTTTACAATATAGAGAAAATTGTTAATATTCTAAAACTTAAATATTTGAGGATTTACTAACATTTGAATTAAAATCTAGAAAGAAAAATTAAGCAGAAATAATTTCTCTTAAAATTTTAAATCACTAAGTGACATTTTGTTAGTTTCCACAAGGCAAAGCCTATTTTGCAGTTCATTACAAGGTTATTTACACATATGTAGAATAGCAGTGTGATGTAGTGCAATGCATAATGGGCTTGGCATTAAAAGTCAGAGAGCCAAGTTTGAATTCCAGTTGGGTTCAGTCTGTGCAAATAGCCTTGAGAAAGCTATGAATCCATCTCTTCTTCCCCCACCTAATAGTTGAATAGCAGAACAGACTAAAGGTCCTACATCCTTGGTTGGCAACCAGCCTACCCCAGGAAAATTTTCTCTCAAGTTAGTCATGAATCAAAAAAGATATGATCACTCAAGCATGTATCAACTATGGTATCTGACTGATTGACTAATAGAATAAACATATTTAAATAAATTTTTCACTTAAACATGTTTTATTGAATAGAATGGATAAAGAATGTTTAAAGCTTTTTAGTGGCTTGAATGAATAAGTTGCTTGATGGAAACTTGTAAAGGAACTTGCAGAAATTGTGTGTTATCTTTCAAGTACATTAAACCATCAATGGTCATTTTCAAATTTATATTGAAAACCTTTAGCACTTTGTAGGCAACTTCAGTTGTCAAACAAAATGTTTGTACAGTCACAGCATGCAACTTGATCATCAGACAGTTGTGCTTGCACTAGTGTTGTCATATCCAGGAAAATGACTAACTGAAAATTGAAAATGATGCTACTGCAGTTATCTGGTCACTTATACCCAATGGAAGAAATGAATATTGCAGAGTGCTAAAGGTTAATAGACAGGAGTTTGAAATGAGTGTGGGTTCACATGATACAGTGATGGAATAGATTTTCTTATTGCAGTTGAATTGGCAGAGTATTGGCAACCATAATTCGACAGTAATTAGAAGTGGTGCCATGGATTTATGTTAAGTAGTGTTTATATGCAGCATTTTGCTTGAAGAGAAATGATTGGTTTTTCTTAAAAAAAAATAGCATTAGTCTTTTGCAAAATTTTTTTTTTTTTTAAATGGAGAAATGTTTTTGAATACAGTTTGTGGTAAGCTGTTTTCTGGGACAATTTTCTTGTCAATGTTCAAATTGCAGCATGAAACTAAATACTTACAACAGTAACTTGGTCAGCCAGCCATTTTTCATCCATCGCTACAAGGAGCGAAATTAAACGTATGGCCTGGTACTGCATCTCCGCTTTGACATGCTGTGCAGGCGGCATATCAGGGGTGCTCTGAAAAAGCAAAACACTATCAAGGAAGTAGTCTACTTTGACTAAAGAAAAAAAAAAAGAAGCCATAAACATTGTCTAGTATCAACTAACTCATTTAAAAACAGTAAACTTTCAGTCATTTTTTAAAATTTTATTTTAATTGTTTTTAAAAGATTTTTACTATTGTTCCATCATATTAGTATTGCTATCATATGTCAATATACACAACTGATTAACCTTAAACACTCTTTAGGCAACTTCAGTCACCAAGGAAAGCATGTCCTCCCACTGCAGTTGATGCCAATAACAGTATATTTAAATTTTATGATTATTTTGTCACATTCTGCTATAGCAAAGGCAAAAAAAAAAAAGCCTTGACTTAAATCAAGATCAAGGCTACTGCAGTTTGTATTTGAGGAAACACCATATATAGTGGAAGGAAAAGCAACATTTATAAACTAATGTAGAGTGCTAAAGGTTAATTAAACAAAAACACACACAAAATAAAGAAATAGTTCCCAATGAGTGTCTTGTATCCAAAAATTCATGAGTTCATTTTTCCTTTTTTTCACTTCAACGAAAGAAGCTTCAATAATTAAGTAGAGTCTTATTTTTTTTTTACCTCATTATAGAATTCCTAGTGAAAAATCTTAATCTCAAACTTTAAAAAAAACAAACAAAAAAAAACTCCTTCCTTAGTCATCACACGAAGATGACAAAGAGAATCAAAGGGAAAAAAGAAAAAATAATGATTTGTGCTCCTCTTGAACATCAAAACTTCAAAAATAACAGGTACCTCACCCAGCAGGAATTAATTCTTCAGACAGGTTAGGAACTTCAGGTGTTCCAAGAACCACAGAAACTACAGGTACTAATAGCTCAACCAAACTTAATAAAAACTTCACCTCACTGTTGCAGCAAAGCAGAAAAAAAATGTAGGCATCCTGGGTAACTCTTGTCTCATCTGTTACCCTCAATGCATCATTATACAAAATGCTCAAGTAAAATTTATCCAGTTTGTTTTTGTATTTATTAATTTCTAAAACTTTAATATTTTAGCTTTTATTCATTTTTGTTACAACCTGTACTGCTTACATTAAAAACAAACAATTAAAGATTGAATGTACCAAAATAAATATCATTTCCTAAATATTTTAATGGCTTGTTTGTTATGTTTTTTTTTTTTTTCGTTTTTTTTTTTATTATACTCATAAATGATAAAAAAAATATTGAGATATTCAGAACAATTTAAAATTATTTCTGAATGATTAAAGTTGTTTTTCGGAGCATTTCAATTATTTTCATTCTCCTTAAAAACAAAAGTTTATCTTTTCTCTATGCATTTTTACAATCAACAGACTGCATAGCCTTTTTGTCTATGGCCACTTCATAATAGTAATTAATTTTTCTTCAGCACTTGTAGCCAAAGGAATCTGGATTAATATTTGGATATAAAATTGTCCTCTGGACAAATGTCACAAAAATTATGACAAATGTGTCAAGTCAGTCTCTATCTCTTTAGGGAGACTTCTCTTCTGGGTAGCTGATTCAAAACATGTTTGTTTTTTTTTTCCTGGTCCTTTATTCCAGAGAATTCATAAATGTTATTTTGGCAACCACCCTGGTCTCTTTAATGACAAAGTTTTTATTTTTCTGACATCTTCATGGATACCTTAAATGGTCTCTTTCAAATCAGCAGGAAATAGGGAAGGACAGGTAGTTTAGGTTTTGCTCAATGTTACTGAATTCTGTCTAGTTAAATTTGGGTTCGATTCTCCTTGGAATTATTTCAAAACATGATTTTTCAACATATTTTATTTTTAATTTTCTTCTCAACTTTTCAGTCTATCTTCCTGCAAATTTCAACAATTACCATCCAGTTAATAGACTCTTTCCACTTCCTTTCTTTCTCTTTTTGTTTGATCAACCTCCGGAGATCACACCATTCTTGAAAGTTGCAGATTTGATGACTGTATATACATGATTAATTTGTTGACTTAATGACATATAAACACTTTATGGGTCATTTAATGCCAAAATTTAATTTTCTTCAAAGCTTTGATGTTATTCTGCTTTCACAATTGAATTACATGGTAGATGATACTCAGCTTTTATGCATATACATATTTGTGTGGACATAATTACAAGACAGTGATATGTACGTTTGATTTTTTTAAGAAATTGTAAGATATTTTGTAGATTATCATGAAAGTTCTTCGATGTTGGTTGTTTGGTTGATTTTGTTTAGTGGCATATCAAACTCTATGGGTTACTTAATGCAGAAATATAAATATTTTGAACACAATTTTATGGCTTCAACTAAATATATTTTGAACGCATTTGTATGCTTTCAACTACAGATAAAATATATCATTAGTCATTTTGCTATAAAATCTATTGCTGGTAATGTCCTTATACAAAATGCATTGCCACAAAAATGCACTTTCACAGTATTTTCTTTCGTTTGTGGGATACACTATTTGTTCATAGCTAGGAACCTAACAGGTGCTAACACCACAGATCAGTATGTACCTAGGAACAACAAATTAAGAGGTGGTTCCACACTCCCAATCAGAGGTCTTGCTGCAGGATGTGATTTATTGCCATACCCAGGACTAGATTGTGTATGCAGAGCCACTTACTAATGATTGGGGACAATATGTTACAGACTGATTTGTCATCTACTCTTGCAGTTTTGTGAGGAACCCTATCAGATGTTTGTTATTGGGGGTGGGCGGCACTGTATATCATGAAAACCAATTCTAAAAGAAAGTGGAGTTATCAAGCCAATAGAATCAATAGACCTAGGATTGGGATAAATGAAAGAAAAAAATACTTGAAATTAATAATGGAAATAATTCAAAGAATTTCTGACAACTTCGAAGGATCAAGTAATATTTTAAACTGAGATTGCAAATTATCAACTATACATTTTTATTTATTTTATTTTTTACTCTTTAAAATCAGACTATTTTCCTCATCTTTGTTGTTATCATGTTTCGGAATGCTCTGTAGGGAACCCAGATCAATATACACCTGATGAATGCTGGAGAGCACAGCAGCTGAAATTTTGTGAAAATTTGGGTTTTTTTTTTTTTTTTTGGCTAAATACAAATGACATATGGAATAGTCATGCCAGTCCAACTAAACATATGCTTAGGAATTTTTATGCCTAGAACAAAATAATTGTGCTACAGAGAAAAATATTTGAAGAATAATAAGCACACCATATAAGACAAGTGCTGTGTGGGTGGGAGTGTTTGAAGGAAATAAGTTAATGATGCAAGCACCTTTAGTTGGTACACAAAAGTAGACATCGCTTATACATTCTAAAGAATAGCACAATTTATCTATAAACCTGAAAAATATTGAACGCCACAAAATACTACCATCCTGAGTATGACAATAAGCTACATCCATCAGCAAGGCCTCTGATTGGGAGGTTTTGAGGAGCTTGGAATCACCTTTTAAATGCTGTTGCTCCCAGGACCACCCTGACTGAGTGGTAGCACCTGTTAGGAGGGCCCCACCATGGGCAAATATCAGGTCATCCCATAAGTTCTGTCCAAATTTTCAATAAAGAAAACAAGTGACCAAATGTTACATTTAATTACAGATTCAATCAACAATGTATTTTCCCTGATTATCTGACTTTCTTCCATCTATTAACAACCTTACTAATTCCATTACTGTAAAATTCTTTTGGCTTTGATTCGAAGAACTCACAAATGTCAGTTTTAACCTCTTCCTGTGTTACAAAAGCTGTTTCTTCCAAATGATTCTGTAAGCTACAAAACAAATGGTAGTCTGAAGGAGCAAGACTGGGAGAATAAGGTAGATGAGGAATTTTCTCCCAACCAAGTTCTTCGATCTTTTGTGACGTGATTCTTGCTGTGTGGGGTCACGCATTGTCCTGATGAAACATCACCCCTATTTGATTCACTAGAGCAGGTCTTTTTTTCCTCAAAGCTTGGTTCAAACACTAATTGCTGACAATATATTTGAGCATTAATTGTTGCATTAGGTGGTAAGAATACAAAGTGGATTATTCTTTGGCGATCCCACCAGATTGAAAGAAGAACCTTTTGCCCATGAAGTTCCCTTCTCAGCTATGGATGGGGTCCTTCCCCTTTACCAACCCACTGTCTATGATGCTTAACATTTCGATAAAAGATCCATTTTTCGTCACAAGTCTATCCAATAAAGGTGAAACAAGTTGGCGAGAATGGAGAGAAGAGCAGATGTCAACTCGGGATTTGAGGTTGTTTTCAGACAATTCATGAGGCACCCATTTTCCAAGTTGTTGAAGATGACGATGAACAGTTGTATGGTTTGAACTGAGAACCACTGCCAATTCCTCAACTGATAAAGCAGGATTTTCTTCAAGGGCTGCTTCAAGAAGCTTTTCATCAAACTCAACTGGACATCCGGTTCGATCTTCATCTTCAAGGGTGAAATCTCCACCTCTGAATTTTGCAAACCATCTTCTGCAAGTTCTTTCATTCACACATTCCTCTCCATAAACTGAGTGAATGTTTCTAGCCACTTCGGCTGCTGAGTTTCCTTTCTTGAACTCATAAAGCATTATGTGCCTCAAATGATTCTTGGATACTTCCATGTTAGCAGGGTTTTAATCAAACAAAATTTAATTTTATTGTTCTCTGAAATAAAATTTGATCAGTTTAAATGCATCTAAACGTAAAAATAATGTTCAGCTCCATTAGACATTATAAAATACTCTTTAAATTTCATTCATTTTAACAAAAAGTTAAAATTCGGACAGAACTTATGGGATGACCTGATAGTTAACCCCTAAACTGGGGTCAAAACACAATGAAAGTATAAAATATTTTGTAATAAAAACACCAGCAATATTTTCATAATGTAAAAAAAAAAAAAAAAGCAGAAATACAGTTTCGTAAAAGAAATTACTAATGCTCCAATGAAAATTAAATTTCAGTATTAAATGACTCATAAGGTGTTGATATGCCATTAAACAAACAAAATACTAAAATAATCAAAAGCATAACAGATGATCCATTGATTAGTTTAAAAGTTCTAATCTCTTTATTACCAATATTATGTTTGCTCTCCAAAGGAATTTATGCCTATAAACATATTTAGTTATTTTTCTTTGAATAATTAAAATGCAAGAGGCTGAAACACAAAGTGCCAATCATTTAGAATTGAAATACTTACTTGAATATTACGGAGAGCCATATTTATCAGTCGCATGGGATCAGCCATGAGGACATCTCGAATAACTTGGGCATCTTTGTGCCGAACCATAAACTACAAGTAGAGAGAGAAATGAAAAAATAAAAGAAAACAAAAAAAAAATTATCTACATAATTAATATCGATAAACTACACTATCACAAAGATTTTCCTCAAAATTGAAAACATTTAAAAATAAACGTAGAATTATCAAGTGTGTGCACATGTAGCTGGATGTATTCCATGAAAGTTATCTCTGCACGATCTATACTTTTGATGAAAGGGTGTCCAATGCTGATCTTCTCATAAAATGCAACATTGATGGAATTGAGATTTTTCTGATGTAGTCACAACTTCACAGGGCTGATCATGAGTGTTGACAGAATATCTAAGGTCCTCATGTATAACCAGCTTGACAGTGGACAAAGGACTGTTGGACAGCCATGGCTCAGGTATAAATACAAGCTAAAGAGTAACCTCTCAGCTGTCAATGTGCCTCATACTAACTTTGAGCAAGTTGCTGTGGATAGAAATAACAGAAGATATTTGTGCCAGAGTGGTATCAGAAATTTCAAAACCAGTCATATTGACTGGCTTAGAGATGAAAGGCAGCAGTGATAAGCATCAGCAAATATTCCTGTTGCTATGTCCTGAGATCCTCGCTGTTACATAATATGTGGACTTGTATACAGGTCACTCGTGGGTTTGTTTGTTTGTTTAACGGCATTCCAACCTTAGTGGTCACTTTATGCCGAAAATGATTTTGGTATAGATTGCAACATTATTTCTTTCAAAAACGTATAGCTGGCAACATTATTTTTTATATTTTTTTTTTTAAAAACATCCTTTCAGTGTTTTGACCCCAGTTACAATTCCATTCAATAAGATTTTGTTAAAGGCATATTTTGTTAAAGGCATATTTTTCCAAAAACGCTGCTAATAATATTTTTTTTTTATAGCTGGGAATATATAAAAAACGCATAGGGAATATTATTTTTCCAAAACGCAATATTATTTTTTGGGTAATATATATTTTTCCAAAACGCATAGCTGGGAATATTATTTTTCCAAAAACGCATAGCTGGGAATATTATTTTTCCAAAAACGCATAGCTGGGAATATTATTTTTCCAAAAACGCATAGCTGGGAATATTATTTTTCCAAAAACGCATAGCTGGGAATATTATTTTTCCAAAAACGCATAGCTGGGAATATTATTTTTCCAAAAACGCATAGCTGGGAATATTATTTTTCCAAAAACGCATAGCTGGGAATATTATTTTTCCAAAAACGCATAGCTTATTTTTCCAAAACGGGGAATATTATTTTTCCAAAACGCATAGCTAGGAATATTATTTTTTCCAAAACCATCTAATATTATTTTTCCAAAACTAGCTGGGTAATATCATTTTTTTCAAAAACATACTGCAAAAAACACATAGGCAATATTATTCCTTCAAAAATTATTTTCCAAAAACATAGCTGGGAATATTATTTTCCAAAAACTTTTTATTTTTCCAAAACCATATAGCTATTATTTTTCCAAAACCATTATTTTTCAAAAAAGCTTAATTTTTTTTCAAAACGGTCTTTTTTCTGTTGGGGAATATTATTTTTCAAAAAGCGATAGCTAGTTTATTATTTTTCCATACCTAATATGTGAATGTTAGTTTATTATTTTCCAAAAATAGCTGAATATTATTTTTTCACCCAGGAATATGGGCTAAAACTGAGAGTTCACTATTGGCCCATAAAAAAACGGTCTTTCTGTTGGACTGGTACCCTAACAGGTGCTACCACCCCGGGTCAGGGTGGACATGGGAACATCAGCAATTAAGAGGTGGTTCCACGCTCCTCAAAACCTCCTGATCAGAGGCCCTGCTGTTGGATGCAGTTTAACGTCGTACCCAGGACATCACTAGTGGGACTGAAGTGTCACATACAACACAAACATAAAAACTGAATGAGGTTGTTGGATCCTCATACACTGAAATCAATGGAAGAGTCCATCATCATATATACACACCATATTTTTTGGTGTATGAGACACATCCTTATTTTGAAGACAGTTTTGCCAAGCATCCAATGAAAATTGAAATATCTATTAATGATGTTAAGCAATTGGTAATATATAACACATACACACATAGAATAAGTTAAAATCCAGTATACTATACAATGTAAACGATTAGAAACAATGTAAACGAAATGATTACAAACAATGTAAAAAAAAAAAAAAAAAAAAAAAAAAATTAAAATATATATTTTTATTATCTACATTAAAGGGAATCTCAAAAAAGAAAAAAAAAATGGTTCATTAAATAACATTTTCATTCAAATATCAAATTCAACCTACCTCCAGATACCTTGTCCATTGTTGATCAATAATGGTATTTACATTGAGGAACAAATCAACAGTTTGACGAGGAAACCTCAGTAAGAATTTCAAAAGAGGTTCTCTAAATGGGCTTCCAGCCTACAATATAAAACATACATGTATAAATACATTTTTAAGGTTTCTCCCAGACAGCTAAATTACAGGTTGCTATGGATAAATTGTTATCTAAATTATGCAAAAGTGAAAATAACACTGACAACTCATTTTAACAGATATATTTACCAAAATTATACAAAAATATCTTGAAATGCTAAAGGGTAAATTTATTCAATAAAATCGCCAATGGCTTCAACCATGGTCTGATGACTTTGGAATCTCCTACAACACTTCTGGACAGTCTCTTGTTTAAGTTGGTGAATGCTACCATAATCATTGCTTTCAGTTCATCTTTGCTGTTTCAAGGAGTTTTGTTGGTCTCACGCTCAACTGTGCCCCACATGATCACTCAACTGTTCCCCATAATAATCAAGGGGGGTGCAGTCTGGAGAGTTAGGTGGCTAAATGTAAGGGGTGATGTGGTCATACAAACTGTCTGACAGCCATGACTGGGTTCTACTGCTTGTGTGACATGGTGCAGAGTCCTGTTCTCAGACATAGGGTCTTCCAGCAGCCACCCTCAGGGCAGCACTACCTCCTCAAGGCACTTGATGTAGGCCTCTGTGTTGAGTCTGAGGCCCTCAACAACAAATTCAGGAGTTCTTTTCATATCAGAACAATCAGAGTGAGTTTTCCAAGCTACCATATCTTTGTAAATCACCATTAAACTCATCTAATTCTTTCCAAATCCTCTGCACTGTCCTCAGATTGACACCCAAACACTCTGAAATGTTTGTCTTTGAGTTTCCAGCATGAATGCCAGCAGTACAGCATGCCGTTTCCAAATTTCCGGCGGAGTAAATTGCACGATGGTACTCTTTTTCACACAGATGGTGCCCAACTGACACTACTATATTGTGCAGTCAACAAAATCAAAACAATGTGCATGCATGAAATTAAAAATATATAATGGCAACAATTTACCCATCACACCCTATATGTGTTTATAATTTGTGAGTGCGTGTAGAACATTTTTGGATTGTGGAACATTGTGGATTGCTTCCATGTAATCAGGTAAGTTAGTATAAATTTCAGGGTATTTAGTAAGGTTTAGCAGTATCAGAGTTTTTCATTAACCAGGGTGGGGTTTTTTTGAGATGGTGGTTTTATGAGTTAGTGTTGGATTTATTTGAGTTTTGCTAATGAGATTTTCCATGTAAAGACCAAAAGGTTTGAATAGCATTTTCTTTTATATCAGATAGATTTTTGTATTTAGGGTTAAAGATACAGTGAAAGGCAGGGTAAGTTGGGCAGGATTCGAGTTTTAGATGATATTGTAGTGCCAGTATTTTTCATCTCAATTTTAACAGTGCCTCATGGGCTTCATATAAACTTTCTATTGATGTTTTGAAGGCACCCACAACCAATCTCAATCATGCATGGTGAATGGGATCATGGGTTTTTAGGTATGATTTCCAGGTTAACCCATATATGAAACATTTGTAGTCCAATTTGGTTTGCATTAAAGTTCTTTGAAATTTCAAGAGTGATATTCAATCTGCACCCCAGTCAGTGTTAGCCAGAACTGGCAATAATTGTAATGCTTTGAAGCATTTCTGTATTTTAAGTAGGGAATGAAAGTTTGTTTTTTTTTGTTTTTTTATCAAAAATGATTCCCAGAAATTTATGTTGGTCAATGATTTCAATTTCTGTTCCTTCAAGTCTAAGAGTTGAATCATTGTGCATTTTTTTTCAGATTGCAGAAATGGATACACTTTGTTTTGGTTGGAGAGAATTTGAAGCCGTTTTCAACAGTCAACCAGTTTAATTTATTTAGGCACACTTACAGTTGTCATTCTCTTTGATTTAAGCAATTAACAATGTTATTAATTTTTATGTTGAAAAGAGTGACGGATAGAATGCAACCTTGTAGAAGTCCTCCTTGGATTTTGAGGTCTGAGAGAATTGATCCTACATGAACTTTGAAACTTCTGACAAAACGTTATTTATCAAATTGGGCAATCTGCCCTTTAATCCAAAATTGTATAGGTTTTTCATTATTCCAAGTCTCCATGTTGTTTTATGGGCCTTTTCTCGATCAAAGAAAATGGTTATTGCATGTTCTTTTTTAATAAAAACCTCTCTAATAAATGCTTCTAGGCAGACTATATTGCCTATGGTGCTTCTTTTGTCTCAGAATTCACTCTGGAGGTTGGTAATTAAACCATTAGTTTCAAGGTACCAGTTCAGTCTTTTATTCAATATTCTTTCTAGGGTTTTACATATGCAACCTGTTAATGCTATGGGTCAGAAGTTTTTTGGGCCTGATTTGTCTTTATCTGATTTTAGTATAGGGATCACAGTAGCTTGTTCTTAAACCATATCTCATTAAAGATGTTTAACAGGTATCTTAAGGATTTGAGTGGGGAGAGGAGCTGTTTAAGAAATTAATAATGAATTTCATCTGGGCCAGTAGCTGTATTATGTAATCTATAAGTTATAAGTACTTCTGGAATCTATAAGTTCATTTAGGGTAAAAGGATAGTTGTAAGTTCAGTTTTTTTTTCTCATTTACCAATTTATAAAATATGAAAAAACAAATTTTTTTATTCGTAAATTTATTAACATTTACTAAATTATTAAAATATGTGAACCAACTATAAGGAAATCCTTATTTACCATTTTATAAAGTTTGAGTCAATTAGTAATTAGGCAATGTTTTGTCAACCTTTCCAATAAACAATCTAATAAATAAATATTGTTTATTAGTTCCAATGACAATTCTCAAGAACAAAGAAAATTTATAAATTCACTTTCATGTGTTTAGGTTCTATTAAAATTTTAATCATTTAATTGCTTTTTAAAACAATAAACATGGCCAAGGAGTGAAGGTAGTTAAAATAATAGTAGTGTTAAGGAAAATCATTTTTTTTTTTCAGGCACGAAGGCCCAAAATTGCCAATAAATCTTATTCCAGTGTTTGGTAATATGACAAAACCTCTTACCTCCATAAACAAAGCCTTTTCAGTTTGGAATGTCAATCTTGTAAGGGGCTCGATTATCTTTTGGGTTGCAGTTGGAACCAAGTGGAAGATATTAATAATAGCAGCACAAATTTTAAGTTCCTAAAAGTAGTCAAAAATACAGCTCTATTTAAAATAAACACAATTTTGATAAAACTAATGTTTTACTTAACTGTATCCAATAATAATGTATGTAATATTCACATATTAGTATCGTATTATAAAATACAAAGTAAATATGCATCTTTTCCATTGTTTACATTTATAAGATATGTTTCTCGTTCAGTTGTTTATGGCTATATGCATTTATGCAACAAGTATAGCATTATTAATAATACTTTTATCATTCTCTTTTACTTTTCAACTTATTTAACTAGATAAAAGATGGGATAAAGAGATAGACGAAAAGCAGTTAGTCTATTGTAATACTTGCACTATATATTTAAAAACTTTGTTGTAATTTTACTAAATAATTCTAGAACAACTCTAAATATATTTTCTACATCATTTTATTAGCTATGAAGAAAAAAACTAGGATTTTGAAACTGTTCAAAAATAAAATATATGAAATTATAATTATTTGGGATTATTTTTGCATGTAAATATAGAAGCAATTGTAATCAATTTTAAATAAATCTAGTCTGGTGTTTGTGCTATATATTTAGAGATTCTCAGCTTCAGTCACTTTCCCATCACTGTAACTGCTTCCCTTTGCCTTTTCTATAAATACTTTCATGGTAAATATTCTGATGAACTTTCTTCTATGATAACCAAACTTTATGAATTTAAGCACAGAACTAGATTGGCAACATAGTATCATCATTTTACAGTCAAAATGGTTAAATGTAACTAAGTTCTATGCTAACAGTTTCTTCCTTGTGGAACTCTTCTAGGTTCTTGCTCCCCCGTCAACTTTGATATTCAAAAATTTAAATGCAATGTCAATCATTATCTTCTGTCTTTTTAATCTTTGTTCTTTTATTGTTCTCTCTCCAAAGTACCATTTTGCCCTCTATTCTCTAACACTCAATAACCCCCTCCCCCTGCATCTTAGTGGCTTTATTACCTTGCTTGGAATAAAATGATTAAAAAATAATTTAGGATAAACTAAATTCACTTCAAACAAGACAAAATATATTGTATTTGGCAGCAATTTTTAATTTATACAAGTGTGGTTAAAGACCAAGAAAAATTCTTAGTCATGAGTTTGTTTATTTTTTTCATTCCTGTCCACAATACAGGAAAATACTTGACAACATCAATATACTACACCATGAAAATAATAAACAAAAACTTCAAATTTGAAAGGCCCTCTATATCAAAAGCAAGCAACCAACACTGAACAAAATTATTATGAGTGTAGCAGCAACGTTTCAAAATGCATTTGACCAACATTTAATGGCATTTTGCATTTCTACCATTTCTGGTTAACTCCCTTACATTGGGAACACTTGTTTGGGGGGAAAAAAAAAAAACCACACCCCATAGCTACACAACTGATAAATTTGAAATTTAAAATAATTATAACAGAGCGCATTCACATGTGTTTTCAAAAAAAATCACCACCACAGTTACAATAAGTTTATCTTTGCAATACACAATACACCCCTGAGAAGATTGAAAGTACTTGGGTAAGAAAAATCTATGGCACCTTACTTGATGAATTTCAACTTAACATCAAGAAACTGATTAGAGAAGTAGAAAGGATTATTATAAAAATAAAGACATATGTCTGTATTATTTAATGAAACATGTTTGAGTGAATGAAAAAAATATATATATATATATATATATATATATATATATATATATATATATATATTATATAACTTTCATTTAAAGTCAATTTAATGTAACAAAATTTCTTTACCCAAAAATATAAAACCTCAGCTTATTTCCTGAGAAGAAACTAAGATCCAAGTACGTTGCTTGTTTGCTTCATCCAGTGACATTGTAAATTTTCCATAAAATACAAAAAGTTTTATTAATTTCCCTACTCTGTATATTAATTTTCAGTTTATCAAATTTTAATAAAGCTCAAAGATTTGGGAAAAATATTTGATGACAATAAGAAAAAAAAAATTACCTGAGAGAGCACTTGGCCATTACTTCTTTGAGTACCACTTTTTTGGTTTGTGATGGCAACTTCCATGAACTTTTTCAAGTGGGTCTTTAAAAACAAAAAACAATAATAAATAATAAATTAACAAATAAATTTTCTTATTCGTCAGGATATAAAGAAAAAGGCGTTTAAAAAAAATTACCAGTAATTGTTCCAATAGTTTCTCTTTGAAAGTGTGAGGAAATAATTGTGTGAGGCTGGTAAGCCGTTGAATTACATTCAAGTTGAGATTTCGATAATCTCCCAATAATCCCAATAAGGGCCGCATATCACCATGAACCATTTCCATGTCAATTGTAAATCCAGATATGAACTACAAAATGGAAATCAATTGCTACATAAATATGCATAAATTTAATAAAATATAAAAATAAAATAAAAAATATAATCAGTAAACAAACAGTTCGCAAAAAACTGCTGAGAATTGGATTAAAAAAAAAATCCATGAAATTCAGAGTATAGATTGAAATAAGATTAACTCTTATTAATAATTAAATCAATTTATATACTGATAAAAATGTTACCAAAAAGGTAAACACAGTTTGTTAGACTTTTCCAGAGATTCACATCAACAATTCATAAATAATTTTCTGAACAGTATAACTGTAGCTATCAGATCTGCAGAAATGCTATGCAATTTCACTGAACACCAAATATTTAATCTATTTTAATAGTGCAAAAAAAAAAAAAAAAAAAATTTTCCCCCCTCCACCTTTTACAAATACATACTAGAAAACATACCCAAATACCACTTAACTTTTCAACATCTTCACAAAATATTTGTTGAACCATTATTTTAAACTACATTTTGCGATATTCTGGTTGTGAGAGTAAAAAAAGAAAAATATTGTATGTAGCTAAATACTGTAATACATATATTCCAATTTTGTCAGAAGCATAGATTTGTATTTATTGCCATTAAATGGTACAGAAAAAAAAAATGGTAAAATGATTAATAATCAAATAGCAAAAGGCGACTTTTAGTTTCCAATATTTTTACCCTTTTACAACTGAGTAAAACTAAAGGTCATCCACCCCCCATAAAAAGCCTACTGTAAAAATAACTAAAACGCTAAACTTCTTAAATGAATAGTATATTATAAATGGGAGGAAACTTGAGATAGTTAAAATGATAACTCAATATGCATGAGTAAACAAAAGTAACTTTTAACATTGTCTGGCAAACATTTTCCCTCTCGCTGGCCTGAAAGTGTGTGTTTTTAATGGGTAGTAGTAACTTTTGAGTAAACTCACAATATGACTATCATAAATCCACATAGATGAGTTGATGGATATTGGGAAAAGCAGATTTCCAGGACAAAAAAAAAAATTAACAACCACATACAAAGATTTGTCCCAAAAAGAAAAATAAATACAAGTTGTATATTGTGGATGGATGGATGGATGGATGGATTGCCACTCGTATCCGAGTATGCCCATCTACTAGGGTGGCTAGCTAATTCTTGTTGCAGACACCTACTTGAGAACATTTGTCAGAGAGAGCCCACCTGTGGTTCATACTGCAACTATGCTAAATGGACCTTAGTTAGAGTTTCTGGGAGAAAGCGTATGTTATCTAGTATGATCAACTCTCTAAACAGGGCTAGTACATTCAAAGTCTCAGTCACAATGACTTGTGACTTTCTAGCATAACCATCGATGGCTTCCAAAGGGTTCCATCTATCCAATTTCACTCACAAGGCTTAGGTCAACACATGGTATGGTTTTCAGGCACTTTCCAAAGGTGCTTCACACTGGGATCATCTCCTCCAGACCAACAGCACCAAGAAGTCACCTTCCTGACAAATTGACCATGGTGAGATTCAAACCCAGGTCTCATGGTCAGAAAGTGAACGCTCTATCAACTCCGCTATGTGCTCGTTCTTTATTGTACCATACCAATAAAAGGATATATAACAACCATGATATTCCAGTGATTAACTTTTTCCTTGAGTTACACCAAATAAATATTTCTCTTGGTACATAGAGTTGTTTTGTTTTGTCTTTTTTTACTTTCAGTCAGTCAATTATAAAACCTCAGAACTAGCAACATGTAAAATTAACCAGTAGATGACTCAAGACAATTGGAATGAAGCTTTAAGATGACTACTTGTAGCCATATTACATTTAGTTGTGACTGGAGATGCAATCATTTTTCAGCTTCCAAGAAATTATCTTTATTTTCTCTGGAACATTACTATGTTACAAAACTGAAAAAAAGAGTTAATTCCATATGTTTGTTGTTTGTTAGATTTTCAAAAAAGCTTCAAAATAAATATTTCTTTCAAAGCCAGTCATTGGAGTTCCATACCTTTTTCATACAATCATGTGCAGCTTCCTGTAATTCAGGGTTGCTACTGTCCAAAGCTTTATACAAAACATGAAAGATCTTTTCACGGCTGGGTTGTATATAATGAGAAGCAGCCAGTGCTCCTGGAAAAAAAAATAAGAAAAATGATTTTGCTTCACAATACAGAATTATCTTCTTTCATGACTATAATTTTTCACCTCCACCTGCCACCTTCCTTGGGCGCAATGTTGTTGGTGTCAAAAGCATTCTGGATGTACAAGTAATGTAATGGTTAACAAGTTTGAATAAGAAATCAGTACAAGTTTGGATTTCAGTTGAGTTTATTACATTCCCTTTCACACAAATATTCTTGGGAAAGGTATGAATCCACCTCTTCTCTCCTTAAATAGCATAGCTAACTTTGTCTTTAAATTGAACAGATATGTTTTTTTGTTGTTTTAAGATTGAGTGCAATTTAAATATTAAAAAAAAAAATAATTAATTCCTTTTTTATATCCTCTAATCCAAAGAGTCATACTAATCTGGGTTATGTTTTGAAGTCACCAAAAGGATGCATCTTCTCTCTTTTCTTATCACTTGATCAAACTTTTTTGTCACAGCAACACATGGGGGGGGGGCATTTCACACTTAGAGGACTGGAGAATAAATTATATAATTTTTATTCTCAATGCAATCATTAGATCTTCTTGAAAGAGTCAATTACTTTTTACCCCAACAATTGTTTTAAAATTATTTTTTTTTAAATTTCAATAGTTCAAAAGAAAAACAATCTGAAACTGGAAACAAATGTAAATTTATAAATAATATTTTAAAAAAAAAAAAAACCCACTCGTGTTTCTGTTATAAAGTTTGTATAATGCTCATAGTTGCTGGTTATAGGACTAAGGAAAACACTGAAACAAAAGGTTGAGTGAGGAAGGGTTTAGTGACATGAGAACATGGATTGACAATACAGTAGTTCAGTGTGACAAGTGTACAACCGAAAAGTGTTACATCTTTGAACCTACTGTTTGCCACTGTTCCATGAACAAACATTCTACTCATAATGGATGGACAAGTCCATGTTTCAATATTAGGTGTAGAGAAGGTTAGTCATTCTTTCTAAACAACAGTTTTATTAAATTTATTAATGTTAGTATTTTGATAAAATGGTGTATAATGTTTTATTACAGAAGTGCTTTCATTTTTCAGATCATTCTAATAGCCATATTGATTCCGGGAACCAGTCTTGGAGAATTTATGAAATAAAGATCTTTTATGTAAAAAGAAAAAAAAATTTCTCACGTAAAGCACTTTTCCGAAGTGGTACCAAATTGGTAACATTTTTGCAGCAAGCCATTTTCATTAAATGGGAATCTTCTGAACTTGATAAGTTTATGAGCTGAAGGGGGAAAAAAAATGATTTTCAGACAATATTTATTTCTTGTACCATAATAATAAAAAAATTTTTTTTTTTTTAAAAAAATGGAAAAATTTACATTGTTTTGTGTCATTTATTAGAGATTTTCTTTTAGACTGCATGATAAAAAAAAGAAATCTTTAAATGTATAGAAATGATAAAAAGATTGCTTACTTCAACAAAAAATACTTTGTGTTCCACCTTCAGCAAATCAAGAGTAAAAAGCCTTGGTTCCAAAGTTGTACAAAACGTATTGCCTTCCTAAAAGAGAAATAGTATATAAAATATGAGGCAATCAAATTAATGCAATAAAGTTACTTTCGTTGAACCAAACCAACTTTACATTCTCACCATTTTCCTATTTAATGTAAATTCACATTGCCATAAAAAGTCAGCAATAAAAACTTAAATACATTTCTTCACAAGGCAAACTGTTTAAGTTATTACAGATCTACTTATCCCACTTGAGCCTAAATTAATACATTTTTCATATTTTAACCAGTGCGCTAACTTACACCATGCTAACTTGTTTAAAACAGACTGCAAGAAGCTCTCTGCAAACATTTTTAACACAAACACATTTTCCTATTGAAATAATGAATTATGTTACCAATATCAATATATCTAGATATATAGAACTCATACTCAAAAATTATAATAACATAGAAAACTGACACTTGAATCTACAATAACCAATCAATCTCATATCATAACCATCACTGGAATTATAAATCTACTTACCATCAAGCCTATCTGAGCATTAGCAGGTTGATGGTGAAGAAGATGTTTCTTGGGTGGGATCATGTCCTGGAGAACTTCTCTGTGAGGTTCCATGATTTCAGTAACTGATTTATTGGTTGTTTCTGCAAGTACTTCCAATGCATGCATTACCTGTAAAGAAAAACAAACATTCTTAACTTTAACAAACAAATTTAAAATTACCTTAAATCCAACCAACAAGAATGTATCCCAATGTAGTTTGCCAAGTATTAAAATGAAAAGTTGTAGGTTGGTCAAAATGATAATTCAGGGTTTGTCAAGAGATTATATTAGGAATGTTCAGATTTAACTAACTTTTGAAAAGATTGCTTTTTTGATCATACTGTAACAGTTGTCATGTTAGCCAGCAGTTTTGATTTCTCAAAAGGTGGTCTATTTTTGTGTATTGATTGTAACACTGAAGATAGAAAATATGGATAAATAATATAAATGGTCAAACATGTGAAAAGTGGACATTTTTTGCTAAACTATAATCCACAGTTAAGTCGATCAGTTTGATAGTGATCAAATGTAAATATTCTTAGGAATAATCAACCTCACATGCCACAGAAGACCAGGGAACAAATTCAAATCAAAGTCATTTGCATCAATTTGTTTATTTTAATGATTTGATTAATGGTATAACAACTCCTTATGGGTCATTTAATGCCAAAATTAAATTTTCTTGGGAGCTTTGAAGTAATAAAAATATTATACATGTTCTGCCTTCACAATTGAATACATGGTAGATGATACTCAGTTTTTTGGCATATACATGTTTGTGTGGACATAATTACTAGAAACAGTGATATGCATGTTTGATTTCTTTAGTAGTAGGATATTATATGGCTTAATATCATGAAAGTTCTTTCATGCTGATTAAATACATATTGTTGGTATTTTTACTAACAAAAATGTATTTTTATACTTTCATAGTGCTTTGTTTTTGTTTGGGAAGGTTCACTATTTGCCCATAGCTGCGACCCTAACAGCTGCTGCCATACCTTCAATCTCCCAATCAGAAGCTTTGCTGCTGGATGTAGTTTATCATCATACCCAGGATTAGGTTATGCCAATCAGTTTGATATGCGATTCATACACATATACACACAAAAAATCTAATTGACTAGATTAAAATATTTTGCTTTTGAAACAAATTATGATTGGCAATGAAAAGAGGACATTTTACAACAATATAAAACACCAGAGACTGTGCAACAAGCAAAATAAACCACTCAAAAGTTTATCAAAGTCCAATCTTCATCCAAACTTGATGCTATGTATGGAGCTGGACTGAACTGGAGTCCTCTACAGGTGTGTAGGTAGCATGTTTATTGGCTCAGAAAATGGAATCAGCATACCAAGTTTGGATTTCAACTTAGTGTTTCATTTACAGAGTACTCCTGCCTTTCAGAAAAGGCATGAAAACACATTGCTTCAGCTATGGGTTGAATAGCAGGGCCATCTGAGTTCTGAACTCATGTGGTATTCAGTCTAGGAGAAGGAAAACTGAATATAACCCTTCACAAATAATAGGGCAAACTGGTTTCTTTCACCTTTACTAGTGTAGAACAATTCTGAATTAAAATCCAAATAGAGATAGGCTTCATCAAACTATCTTTCCCTAGACACAGCCACAATACACAGCTTATCCTATGTTGAGTGAGTAGCCATGGTCAAATGCAAAAGAAAGAACAGAACTGTCCAACAAACAGAATTAACAAAGTTTGCAAGAAAAAGAAAAAGAAACAAGGCAAAAAATGAAATAATAGCAAACAAACAAGACAAATTAACAGTAAGAAAGCAAAAAGTTCACCAACTAAGAATTAACATTGACACACAAAAGTAAGTTTGGATAAGTGAACATAGCATTCTTTCTTCTAGACAAGGCAGATCTGAACAGAGTCATGTCAAAATGCAAACTGGCTTATTTTATTGGCTAAGAAAAATATCTCAGCATGCATTTGTGGACTTCTGCCAATAAAAGGGGAGAGGCAGGTGTTTTGCGGTCATTCCTGATGGATTGAAATCAACACCTTAAAATCTCTTCTCATGTATACCTTCTGGAGAGGTAAACAATTGATTCATGTAAATACTGCTCCCAATTAAACCAACTGAAGGCAACAACTGGCAAAAGTGTACAGAATGTAGTTAACAAGTAATACTAAATTTCATACTTCTTCAGTGACCAAGACTAAAATTGTGTTAACTTGGTTGAGAGAAATCTTTAGTCAGCAGCTATTGCTCTTTTAGAGTATCATTTATTCTTATCTTTATAGAATTAGCTTTTAAAAATCCTTTGAAGACTGCAAAAGGTATCTGAGAAATTATCTACCAAGAAAGATACAAAGTTAAGGAGGGAATTATGAAGTTGTCTGAAGATACAACATAGTGAAATCAAACTAAATATATATGTGGTTTTCAAAAAAATTTAATATACGAGATAAAAAGAATTGTTTTATTTTTACTTAACACTTCCACTGTTGTGAATATACATATATATCTTCACAAAACTTACATTGCCTACTCTCAATGTCAACATGGCTTTTCAAGACTGCAAGAAATGTCAGTCCTGAGCATTTGAGCTATAAACTCATGCTTAGTGCTATTTCTAATTAGCCAGCATATAGACATATAGCAGCTTACAATACAACTTGTTTGTTATGTATTATTTTTATATTGCATGTTAGTTTGATTGCTTCATTCATTTTCTACCTCTTAACTATTTGCAGGTTATTTAAAGCCAGAAAATATTTTTAGATTCTAAGAATTTTTTTTAGATAATAATGTCTTATTAATGAACCCATAGCTGGGGGATAGGTAGATTCATACCTAAATAGAATTTGATAAACAAACAAGAAATTATAATGTGGCTATAAAGTGAGGGATCAATTCTATATTACAATTATATAAACTGATCTCCCACTTTGTGGCCATGATAGTTTCTATACATTTATATTCCAGAGAATATAAAAGACATGCCTGTGTAGCTAATCAGTATTTCATTGATTGATTCATTCATTCATTCATTTTCTACATCTTATCAAACCTTTGCAGATTATTTAAAGCCAGAAAATATTTTTAGATTGTAATGTTTTTTGGAGATAATAATGATTTAGTGATACAAATTTTCTTACTAATAGCTGGCGGGAGAGGAGGTGGATTCATACCTGTCCCAAGGGTATTTACACACGAGTGAATATAATGAATAAACTGGAATTGGAACAACAATTAACAATTCCTATCCATTACACCACCTACACATCAAAACTTACAGTACCTGATATTCCCAAGTGGTCATCCATCTAGGTACTGACCAGGTACAACATTGCTTAACTTCAGTGTTCATATGGGAATAGGGGGTTTCAACATAATATGGTCGTAAGTCATATTGTGTTGGGGACATGTCATTTAGCTTAGTCTGTACAGCAGAGTATCAACCCATGAGAAATCTTAGTGTCTTCATAGTCGTTTATTTCTAGTAAATGGCAATTTCCTATTTTCCCCCAAAATGGGCTAGCACAATCAGGCAACAATACTATAATAATGCAACAGTGAAAATGTTAATAAGCCAAAGAAACTTTCTCAGTTACCCAATAAATTATTATTTTTTTCTCTTATACTTTCAAAACCTTTTAAATCAGGACCTTCTTTTTTCTTTTTTTTTTCCTATTTTTAAGTCTGGTCTACTTATTCTCAGCCTGACAGGTTTAGTTAGACTTTTCATAGGATTCCCCCACCCCACTCAAGGAAAATTATTTTTCATATTGAAGCAGCTATTTTCATTTTTATAAAAATCCTGATACCATTTCATGAAAGGATATTTTTTCTGACAGTATTTCATAAAACTAAACCCATTAATTTTAGTGGGTACACATCACCTGTTGTTACATGTTTTTTATTTTATTAAACAGTGAATTAATAGCAACCAGTCTAAATTGAAAAGTCTTACTAAAGAAAAAGTCAGCTTCCTACAGGAATTGAATCTGCATCCCTTTGTTTTTACCTCAGGGAAACCACTTCATAAGCTGGAGCATGGCTCTACCAGTTCAACCATGGAGCCTAACTGACAGGACAATGTCAGAATTACCTGTTAAACAAGACATTTTTCTCATTGAGACTTCTAAGAATTTATATCTGCTAAAAATAATGTTTATGTAATAAGATACGATATCATGTCAATTATAATGCACACAATTGAAATAGTGTAAATTTAATTTTCAGTATACTTATATACATCACAAGATATATTTTATTTCTACATATAAAATGCAGCTTCATATGAGGAATAACTATTTAAGAAAAGACCTCTTAAATACCAAAAGGATAATGGAACTATTACAAAAAAAAACAAAAAAAACTGGAACACCAAATAACTTGCTCAAACATTATAATAGCTATCTCACTTGTTGGCTATTGTGGCATGTGGGGGCTTCCTTACTTTGCTGAATTGAGTAGTAACAGCAACAAAAGTAATCAGCAAGACATAATCGGAAGTCCCAGACCTCATAAAAATGCTGACCAAACTCTATTTGGGCTCTCTTTTCTACTCCTCTTTTTCAGTGGCCACTACTTTCAAGGCCCAGTTTGAGGGGCTGCTCACAACCCTTATTGCAGAAAACATGTAGCCAGTCCTGGCAGCTTGATCCAGATTTATCATTCCTTTCTACAAAACATCTACTCAAGGGAAGAACTTTGTTAACTGGGAAACCCAACTATTTTCCTGCAAAATACCACTATTTTGCACCTTGCAAAATACCACTATTGTTGCTCCAATAGGAAAAAATTCCTACAACATTTCACGTTTATTGTTCAAAAATTGATCAGGACAAGTCAATTACACATTGCAATGCCATTCACCAAAAATGCAATAAAAGAAATGGAAAAAGAGAAAACCATATTTACCTGTTCTCTAACCATGGTGTTAGGTGAAGTAACTTGCTTGACAAGCTCATGAGTGACATCATGCAAAGACTTCTTTTGTGCCAGTAATACATCTTCAGTTGCATCAGGAATTTCTTTAGCACAAAGCCTCAACATACTTTCTATATTTGTTTTGGCTAAATCAATAGCTCCACTGGATACCTGAGAGAAGAAAAGTACAAAGATAATCACCATCTTGCTTTCTTTTAGAACCTGTATCAAAAATAATATAGCCAGCTTCTAACAGAAGTTTTTTTAGTTTTCATGACCGAATTGAATGCTTTATATGTAGTTAAGCACCGCATCAAAAGTACAATTCCGTTTCCCTCTATAATTTTGAAAGGAGTCATTACTAGTTTAAGATTTGATTCTGGTTTGCATAACCAAGGGAGAATACTCTCTTTTACATTTAAAGTTGGCCATGAAATAGATCAGCAGAAATGGTTGTTCTAATAACAAAATAAAAAAAGTGCGTCTGATAGCCTGAATTCATGTAATTCTGAGTATTCAATTACATTAGGTTTTGTTTTCTGTCTAAAACGCTGTATTTGGATTAGATATCATTTAAATTTTTAGAAATTCAAGTTTTAAAGAAGTGCCTTGTTTTCCATACATTATAGTCTTAAATTGAAATGGCAAAAAAAAAAAAAATGTGAACTCACCTCTCCAGTCAAGTCCAATATTACAAACAAAAATGCTTTCAGAAAAACAAACTGGTGTTCAAGCACCCATTTTCTGGGCATATGCTCATAAAGGAACTTGATTGCTTGACATCTGAATCAAAATTTACAAATATATTAAACATTTCTTAAAATTTAGTTTTACAAAAATTGAGAAAATGTTTTATGCCTTAGTTCCCCATCAACAATGTACATATTTAGTAGTGATCCTTTCATAAATAAATTTTGGATGAGAATATATAATTACATTCTTAGCATTTTGAGAACACAGCACTGCATTTTCAATAGCATTGTCTCAACATTTAAACTTTTTCATTTTCATTGCTCTTTAAATTAGAAGTTCTATCTATTTGTAGAAGATAAACCTACCCAATTCTTATTTATGATACAAGTTAAAAAAAAAAAATCACAAATATCTCTCTTGGGTAAATTTGAGCCAACTGTGCACCTTGAATAAAAGCTAATCAAGAGTCTGCTCATTCGACCAATTCATTCATTTTCTATGGCTTGCAGGTTATTTAAAGCAAGAAAGTATTTTTGTAGATTGTAAGAATTTTTTTTTTTTTGAAATAGTAATGGTTTAACTGAAGTGAGGAGAGGTGGATTTATACCTTTGGTTTGTTTGTTTAGCAGCATATCAACTCCTTGTGGGTCATTAGTAATTTCATTCACAAAAATGTATTGATGGTATTTTTACTATGGAAATGTATTTTTATACTTTCATAGTGTTTTGACCCCAGTTTGGGGCTTAAATATTTGCCCATAGTTGGGACCATAACAGGTGTTACCTGAACCTGGGAACAACAATTAACAAGTGGTTACACACTCCTGAGGCCTTGCTGCTGGATGTAGTTTGTCATACTCAGGATAGGATTCATACCTTTCCCAAGGGATTTTGCACGTTAAGTGAATATAATGAACCCAACTGGAATTGGAACTCTGCTCACCAATTTACAATTCAGAGTCATTATCAATTACATCACTCACACACCCAAGCTTAAAGCACCTGGTATCCCCAAGCAGTCACTCATCTAGGTACTGACCAGGCTTGATGTTACTTAACTTCAGTGATCATACAGGAACTAGTGTTTCAACATAATGTGGCCATAAGCCCTGTTCACTCAACCATTGATTTAAACTTAAAAGTGGAAAACTATTTCATCTTGTTTTCTAGTGGATAAATTATCATTAACAAGCCTCACTAATCCAGCATCTGTTATTAAACAAGAAATCACTATGTAATTAATAATCAAACATAAGATAGAAACATTTTTTTTTTACTGCCAGATCCAAGCTAACTGACACGTCAACATAAATAGATTATAAATGTGCAAATAAGCAAATGTTTTTTTTTTGTTAGCAGTAAAAGGCAGAATAAGAAAGGTGCTCTTACCCTCCATGTTTTGCATACCATGCTCTATCATAACACAAAGCACACAATCGCTCTACAAGATACTCAAAAAATGGCAGTTGACATGCCTGAAAGAAGTGATATAATTTACATTAAATAAATTTAAAAAAGATACCAAATGTAATCAAAATAAAACAATCAAATTGGTACTTAAACAATTTCTTGGTGATTTCTGTCTGAGGCTGTTGTGCCCTCCAACCTTCTTCATGTGTATATGAATCTTGGTGACCTACAGGGAATTCTGAACTGAACCCATTATTTAATTTACAGGGTAGACTGTTCTCATCCCATTTCCCATGTCTAGGGATATCTAGTCTAGTTCTTATTTTCATTACAGTTATTTCTCAACGGTTTATTTTTATCAGAGATATTTCTCAACAGTTTCCACAGAATTCAACTACACACTGCCTGACCCAGGGATCAATCTCACAATCACTATATCACCAAATTCATGAACCAACACTTTAATCCACTACAGGACAAAGGCCTAGTGGATATCTCTAGACATGGGCAGTGGAACAATAACAATCTACCACCATAGATTAAATAAGTTCACAAATGCCTGAGAAAGGCTGGAAGGCACAATGGTTGAAATATTGTGATAACAACAAAGATCAGGACAATAGTCCAAATATAAATAGTATAAATAATTTCTTGGTGTTATAAAACTTAAGTAATATAGCATGAAGAAGTGGAAAAATTTTGTGAATCTATATTAGAAAAAAAAGGCTGATTCCCTGTCCTTCCTGCTTTGTGTGTACATAATGTGTGTGTGTGTGTGTGTGTGTGTGTTGTACATGAGTGATTTACATGTGCTCATGCCATTTAATGCACACACACACACACACAATTTGACAGAATTTGAAATAAGACATTGGAATAATACATTCCTCTCCCACTATCTGGACAATTTTTTTTTTGATAAAAAAAAAAAAAAAAAAAAAAAAACTTACCACAAATATATTAAACACTTCATTTATTTACAAGAATAATTTTATATTTACAACATTTTAAAAATTAATAAAATTAAAACTAATGCAATATTTATCATTTACCAATTTATAAATAAATAATTCATAAATTTATAAACATTTACTAAATTATTAATATATGTGAATCAACTATAAAGAAATCCTTATTTAACATTTTATAAAGTTTGAATCAGTTGGAAATTAGCCAATGTTTTGCCAACCATTCCAATAAACAATAGTGTAAATAAACAATCTAATAAATAGTGTTTATTATTTTTGCTGTAAATTCTGAAGAACAAAGAAAATGTTGAAGTTTTATTACAATTCTAATCATTACTTTTTAAAACATTGCCAAAGAGTGAAGGTAGTTAAAATAATAGCAGTGTCAAGAGAAAAAAATTTTTTTTTTTTTTTTTTTTTTTTTTACACACTTATTTTGCAGGTATGACAGTCCAAGATTGGCAAAGATTTTTTTTCTAGTCACTAAAACCATCTGGTATTACCAGTTTGCCTATTATACATCACTTTATGAGAGGACATAAGGATTACTCATAGAATGATTTACTTTGTTTTTATTGGTAATTTCAATCCTCTTTGATAAGCGTTCATCAATAAGTTGGTTGCTTAAGATGATTTACAACCATTTTTTTTTGTTTGAGAGTAAATTTCAATGTCTTCACGTCTTTATTATATATCACTTAATTGTTTAACATTTTATCTAACTCTTACACTTCATAAGTTTTCTGGTTATATAAACCTTAAGAATATAACACCAAAAATTCTCAAAACTTAGATACATTTTCTTTTATTTGAATCCAAGTTTATTTCAGGAAATGAAAACCCCATAAGCATAAAAAATAAAACAACTTTGATGCAGACAAGAGAAAGAAAAATGCATAAAATATTTTAAATTATCTTTGATGCTTTGTATATAATAATGATCTGATTTCTTTACTCGTATTTGTTTCTAAAACATAATAAAAATGAAACAAATAGTGCAGTTTCTGTTAGAGCATTTGAATGGCATTGTTTTAAGTTTAATAATAAAGCAATCTCCAGTCTAATCAGGCCACAAGTTTCTAAATTCTTAAGTATCAATCCTCAGAATGAAGAAAAAAATGCCCAGTCCTATTTACCGCTAGAAGTTTGACTTATTTGCACTGCTCTCCATCAGCTCATGGTATACTACTGATAATACATAAATAATAATTAAAACTAATTATATAATTATTGACCAATTCATTTTCTATGGCTTAACTCTTTGCAGGTTAAAGCCAGAAAATATTTTTAGATTGTAAATTTTTTTTTTGTTTGGGAGGGGGGATTAATAATGGTTTAGTGACACAAAGTCTTACTAATTAATCCATAGCAGAGAGAAAAAGGAGAGAAATTCATACATTCCAAATTTGCATGTAAGGGAACATAAACCCAACAGAAACTGAAACTCAGGTCTCTGATTAACAATTCCGAGCCATTAACCATTACACCATCCGCACATCCAAGCTGACAGCACTTGGTATTCCCAGATCAACATTGCTTAACTTCAGTGATCATATGGGAACCAATGTTTCAACATAAGGGGCCAGAAACTGTTTAGTTATATAATTAGCATTTACAAATAATTCATAATTCTATAAATAGGAAACAACAGTGAGCAAAGGCTCCCTAAAACGGCATTTGTGATTTTTGTAAAATCAGTTAATTTACATTAATTAAAATAGCATAAAATTACAATATAACTGTTTATCATCATTGCCTTACCCGTTCCTGAGAACCTAATATGATCGTTGCTGTGTTTAATATAAGCATTAGAGCCACATTTCCAGGTTTGCAAAGTTCTTTCTCCTCATGACCCATTACAGCAGCAATGGCATCAACTAAAATCTGAGTATCCATGCCTTGAAGCTTGTTCTGTTTCTCTCCGACAGGGAATGGGCCTGTAAAAAAAAAAAAAAAAAAAAAAAAAAACATTGTAATGTTTCAATTATGCCAAATACATAATTTGCATAAAAACTAAAACTTTCATACAATCTTAAACACTAAATGCTTTGTTTTATTCTAACATTTAGTGAAAAAAAAAAAAAAAAAAAAAAAAAATCAACTTTCATTACAACTCTTTAAAGATTTCAAAAATGTCCACTGAACACTTGGAATCCAAACATGCAAATCCCAATTCTAATCACTAAGCCATTTTTATCATTGTTATCAAAGAGAAAAATATACAAACCACATTGTTGAGAAATAGCCACCATTGTATAATGTCGTACCATACAGCCCATGAAGGATAAAACTGGGTTTCTTAGTTCTTTAATTGCTGCAGCAACTAAAAAATGTCAAAAAAAAAAAAAAAAAAAAAAAACATTTTTCTTTTTAAATTACATTCAGGGAAAGATTTTTTTTTTTTTTTTCTATTCACAATAATGGAATTTATTTGCTTCAGGATTTATTGTAAAAAGAGTTACCAGTGTGGTCTGGCATGGGGGTTAACTTGTTAAGTTCATATGAAAAGCCTAAACAACCAAGCTTATTAATTTGGATTTTATTAGCATACCAGAAGTACCTTGGAGGTTTGCTTATTTTCGTTTTGTTTTGCTACTTAAAGTAGAATTCACTATTTTGAATTAAAAGCTTGGAGAATGTGAATGCTGAATATAAAATGTTGACAAGAAAGAAAATAGATTTTGATGTTTGCTTAAGGCAAGAGGCTTGAAGGAGGAAAAAATATCAATCTAAACAAAAAACAAAAAAAAATTATCTTAAAAGTGACTTTCATGATAGATTATGTATTATGAGAATTGGGAATTTAAATGTTCATCATGGAAGAATCATGGAGACTGGCCAGAGGAGCTTTCAGGTGTTCTTAAGATAACAAAAAGGGATGCAGGTAGGAGTGGACAAAAACTGGACAGAAATTTTTTTTGTGGACAAATAATGAATTGTTATTTGTTGATCATTAATTTTTCAATAGGATGGAAAAACAATTTATAAGAAAATGAAAAAAAAATGCTGAAGCTTCAAATTATATTGATGAATAGAAAAACGAATGGTAGGGATTATTATAATCTAAAGTAAATAATGTTAATTGGCCAAGATCTAGTTAGCGATATGGATTGTATTAATCAATCCTAAATATGGGAGTGAGAGGTATTACAAGGTGAGTATCCTTTATCTGAAATTCCCAAATCTTAAAGTTTTTCAGGTGCTGAGATGACTTGGGACAAATGAGAAAATTTCAGAAAGCAACATGGCTACCCATGGCATCATGGCATTGCAGCATTAAAAATAAATTATTTTTTGTTTTCATTACATTTAACTGTAATCATAATCCATATTTTGTTTTTATACAAATACTGTAGCTGTATGTATTGTAATGTTTTAATCAAAACATGACATCGTTGATAGAGACTGATAGCTTATCAAAATTCCTTCTCCCACTAACAGTGATATCATCGATATCCCTGTTTCCCTCCAGTTTCTCACACCTGATGTAGAAGTAGTGTTTGGCATTGCATTTATATATTTTTTTGTAAGTGATCATGTTTTTGGCACATGTATAGAAAGCACAAAACATTTTTATGTGAAATCTTAATTTCACCACTTAAAAATTTGTGTGAGCATTACATGACTAGCATCATTCTCTGTACACAAAATTTATCAAATTTTATATAAAACTACCTTCAGGGTATAAGCTGTGTTATGAAATGTAAAATCATATTGTGTTTATGCTTGGGTTCCACTCCCAAGCTGCCCTATTTTATAGATGCTATATACAAATTAAATAGCCTGTATTCCAAAATAAAAAAAAAAAAAAAAAAAAAATCTAAAAATCGAAGCACTTCCAGTCCCAAGATTTCCAGATAAAGGACTCTCAACCTGTATAACCAATGGGCACATGAGAATCTGGAAGGAGATTTTGAATAGACCAAATTATTTAGAGAAGCTTGGAAAAATTAAGTTGTTTATAATAATAACAACCACCCGAGAACAGCCATATTGGATTTACTCAATATAAGCAGCTCAATCTTGGTCCTGAGAGAGTGGCAGTTTAGATGTTGCTGCAAGATGACATCACCAGTTTCTTCACCACCCCAATGAAGATAGAAGAATTAGTCAACTTAAGATCTTCCTCTGTTTAACTCTATAACATGGCTCCCAAGCCTCATTTCCCTTGTCCCAGGGTACCAATACTATATCTTAATTAATTTTGGTACAAGTGACTTTGTTTTAACATTGTTTCATATATGAGGTAAAGATATCATAGGTAGCATTTATTATTCACAACCCACCAGTGTATCATTTGGTACTCAAGTCTATTTTACAACCCAGAGTCCCACACAAATGCATGGTACAGCTCTGTGTATGTAAAATGAGCCAACAAAACAACAGTAGAAATTCCAAAAAGAAAACAAAAATGGATGACAAAAAATAATGCTCAAATGCACCAAGTTTCACATGCCTACAGTTCAAGAGTGCTTGAATGTGCCTGCAATCAGGTTAACACATTATTTCAATACACAGCATTTAACTTGTTACATCATCAACTCGATGTCAGAAATCTACAACTTTTAGAAAGTTGTAAATTTCCAAAACCATATCTCATAATTAGTAATAGCATGGAGGCTAAATTTTGATATCATTTCAATATAAAAATCAACTTTTAATACTTAATTTTCAATGGTTTTTCAGATACATCAATTGTATTAACATCACATATACTGGTTTTTCAACAGTTTAGTCATGACCCCAGGCATGTAACAATTGAATCACATTTCAATCAAAATGTTAGAAACCAAATTTGTCTGCCAACTCAAGACCAAAGTTCCCTGACTGAATAGTTAAACCAACTACCAGTTACCAATAAGGCAATGTTGTTTCCATGATGTGTTGCAAATGAAGGCCAACACCTAAGAATTCACCAACTGGCAATAGTTAAGTAGACAATGGCACAGAGGTGTAATTTGGAAATTATAACCTTCAACAAATAAACCTTATGCACTTATGTCTACAAGCAAAGGTAAGTTTTCTATCCTGAAAGTCACTTATTTTCCTTACAACTCACACGCTTGATCCTGAGGATGTTTCAATCAGCTTCAATTAAGATTTCTTCAAATCAAAAACTTAAATACAATGTGGGCAAGGAAGACTTACTGGTGAAATGAGACTGATTCCGACAGAGATGACAAGGAGAATTTAAGATGACATTTAAGACAATGAGACAAAGTGTAAAATTTTATTTAAGATGCATTTCACCAGAGAAGAGTATGCTCTCTTTGGCTTCCTCAGTTTAAAATGAAATAAAGACAAAATTGTGTGTCAGGAAAATGTATTGGGATCTTTGAGGATAAGTGGGTATATATACATTTTTACACACATGTATATACATACACATTCATCCAGGAATATACATATATTAGAACCCTTCTTTTTTGCATACTTGTACATACATATACATGCCCATCAATATATATATATATATATATATATAGTTAGATAGGCACCTCCACTGAATTTTCGATACCCAAGTTTTAAAATTAAATTTTAAAAATGAAAAAGCATTCTTGAAGATTTCATTTTAGTTTTAATTGAAAGCTAAAGGATTAAATTTAGTATTTCCAGTAAGTAAAATATTCTGGTGTATTTCAGATAGAAATTATATAGATTGGAATGTCAAATAATTGCTCAATTTAAAAAAAATTTTTAAAATGGACATTTTCTTAATTTTGAGAAATTTGTAAACAAATACATTTATCGGCTTTAAAAATCTTTCAAAATTATAGATTTGTGACATGTTATTTGAGTAAAATTATAAAATTTAAAGTTAAATCTGATTTTAAATAAATATTACTTATAGCATTAAAAAAACAATATACAAGCATTTCTTGATGGGTCCCCCTTTCTTTGATTTTTATTGATTTATCGAGAAGCTCTCAAGGTGATGACAGCTCTTATGGATGAGCAGAAATAACATAAATTTACGAAATCTAAGTGAACACATTTTTCTTTAGTTAAAATTTTACAAATTAACATATTTTCAGCAATTATTTAATATTTAATTGACTTTTAGTCAGGTTTGAAGAAGCTTTATGAAATTTGCATTTCATCTCTAGATAACCTTAAACAAAAAATTAATTAATTGAAGTATGATCCAAACTAAAATAAATACATAAAATAAAAATATTTAGTAAAATAGCAATTAAGAAAAGTAAAATTTTATTTTGATATATTGAAGGGATGATTTGCAAAAATGTTAATGATGAAACAGAACTGAATTAAAAGTGAAATAATTGCAGTGCGTCAGACAACACTTAAATCACATGACCTTTTTAGGATTATGTCATGTATAGATTCCCATAGGTAGAAATTAGGAAAAGAAATTTTTTTAAATATTTTGGGTACAAACAACTGTTATGAGCTTTTCAAATTTTAATTCATAAATGTACTTTTCAGTTAACGATATCACCAAACTGCCATCTTGAAAGCAATGAAGAATTTTAAACGATTTTTGAACTATCGTATTATTATAATTAAAATTTTTTAAAAAATGAAAAATTCTTGTAAAAATTAATTATTCATTGAAAAAACTTTATTTATTCAGACAATAGTGTCCTTAATATAACTTATTTACAAAAGCAATTAAAAGCTTTTCTAATTAATGTCATAGTTTTATTGCATTTTTTCCTTTTACAATTCAGAGCAGATTTTCGATGAAACAGGTAACTTTTTTTTTACAAAAAAAGAAAAGATTTACTTTCTCCAAAGAGTCCTGCTTTTAACTAATAAAAACAATCCCCACCCTTTAAAAATTTAATTTTCTCGAAATTTCATAAATTAAAGTAGGTGCTGACATACATAAAAAAAAATTATTTTTTAACAAGATTTTCTAAAAAGAAAAATTTCAAAAATAATTTCATTTATTTCTGAATATGCCCTGAAAGTTTCATTAAAACCCGACAATTATTTGAATTTTGCAAAAATTTCCAAATTAATGTGTTTTTCACTGGAAAAAAAACACACACCAAAAAAAAAAAAAAAAAAAAAAAAACTAACCTTTATCTATTTATACTATAACCTCTTATCTAACTAACCTTTATCTATTTATACTATAACCTCTTAAAATGTAAAAGAAAATGTGTTTAAAAAAAAAAATGACATTCAATTTTATCTTTACTAAAACAATTGCTGAATAAGACTTGCTGGTCATTTTAAAAAATCAATGTGTAGCCTAATTATTATCACTTAGGGTTTTCTTTTTTACTGGGATACTACAGCAATCAATTGTAAAGTTTTGACTACTTTTGAGGAAAGGATATCACCCCCACCTCCAACTGAATAAATAAATAAAACTTACCAAACATGCCAGTTAATGCCTGTTCGTGAACTTTCCGCGAGTTGGCATCTGGATTCTTATACAGACTGCCACAGGACGTTGGAATATCTTTTTCTCTGTAACTGGAGGGAAAAAAGTTTTTATTTTACAATGTCAAAAGTTGATTAAGCACCAGATGCAAAAATAAACATTTTTTCCCCTATAAATTTTAAGATTACTCTTCCTTGATAAGTAATACAGATATAGTTATAAATAACATTTAAATTAAAAAAAAAAAAATTATTATTTATCTGATATTGAAATTTAAAATGTTCAAGACATTTTAACATAACCCACCTCAAAATCACCATTGTCCTAGCTTTTGGTAAGTGACTAGTTCATATGTATTTGCCCTTAGCACATTCATTTCACTCTGCATGAATTCTTGCTAGAATTAACAGAAATGCCCATTTTTTTTTTTGTTTTTAGTTATTGTTTGATTGAACTTTCAATCACTATGTCATCAAATTCACTTTAATCCATGAGGCTCTTGTCCCATAGGAGAATTTGCTGTAGTAGACAGAGCCTTAAACCTAATTTAGCTGCTGACTAATGCAGCAACTACAGCTGTTACCTGTCATGTTTTGACTGTTGCTGCTCATTTGATTCATAAGATCTGTGGTCCATACAGCATTAGGACAATATTTAGAAGCAGTTTCAGTAGGACCTCCTGATCAATGTTTGATTAGGAGGTCCTACGTGGCCAATGCATGTCAGATCTAATGACGGTCTCCCCTAGGAGATGCAAGTTCAAACCCTGCGAGAGTGTGCATATTTTCTAACAAGATTTCTCAAATATTCAAGCTGATAGATGTATATATATATATATATATATATATATATATATATATATATATATATATTTTATGTATGTATGTATGTATCAGAGGTTAACAGCCTGTACTTAAATTTATATGTGTTCAAGTTACAAAATTGTATGATTACATGTTTATATTTCAACAAAAACAATCACTTGGTTATTTTGTGTGTGTGTATGAAAATGTATGCACATGCATACAAATTCAAACAATAAAAATTTAATTATAAATCTAACCTACTATAATTAACACTCAAATACTTAATATACAACCAAATCAAATAAGGAAAGCAAAATAATGCCCAAGTGAAGACATATAGAAATATTAAGCTTTTAAAAAAAAATTTTTTTAATTATTTACTTAAAAAAATGAAATACAATTTTCTAAACTCAAGGAAACTAGAACACTCAAGAATTAGTAAGTCTAAATGTTTGGAAAACCAGATGTCAAAATCCCTACAACTGAAAAAAAGAGAAAAGTATGAAATCAATGAGGAGTGAGTAATAAGTGGCAAAAAATATGATGAAAAGGAGCAATAACCATGACATTCTACACAGACAGGGCTGGGGGGTCCCCCCCCTACACACACACACACTATGAAAGGGAAAAAAAAAGAAAAAATCTTGCACCAATGAAAAGTGGATATATAAAAAAAACGAGAAATATAAATACTCTATTGCTGATATCCCCTGACAAGTGGACGGAGAAATTGCTAGAGGGTCTGTCTACAAAACTTTGAAGTCAGGATGCTGAAGCTAACACAATCAGCTAAGTGACAAACTTTATATTTGTATTAACTCGTGTGTGTGCGTGTGTGTTTCATTAAAGACGACTGAGAAGGTACAGCAAATAAGCTTTTTATTTAATTTTTCTTGTGTTCATACAAGTGTTTTCTTTTCTAGACACAAAGTGTGCAATAACTGACATATACATAAAAAAAAAAAATAACATTCAGTTAAAAATAAAAATTGTCCCTAATAATGGCTAAAAGAATAGCCAAAAGCACTCGGATATACAGAACTTTTGGACAATTTTTACACACACTTAAATAAAAAACTTAATCACAGTACCTTGTCAGTCATCTTTAAATGAAACTTGTATATAAGAGGATTGCTGTCCATATATATATATATATATATATATATATATATATAAATATATATATATTTTTAAAATATGATTCCAACACACTACATAAGAGTTCTCATGTTTCAAAACAAGAGCCGAAAACTTCAATATAATTATTTGAATTGAATTAAAGTACTAAGCTCTGTTCCATCTTCAAGCGAAATGTTTTTGGAATAACTTATTTCAGAAATTTACGTGTTTTATAAGCATATATATTATTAAAATCAAAATTTCTATGGTAACGGCTAGAGCAATTGTTTAAAGAAAAAGGGGCGTAAGGTATTAATAATTTGTATCAATATCTCGGTTACATTCACAGATGTCAAGTGAGGGTAAGGTTGAGGTGTCTAAATTTAAAGTGGAAGAAGACCTCGCCTAGTCTGGTTAAGCGTCTATGGAGAATATTTTTTTTTTTTTTTTTTTATACCAACCTTATAAAAAACCAAATACTAACACCTTATATATACACCCAAAGTCAAACCACCCTCCATCCATAATTAAACATATACCCTCATCAATAAAGAATAGAATCAAACTCCACTAACAAAGAAATTTTCCAACAACACAGCAACTTTTATAACGCTGCCCTAAAAAATAGTGGATACAAAAATGCTAACATCAATTATAGAAACAATTGTACTAACCCGAAAAAAAAAACAGGAAAAGAAAAATCATTTGGTACACCCCCATCCATTCAACCAAATGGTTAGTATTAAGCTAGGACGAAAATTCCTAGCTTTAATTGAAAAACACTTTCCTACCAATAGTAGACTTAGTAAAATATTTAATAAAAAACACCCTAAAATTAAGTTACAGCTGCACTGAAAATCTAGAAAGTATAATAAAAAAACACAATAAAATCCTGAACAAACCCCCATGCCTGAATAGTATTAATAAAAACCCTACACTTAAATTAGACAAAAATAGTGAAAGATTATGTGATTGTAGAAACCCAGAAGGCTGCCCATTGGAAAATAAATGCTGCGTTAAATCTGTGGTATACTATCTAATCCATTGAGAATCCTAATACTAATATGATATACATTGGGTCTACGAAGAATGAATTTAAAGCCAGATGGAGGCAGCATAAGTGCTCTTTCAACAATATAAATAAAAGAAATCAGACATCTCTATCTAAATATTTTTGGCATTTGAAGGAAATGAATAAAACACCAAAAGTAAAATGGAAAATTATAAACAAAACTAGAACTTGTAAAACTTGGGATGACCCATGCCCTTTATGCCTACATAAAAAAAACTACACATTATTAAGTTTCTAAATAATAAAAATCTATTAAAAAATAGACATGAGTTAACGGTTTTTTGCCGACATCAAATTTTTGCATTGAATAGTTAACATAAAAACAAACAAAATAATTTTTAAAATCCATAGTCCTAATAAATAGTTTAAATGCCCTACCAAAAAAGATAACCCTTTATGAAGTCGTCAAAAAACAAATGTTAGCGATTTACAACAGTTTTTATATACACAAAACCCTTTCAGAAAAAAAAAAAAAAATAAAAAAAAAAAAAATAAATCTCCATAGACGCTTAACCAGACTAGGCGAGGTCTTCTTCCACTTTAAATTTAGACACCCCAACCTTACCCTCACTTGACATCTGTGAATGTAACCGAGATATTGATACAAATTATTAATACCTTATGCCCCTTTTTCTTTAAACAATTGCTCTAGCCGTTACCATAGAAATTTTGATTTTAATAATATATATGCTTATAAAACACGTAAATTTCTGAAATAAGTTATTCCAAAAACATTTCGCTTGAAGATGGAACAGAGCTTAGTACTTTAATTCAATTTAATTCAAATAATTATATTGAAGTTTTCGGCTCTTGTTTTGAAACATGAGAACTCTTATGTAGCATGTTGGAATCATATTTTTAAATAAATAATTATATTTATGCTCTACTTTTGTATCAAGCACTATTTTTTAAAAATATTAACAAAAATATTAAAGAACTTTGGATTATTTACCTGACGAGTTCTTTCCTATTTTCTATATATTTTTCGCACATATACATACATATATATATATATATATATATATATATATATATATATATATATATATATATATATATAGTCATCCATAGACCGAGTGTTTCACTGTATCACAGCTCAACTGTGTAGCTAGACATCCAGTTGCCTCTAGCTAGGATCAAAACCCAGCTGAATTGGCGTCAATCAGAGAATCTACCCTTAAATTGTTGGCCCATGATAGAGACGAGGGTGAATTTAAGCGCATTTATTTTTAGATAAATATGCCAGTGACCGAGAGAACTAAATTCGTTTTATCAAAGAGTATTGTATTAGTAGCAGTAATAGTCACTGTTTACAAACTCACTTTCTTTCTGGAGAGCTCAACCGATAGATATACATATATATAGTATGTGTGTTCTATAACTTTAAGGTCCATATTACAAGAAAGCCAATAAAGTCTAAGATAACAAAAACTTTGTAGACTTCCAGTTCTTTTTAAAAATTATTAAAATATTCCACCACCCAATTTATTCTTTCAAAATGTTCCAACAAATGAATAGCAACACCTTAGCCTGTTTGAAGTCGCACGATTAAAGTCAAATTTATATGGTTAAAAAAAAAAAATTTAAACATACCTGCTGTGAGAGAATAAATGCAGAAGACACTGTCGATTATCATCAAGATTCATGGCAGAAACAAGAAAACATCTTATCAATTCCCAAGATTGGCGCAGTAGATATGTATTTGTAGAACTACATTTTAGATTTGATAGAGCAGTATCAATAGCCTACAAAAGAAGAGATAGACAGTTAATAAACCATTGCAACTCATTTTTCTACTGAAATTTCCTATTTAAACTTACCAAAATTAAGCCAAACATAACAGTCTTGTCAATCTTTGTGGTTGTATGCCTAAATGCTTGTTTTCTTCAATATTACCAGCTTGAAGTATGTTTATGCATGGAGATATTTCAAACAAAAAACAGCCTTTATAGAAATTATACTACATCACTATAAATCTGCTTTAACTTCTTTTATCATTAACTTTTCAACATTAGCGAAATACTTTTTTCAGTTAGAATATCACAAAATTAAATGGCAAGATTAAAAAGATATGTTATTTTGTCATGAGTTTGTAAATTTCCACTTGGAACTTCACAAAAGGAAAAACAAAAATCTTTAATGTTTGGTACAGCTTAAGCAGGCAGCCTGTAACTTAAGGCAACCCAATCTGAATGCACCAGTTTTAATAATTAGATATTTATTTCAGGTGTACGATAAGCTTAACTCCACTTCAGAAAGTCATCTTGGAATTTTCAATATTACAAAATTAATTGGGTTAAAAAGAACAAAACTAAAACAAGTTATTGCAATCAATTTTGTATGCAGATGTTCTCACAATTTAAACAAATCTTTAAAAATAAGTTTATAAAATCATGTCTAAAGGTCATTCAATTTCTTTATTACAGATTTATTTATGTAAAATATATTTCAGATTGATTCATTTTCTTAACCCTTTGAAGGTTATTTAGAGCCAGAAAATATTTTTGTAGATTGTAAGAAATTTTTTTGAGATAATGGTTTAGTGATACAAGTCTTACTAATTAACCCATACAAGGAGATAGAAGAAGTGAATTCATACTTTTCCCAAGGGTATTTGCACATAAGTGAATATAACAAACCCAACTGGAATTGTAACTCTGCTCTCAGATTAACAATCCCGAGCCATTATCCATTAATCCACCCACACATCCAGGCTTACAACATCTGGAATTACCAAGTGGTTACCCATCTAGGTACTGATCAGGCTCAACATTGCTCATCTGGTGTTTCAATGTGATCATAAACCTTTCAGTTTATTTGTTAAATATAAAAAATATAAATTTTAAGTAGTTGTACATCACATCATTAAAGTCTTTAAATCGTTCAAATTTTAATTAATTTTCACAATGTGATTCTTGACAACTGCTTCTGTAATTCCTATCACATAAATATCTAAATGTTGACAGTGCTTCAGTTAAGAAAAAAAAACCTACTTCTAATATTACATATGTAAAAGGAAAATTATGGTGCAAAAAGAAAAACAAATAATAATGGAATTGAACAAGTTACAGGTTAAATTTATCCTTTTGCAAAACCATCAAGTTCTCACAGGTTAGTATTTAAAGCAGCATGTGAATTCAACCAGTCTTCCTAAAGGCAAAAGAGAAGAATTCAAATCTAACCAAGAGCTTTATTTCTATTTCTGCACTGTCAGTCAAAATTTAACAGCTCGAATAAATTTGCAAGAAAAAGCAACTGAAAGTGAATATTAGTGTGTTAACAAAAAAAAGAAAAACAATGATTATTGGCATAAAGTTGAATTTCTCTCACTTAGCAATTTACATATTACTTCAATAAAACAAATAGATTTCAAATTTTAAATAATTTCTAATATAAAGTTTAATATTAAATTTAACTCCAATAACATTAGTTTTAGCTTCAATTTACAACAGAACCTACTTTTCAAAATATTTGATGGTAAAAATAATGAAAATTGACATTGTTAGCTAAATGAGGAGCTTCAAAAAGTTAAACTATAGAATGTTCGTAGTACCATATATTTTAGTAAGAAGTAAAATAATAGAAATTTTACTTACTTTTTCAACAGGTAAGTTAATTGGAGTTTTACATTCTTGAAAGTGAATCACCACACAAGGACCAACTGTTTCTTTTTCATTGAAATTCAACTGAAGTGGAATATATACATAAACAATTTAAACAATGACTTGATACAAAATTTTAATAAAGCTTTGAATAGTACCAATGAAAGCCTCCTAATACTAAAAAAGAAGGCATCTATGGTTTTGAAGGGATTTTCTTTTTATTGGTTATTTATTTTCCAATGAAGAGGGATAGAAAACTCAGCAGCACTGGAATCAAACCCTAAATCACAATGACACTGGGTAACACAAAAAAAATCCTTGGTAATGCACAGCAATCTCATTGTGCTGCCAATGCTACATACTGCCAAGTTCCCCCTCCTCCCAGATAATGTGTCTGCTTTTATGGGGCCTAAAACTTTAGCAGTTGACTAGCAAAGGAATCATTTGCATAGCTAACACTGCTCAGCTCTCTGCCCTAACTATCTTATGGATGGATGTTGGATTTAACGGCATGTCAACTCCTATTTGGGTCAATTTATGCCGAAGCCTTATTAATTTATGAATTTAAGTTGGTTATTTTGTATAAAAAGATGAAAGGTTGTTGGGTTTCATAATTTTCTGTATTTTTTGGGATTGCTTTTTGTGACCGTTTCTGATTGTGTATTTTACTGTTTACATTCATAGATGCATATATATGTCTATAAGCATATATATATATACACTATTTATATTTTTTATTGAGGATTTTTATTTCCTTGAGAAAACTGTATATTTTTTCTGTGTCTGTATTTTTGAATATTTCTTTTAAATCTTTTCCATTGAGATATTTCTGTCTTATCCTAGTTATGATTTTGCATTCTGATAGAATATGTCTTATTGTGATTAGGCTTCCACATTTACATTTTGGTGGATTTGTCTTTTTTAATATGTGAGAATGAGTTAAATATGTGTGTCCTATATGTGTTCTGGTTATGACAACTTGTTTTTTCCAGTATTTCCAAGATCATTTCCCATTTTCCTACTTTAGGTTTAATTTGAAATAATTTATTTCGGTTTGGTTTTTCCATAGATTTTGCCATTTGTTTCTTATGTATTTATATATTTTAGATTTTAAGTCTGTATATGGAATTTGAAGATTTTCGTCAATTGTCATTTTTAAAGATGATTTAGCAGCATTATCTGCCTTATCTCCTCCTTGGATGCCAACATGGCTAGGAATCCAGCAGAAGATGATATTTTTGCTTTTTTTCCATTGAATGTAGTTTATATAGAAGACTTTGTATTAATGGATTTTCCAGTCTTTTCCCTTTTAGGGAGGTTAATACCGATAATGAATCTGAGAAAATAATATAGTTTTCTCCTTTGTTTTTTGATATGAAATTTAGTGCTAGTTTTATTATGTAGGCTTCTGCACTGAAAATTGATGCTTCATTTGGCAAGCGTTTTTTGATAATTGTTTCTTTTTGTTATTGCTGCGCTGCCTGTTTTTTTTTCGTCTCTTTTGATCCATCTGTGTAAATACTTTCATAGTTTTGATATTTTTCTTTTATTTTTGAGAATTTTTCAATGTATGTTGTGGGGTGTGTTTTTGATTTTGATAATTTGTTTAAACTTAATATTATGTTTGGATTTTTGATTATCCATGGTGGTATGTTTGTTTGGTTGGTTTTAAGTATTTGATTAGACGGTAAATTATTTTCTTGGATGATTCCTTCCATCCGGAGTCCCAATGTTTTGATTTTATTTGTGTTAAGATTAAATTTCTCTTTGTGATTTGGTGTAATTACACAATCGTGTGTGGGGTTAGAAGGACAGGAAGAGAGTTTTAGATAGTATTGAGTAGCTAGTTTCTCCATTCTTAGTTGTAATGGGGTTCGTTTGCCTCTACATGTAGACTCTCTATAGGTGAGGTGGGATAGGCTCCTAGAGCTATCCGAAGGCCTTCATGATGTATTGTGTTTATTGTTTTTAGATAAGATTTTCTAGTTGATTGGTAGACCATGCTGCCATAGTCCAGTTTGGAGCGGATCAACGTTCTATAAAGCTTAAGAAGGGTTTCTTTGCTAGCTCCCCATTCTGTATGGGCTACTGTTACGTAGTAGTTGGAGAGCTTTAAAACATTTTGTTCTTAGGTAATTGATATGTGGTCTGAAGGTCAGTTTGCTGTCAAAGATCATTCCTAGAAATTTATATTGCTGAACTACTGGTATTTCTTCATTTCCTAGTTTTAGAGTTGGGTTATTGTGTAATTTTTTTCATTTGGCAGAAGTGTACAGATTTTGTCTTCGTTTTTTGATATTTTAAAACCGTTTTCGAGTGTCCATTTGTTTATTTGATGTAAACATTGTTGAAGTTGTCTTTCTGCTGTGTTGAGGTTTCTTGATCTGTAATATATTGTAAAATCATCAACATAAAGGCTACAGTGTATTCCTGATTTGATGTTTTTTATTATGTCATTTATTTTTATTTTGAAAAGTGTAGGGGAGAGTACACTTCCCTGTGGTACTCCCTCTTCTTGCTTTTGATAATCAGAACGTGTAGTATCTATTTGTACTTGGAAGAGTCTATCTGTTAAAAATCCTTTTACGAAGTTTGGTAGTCGACCTCTTAATCCTAATTTATGCAGATCTTTCATTATACCATGTTTCCAGGTTTGATCAAATGCTTTTTCTATATCAAAAAATATGGCTATTAGATGTTGTTTGTTTAAATTGGCCTCTTTATGGCTGTTTCTAGTCTTATTATGTGATCTATTGTACTTCTTCCTTTATTATATCCACATTGATATTCTGATATGTGTTTTCCTTCTTCTAGAAACCAACTCAATCTGGCGTTGACCATTACGCTCCATTGTCTTACATAGACAGCTTGTTAATGCTATTGGTCGGTAACTTTGTGGGTTGTTTCCTCTTTTCCTTCTTTTTGAGTATGGGAATAATTACAGATTCTCTCCATATTTTGGGAAATTTCCCAGTAGTCCAAATATTGTTAAAAATATTCAAAAGGTATTTCAGCGATTCTTGTGGTAGTTGTTTAATAAATTCATAGTGGATTTGGTCTGGGCCTACTGCTGTATTATGGGATTTTTTATGGCTTCTATTAGTTCCGCTTCAGTGAATAGGTTGTTGTAGGCTTCTGTATTTTTAGATGAAAAATTTAGTTGGTTATTTATATCTTTTTGTTTACACTTTTGTAGGTTTTGATTTTTGCTCATTTTAGAGTTTTCTGCAAATGTCTCTGCTAGTAGGTTTGCTATCTCTCTTTTGCTAGTTGCTTTAGTGTTGTCCTTTTAAGATGTATTATTGGGTGTATTTGATCTTTTCCAGCTATTTTTCCTCATCATTTCCCATATTGTCTTGGTTTTAGAATGTGTATTTAGGCTGTTTACATATTTTTTTCCAACATTCCCTTTTGGCTTCTTTCACAGTTTTCCGTGCTACTGCTTTGAGTTTCTTCATTTCAATCAAATTTTGGGTTGTGGGTTCCTTCTTGAATTTTTCATAATGCTGCTTCCCGGTTTCTGACTGCTTTTTGGCAGTTTTTGTCAAACCAGGGTTTAGTTTTTTTATAATTATTTTGCTTTTTTGGTATATTTTCTGAGGCAATGGTTATTAATGTTTTGGTAAAGTATTCTACCGAGTTGTCTGTGTCCTTTGACTGTATCAGTACTTGTTTACATTTGTTTTGAAACCCTCCCAGTTGGCTCTTTTCAGTTTCCATCTGACGGGGCCTATCTTTTCTTCCTTGGCAGGCTTTTTGATTTTCTAGTATGATCGGGTAATGATCACTGCCACATGTGTCACTATGTGTTTTCCATGTATAATCCATACAAATTTCTGGATCGCTTATACTTAAGTCTATTGATGATTCTGTTCCATTGGAGGGATTAAGGTAGGTTGAGGATTTATGATTTAATAGACATAAGTTATGGGTGTTAATTATTTCTTCTAATATTTTACCTTTAGTATCTAGCTTTTTTGCTATTCCATATAGGATTATGACTGTTAAAGTCTCCTAGTAAGATTCTGGGTTTGGGAAGTTGCTCCATCAAGTTGTTTATTTCTGTTGTGTTTATTGGTTCCTGTGGGGGTATATAAATGGAAAAGAATTGTGATGGTTTTATCTAGTGTCACTTGTGTTGCTATTGCTTGTAATTTAGTTTTAATGTGTACTTTACTTTGCGGTATGTCATTTCTGATCAATATTGACACTCCTCCATTAGCTCTATGTCCTGTATTGTGGTTATAGTGGTATTGTTTATAATTTTTAATTTTTAAGTTGGTATTTTCTTGTAAAAAAGTTTCCTGTAAGCAGATGACGGCTGGATACAGTAGTGACATAAGTATGAGTAGGTCATTGTAATTTGATTTTATTCCACGACAGTTCCATTGCAGGATCTTATGTGCCATGATTATATTTTCATTTTTTGGGAGTAAAGTTACCTACTAGGTTGGTATCATTTGTCCTCTCCAATTTTTTTCCATCTCTTGAGTTTTTAGAAGCTTTGTCTTCAACTGCTTGTGGTGTCCTTCGATCAGATTTTTGATTTTGTTTTGAATTTTGTTTATTATCTTTCTCTTCTATTTCTATATATTCCATAGGTTCAAATTTATTTTCATTTGATATACTGATTCTCGATTTTGAGTTAGATCTTGATCGAGTGCTTTCTTGCTCTGTTGTCACTTTTTTTTTTTTTTTTATTTTTCATTTTCTTAGTTTGGGTTTTGAAAAGAAGAGGGTTCGCTGGAGTTTTGTTCTGTGTTTTCTTTCCAAAGTTTTTTGCCTCCTTCTGGGTTTATTCCATTTGATCTGGGTTGTTGAGTTTTATTTTGATCCGATTTAAGTTCGGTTAAAAAGGTTTTAATTCTTCAAGGAAAGCTTTTAATTCCTTACATAGATTTGTTATTTCAATTGAACCTTTTATTTTATCTTCATTGTTTATTTTATTTGCTTTTTGTGCCATGGAAGCATATGTGTTTTCTTTTATATTATTTATAACTTCCTTTCGTGCTTCTATGTAAGATATATTTTTTTTTTTTTTATTCTAATTATTTCTTTCTCCTGTTTATATATATTGCATTGTTTTGAGAGGGCAGAGTGGTTTCCCAAACAGTTTGAGCATAGGCTCTCATTTGGGCAGTTCTCTTCTTTGTGTTCTGGTTCCTTCTCACTACATTTCCCACATATTTTTTATTTCTACAGGAATCTCTGTGATGCCCAAATTTGTGGCATTTATAGCATTGTAGAGGGTTTGGTACATATTGTTCTACTTTTATACTTTCATATCCAATTTTTATTGAAGTTGGAATTTGGGGGAGTTGAACGTTATAATGTAGGTATTAGTTTGTATCTCAGCTCCATTTTTTTTAATTGTTATTCTTTTAACATTTGTAACTCCTTGAGTTTGGAGTTCTATTTTTATTTCCTCTAGAGTGCACAAGGAGAGCTCCTTACTTTTTACTACTCCCTTTGAGTAATTTAGTGTTTGGTGTGGGTAGGTTTTATTTCTATCTCTTGTAGTTTTTTTGTCTGATCAATGTGTCCGCATATATTTTTTTTTTACTTCTATTAGTATTGTTCCATTTTGTAATTTTTAACCTTTTTTGGTATTATGATATTTGTTATTGCTTTTTGTATTTTAAACGGAGAAATTTCTGATAATGATTTTTGGCTTATTGCTTCGAGTACAATAAACCGTGGGAAGTTCTCACTTTCATTCTCTGTTTCTGAGTCGTTATCTACATGTGGTCTCTTGGAAGATTTCTTTTTTCCATTGATTGTTTTTATTTTTGTTCATCATTCTCGCTCCCTACCCACCACGGAGTCCAGATTGGGACAGGTCAAGGGGGAAACCCATTAAGCCTTGCCATGTCGGGCTACGTGAATGATATACTCTTTTTTGGGAGGAGTCTTTGAGCACGCATGTTCCTTTGTTTCCGTTTTCCAAGTATTACGGCTGTGAAGGTTTAGCAAGTGTGTCAGATACTTTTTTCCCCAAAATTGATTGACCCTCAGCCACTGCTTCCATCACATATTTAGGGTTAAATGTTAGTTTTGGTTGGGAAGAGGAGAGTCAGTCATAGGTTTGGGATGGATTATATATAATGGGGCTTGACATGACCAGCCGATTGATCGGATCGGGCCCCTCCGACTGCCCGTCTAGCCCAGGTAAGGGACAAAGTGGTGTGTTACAAGATTGTGACCGCTTTACACCTGGGTTACAACCTGCTCAACCACCAGGATCCCGTCCCCAGACATTACGGGTCGCCACCCACGGCCAACAGGTGGCCCCATTGAGGGACTTTTACCCTCTGCAGGGGGGCAGTCGGCGTATTCTGATGCCCCACCGACCGGGCGGCTATCTTATGGGGAAGCTGGTAAACATTCCAGAGTTCATATCAGTTGCGTTCTGTCATGACAGCCATGTGCTGTCTTTCTGCAGAGACAGCACACTAAATGTCGTCTCTTTGACCAACGAGTGCGGGTACCACTATCAGTAACCACTGACTGCTTCATCTGTATTTTGTTTCTGTTATGGGTTCATTAGACATCTTTTTAGTATTAGTGTGTGTGTGTGTGTGTGTATATTTCGTGAACATTTTTAAGATTACCAGTATCTTATGCAGATAAAAAATTACATGGGAAAGATTAAGAAAAAGACAGTCACAATATTGTAATTAATATCTTCAGCAAGTTGTCAATTCTTTTGGCAAAAGATGGTTTTCTTCAAGAGATTAAATTTTGAGCCATCAGGCCAAATCACCTCAATTGTGATTACAGAGTTCCAAGCATAATCATTGAACAAAATTCCCTGAAATTCCCTAATTTTGGGACATTGTGTAAGAGAGAGACAGGATTGAAAGAAGTAGACATTTCAAATTTTACTAATACTAGAAAACTATATATATATATATATATATATATATATATATATAAAAAGCATTTTCAAACAATTTTCAATCTAATAAACATGTCATTCAATGCATGCCAAGTTGCATTAGATAATTCCCTGATTTCACTGACATTAAACCAAAATTCTATGTTCATTCCTAGATTTCTGTGTTTTCCAGGTTTTTTGCAAACTTTGAATTAGGTATTTCATATCTCATGCCTCCAAAAGTTACCTTGAAAAACATCACTCCAATATACTACTAATAACAGACTATCTTCTAAATAGTGATAGTGACTGGAATCAATTCACCCCTAGATATGGACAACAAATATTTTCCAATTAAAAAAACTTATCACAGTTTTGAAACAGCAGTGAAATTGCCAAAAGCAAAATTAATAAAAGTTTTTCTATTAAAAAAAGAAAAAAAGCTATCCAGTAGTTCTTTTTCATCCTAGTTTTTAACTCAATGACTAATTTTGACAAACACATGCACAAATGTGCACTTATTTTAGCAAGAGTAAACACGTTCCAAATTATCAATGGTTTGTAAAAATTAAATTAGTTCTATTAAACAACAGGTACAAGATCCTTATGATTCAATCAAGTTTAATCTCACTTCTCAAACATATCTGCTTAAATTTATAAATGCAGTTTTTTTTTTGCCATTAAAATTTTAAAAGGCTGTAAAAAGTTTTGTTTTTTGAATTTGCTTAAAAGGAAATTTATAAAATTAACACAGAGTGACCAAGATTCTTCTGTACCAGTTTTCCTTATTCTCCTTAAAAGGAAATTTGATAAATTTTTTCATACCTTTTGTGGTTCTCTAACCATTTTACGATTACCACCACCAAACTTTCCAAGAAGTCGGAATGCCACAACAGCAATGTTATCAGCTGGATTTCTCAAAGTACGCCAGAGTGCCTACAAGGGGGAAAAGTTCTTCTTATAAAATATGGATTTCTAAGGCTATATTTAAAAACAAAACCTGCAAAAATTTCATTTCAAATAACCATAAAGAAATAAGCATTTACTTTTATAAATAGTTTATACATTCTATAAATTTAAAAATTTGCTTAAACAGAGAAACAAGCTGAAAACCAATTTCTATTTTCTAATTTTCATCAGTGAAAATGCATTAATGAAACATCTTTAACCGATATCCTGCTGACATCAGTTTAAACTAATGTCTTCTTTCATATGTCTAAACTATAATTTGCATTCACTTACAAGCTAATATCCTTTGGAAAGGTATGTATTATAACAACATCAATAATAATGATTATGATTGTAAGCACTTCCAGTCCCACCAAGGAATGCTGGAAGCAAGACTGATCCAGCAGGCAGTTTGAATAATAAAGTTGTTATCACATCTCTTGTAGTCTTTGCGTTGCTTTGACTTTTCAGCAACCAGTCCCATATAACTTATTTTTCTACCCTAGGACCAGTGAAACAATATGAATTCATCTCTTTCCCCCAGTTATGGCTAAATAGGACGGACTAGGCTCTATAGCTTTGGTTGACAACCAGTCTAGGAGAAGGAAAACTCTGAATTCAAACCACCTTCTTGCCTCTTTAACTTCTAAGAGAAAGGACAGGGTAGCCTCAACATCTCCAGTGCAAAAGGAACCAGCAAGCCATTGCACTATTCTGCCTTGAATGTCACCATGAACTACAATTGTGAGATGGAAGGCAATGGTGACCACAGTGGCACAAAATGTATTAACTGAACAAATGAATGAGGAATTTTTGAAAGTGAAAATTTTTCAACATTTCATTAAAAAAAAAAAGAAGAAAAAATAAAAATAAATCAATCAAACTTTAAACAAAATGATCACAATGAAAAAAAAAGGCAGCATCAGTTTAAACAGACACCAAGAGGATATGGGTTCATTTTATCAAAACTGTAAATGTATGAAATAATGAAACAGATCACAAAAGCTGATAACTTCTGAACATCCATGAAACATTTTTAAAGCAAATACAATATAAACATTTTACCTGCATCAGTTCTGCTCTAACTGGTTGAATATGTTCATACAAGAACTCTGGCTGTAAATTATCTACACATAATTCCAGAGTTCTCAAACCCTGCAAAGAAAATGTTACACAATTGATTCATATTTATAAAAGTATCTCCCTTAGACCCCATCCAAATTATTTAAATTAATTTACAAATAAAAGAGCAAAAGTCTCAATGAATAGATTAGCTAATTTTAAGTTTCTTTACAGTGATACATTCATATAGTTTTCAATTTAAAACATCTAATAAAACAATAAAACATCTAACAGAACGTCCCAGATAATTTGCTACAAGCTTGTATTTCATAAACATTATCAAAAAAGTATTTTCAGTCATCAACATTCAAAGTAATTTAATAATTTCCAACCAATTCCCAAAACATTTGCAAATTTTATTTTGCAGTTTTCTTGGCCATTTGACACCATTAATTAAATAAATGAACTAAAATTTATTTTCATAAATTCAACAAATAAAAATTCCATTTTAAAAACACTTTAAGTAAATTAAGTATACTTACTTGGCTAACTAAAGTTTGGGATCCATTTAATGCCGAAACCAAAGGGTCCATCAACATGGGAAGATAAGGCAGCAGAGAACTAAGCCTTACAGGAACTGTGAGGCAGAGCTCAACAAATAAATCCTTTATATGCTGCTTATGTAAGCCACTTTGCAGACTGTTCAAACCTGTTTGTACAACCAACCAACAGTTTTAAAAAAGGCATACAAAAAGGAACAGAAAAAAATGTCTCCAAAATTTAAGTCTTCAAGACTTTCTTTTTCATAAATTGATATTCCAAATGTTTTAAACAAGGATATTTTATTAAAGGATGAATACTTCAACTTGACAGTGGCCTGAGGGATGAGAAAAATTTCTCCTCTGAATCAGTGATCAATTACACCACCTAAATTGTAAGATTATCTACATAAATACAATCACAGATTGGAACTACATTTAAAATTCAATCTTTTGTGAAGACGTGATTTAACAAAAGGCAGTTTATAAATTGATGATTTCACTTGAAGTCTGCAGAATAAATGATAAAAGCAACAAAGAGAGATCATTAAAATGTGAACATACAGCCACAGCCTTCTGTGTGTTTCAAGTCCCATTTGTGTCAGTCAAGGCCTATAACCAAGTATACATTTCACAAAAGTACAGATGAAATTGAGAAAAGAAAATACAAATCTAATTTCCAATATATATTGGATTCTTTATTCATGCATTCCTCTGGCAGTCTGGTGAGGTAGGTAAGTGACTTTTGGGACATCTTCACTGCTTTCTCACTACAATGTAACAGAAAAGATCTTTCTTTCAATCAGTGAAAACTGCAACTGTCTACATCTCAACAGATGATTTGTCACTCTGCTTACTTTAATCATGACTCCCATCACTGACTGCCTGTGTCTACACATCTCTATTGACAGCTTCTTTCAGATGACCCTAGTATGCAGCCTCACTTACAGAATCCCCTGCATCCAGCCAAGTGGCACAGATCCTGATGTTTTCACTTCTTTCTTTGGACTTATTTCCTCTTTGCCTAATTACGGACATTTTGAAGCTATCACATTTCCATTTTACTGTTGGTCATCATAAAAACGGCCAGTGCTTAAGACCTACATAAAACCATTGATAGCACATTTGACTTCATGTGTGTCCTACTGGATTTAGCTTAATCCAGTAGGGATCCATTGTGTCAGAAAATAAATTAATAAATATGGGAACCCTATTCTAAGACAACAAATTTTAATAGATTTAATTCAGAATAGTAACCAAATATGAAAAATATAAACTTACCTTGCAGGAGATTAGGTAACAATGGTAAAAACTCTTGATAGAGAAGATCATAACTACCTCCTCCTATGGATCGGAATAATGAACGCAGTAGGAGAAAATAGTTGAAGGGCTCTTTAGCAGTTGTTGCTAATGACATTGATCGGTTTACAATGGTGTGAAGATGTGTCTGAAAGATAATTTCTTTTTTCAGCTGTATGTATAAAATGCCAAGTTAAAAGTTCCTAATCTTTAGAGACTTAAAAAAAAAATAAATAAATAAAAAAAGAAAAAGTTTGTTATTTTTTAAATAATTATAGAAGAAAAAGTTAAATTTACAACATTGATTTTTAAGTTAACTATAAAAATGTTAACATTTATAGGGATCAAAAAGTTTTTTTCAATAATTTCCAAGTCACCATAAGTTTGTCACATCTTTCTTGCTTTATTTTAGATATCTTGTGTAGCAATTAAAGCAATACATAGTAAAAAAAAAAAAAAAAAAAAAAACAAACTTTACAACTACTCATGTCACTAAATGAAAGCAATAATTAACTCAATGTTAATAAGTTTCATTAAGCTTGGAGAATTTAGAACAGACTATCCATACTAAATAAATGAAGTTACTAAATTAAGACAAGGTTCCAGCATTGTATATTTTGCTGATACAAAATATTAAAAACTTTCATATCGGTATAAAAAAAAGTTGTCAGACAACCAAGAATGAGTGTTGGTTACTTGGATTGTATAAGCAATAGAGCAAAAATATCCTAGTAAACCAGAATTTAAAAATTAAACATGAATTATCACAATTTCATTTAGGCTCTTAGAACTTCACGAAATACAATCCATTTTCTGCAATATAGTCAAGTATGGGCTTAATTAACAAAAATAAAATCAAACTTCAACTTACTTTTAACATCTGCTCATTGTCAGCCGCGAATAGAGAAACAGAGCCAAAAACTAATTTAAAAAGTTTCAAATACAAATTTGAACGTTCTGTATTTGAAGCTGTGAAAAAAAGAAAATGAAGCAATAGAGTCAAAAATCATTTCTTGAAAAGGTAAGAAAATAAATATGCACATTGTTGGCCAGATCAGATACACATCGTTAGCCAGATCATTCAAATGACAGAATGATATTAGTTAATAATACACATCTTCATACATTGGCAACTCAAAATCATTGAAAGTAAAAATACTTTTTTAAGTATGAAACAAATATGGAACACTAAATAATTTCCACACAGAGAGATACGAAAAAGGAATGAGAAACCCAAAACACTGTTTATTAGTTGGAATAGTGAAACTAACATTGGAAAAGTATTTTATACTTTAGGCAATTAAAAATGGCACTAACCCTGAAGACCATCTGAAGTGGTTGTTATAAATGGACCTGAACTAGCAGATCTTTTGTAATTTAATAAAGCAATATGTGTCAGTTTGAGGAGGCAATTCCAGCACATGGTACCTTTGAAAAGGTGCCTGAAAAACCATATAACATATTAAACTAAGCCTTGTGAGTGAAATTGGGTAGACAAAGCTGTTTGGAAGTCATCCATGATTGTGCTAGCACAAAGTCACAAGTCATCATGACAAAGAATTTGAGTGTGCTGTCCTTGTTACAAAAATTGATCACAACAGATTATATGCTCTCCTTCTCTCCCAGATGCTATAATTAAGGACTGTTCAGCTTAGTTGCATTATAAACCACAGGTGGACTATGTGGGTTGAGCAGGTGCCTGTAATAAGAATGTGCTAGTTGTCCTGACAGATGAGTGTGTTCAGAAACGAGTTGTAGCTGATTGATGAGTTTGCATTCTTTTAAGATTTTGAGGTTATGACAGTGCACATGTTTAATAAATATACAACGGACAAGAGAGCTCTCCAAAGGATTATAGATATTGTCCAGAAAATAATGTGGTGGGTCGCTGCTCTCGTTGGAAGACATTTCCAATTTTCATTAGAACAGAAAACATAATGAAAAACAACACACATCCTGGGTACCACTTGTTTGAACTGTTACCCACAGAGTGATGTTTTAGTTCTCGGACAAATTGCTTGATGGATAGCTTTTATCCCCAAGTCAAGCAAAAAATGAGTGCTGTCACACACTGACAATTTTCAATGTATTTTAAACATATCTTTATTTGATGCTGTGTGTTTTGTGTGTGTACACCTGGGGACTGCTGTGAGTTCAGAACATCTTAATCAGCAATGCATATTGGCCTACCATGAGGGGATGTTTTGCATTTTGAACTGTTCACATTCAAAATTTAATTTGAAAGTTTAGATCATTTTTATCAAATCTGTATAAACCTTTTTAAAATTGTTGCTGGGCCTCAATGTGACCTGTTTATAATATAGATATATATATGTTAATATATTATTAAAATATGTGTATATTTTAATTTTGCTTTCTTTCTTTTTTGTTTGTTTTATTGCACAGCAGTTTTATTTCCTTGATCAAACTGAGAACCACTCAGCCTTTTCTATTTTTTCAAATTACTATAACCTTTCTTCCTGACTATTGTCATCTCATTTTGATAAATATGTTTGTTTTATAGCATTGATTTTTTTTTTAAAAAAAACAAGCCCAAAAATATATATAATCATACATTATCAAAATCTCAAATTTTAAAAATTTGATACATAACTCTGTACAACAATGTGAATACATTGTAATTTTATGGAATGTAACTGAAAAAAATTTTTTGAGATGGGAACTTATCTACATTTTTTTTTATTTGTCAGACCCTTTAAAGAGCTAGGTAGTCATAGTTTTCTACAACTTTCTGTCCTTTGTTGACTTTTTACCATCCCTTTGTCCCTATTCTGTCATCCAATCACACAAGCTTAAGTAGTTTATTTGCTGTTTCCCCTCTACTGCTTCTCTTGCCTCCACTCTCTAATAAGTGTTAAATTCTCCAAGCACTCTTCCGTCATTATATGTCTCAAAAATTTCGCTTGTCCCTTTCTGATCCAAACGCAAGTTTCCTTATTGTTCCCATTTTCCTTAAGATACTCTTGACATGTCTCGTTAAATAATTTAGACGAGTTTTGTTTACTTATTTTTAATATGATCCTCTCATATTCATGGACAAGTTTCTTAGTAACCTTATTAAAGGAAGAAAGTTACCATATTGATAAATATTCATTAATTCCAAGTACTTTTGACATTAACAAAATGTCATCTCATGTTCTGTGCGTGATTCAAATGTCACCTTATTTCAATCTTTTTCATGCAGCAGCAGATGTAATTTTATTAAATATTTTTTATTCAATGAAAAAAAACCTGCTTCAATCATTTTTAAAAATGAGAAAAATAAGATATTTAATCAGCTGAAATCACTCAACAACTGCCTCTGTTTCAAGAATATGAGTGTATGTTATACAATCAAGCAAAGGGTGAAAGTATAGTATTAGAAGGAAATAAGATGAAGCAAGTAGAGGACTTCAAGTACGTTGGCGCAATGGATTCAGTCAATTGCCTGGGGTGCACTAAACAAAATGGAAAGAGTATGAAAAGCAAGCTGTTCTATGATTCTGAAAGCTGGACTTTAACAAAAGATGATGATTGATAGGCTTGGCAGAACTAAGTCTCTGTGAATGATCATCCATTCCACTTTGTGATATTATCAGCTAATTTGAATGACTTTCTCTTTAAAAGGTTTGATTGAACCTATACAAGGATGCTCAAGGGTATATTTGATGTATCATGGATAGAGCTTCAAGGAGCTCTACAGAAAAGCATGACAGATACACTACGGATTAGAAGACTGCAATAGATTGAACACAACTGGCAGAGGAAAGAAGAGCTAAGTAATCTTGTGGGAATCTAACCATGGAAAATAGAAAAGAGAGAAACTAAAGTATATGTGGGATCAGTTAAAAAAATGATACTAGCTGAAGAGTGAAGAACTAATAAAGATCACAGGAGACAAAGAAGAATCAAACTAGGCAAAGATGTTTGATTTGATTGATATGTTTTTTAAGGCTTATCAACCTTTGCAAGTTATTTAAAGCCAGAAAATATTTTTAGATTGTAAAATTTTTTTTTTTTTGGGGAAATAATAATGGTTTACTGATATAAGTCCTAATTAACACATAGTTAGAAGTGAAGAGATGAACTCATAACTTTCCCAAGGGTATTTGTCCAAAAGTGAAGATCACAAACCCAACTGGAATTGGAACTCGGCTCTCTGATTTAACTAGGCAGATATTAATTATTTTCTTACAGTTTTGCTGCAGTTGATTTTCTGCAACATTAAACATTTTTTTTTAACAGAATATTATTTTGTTTGAATCTATGAAAAATATATTGTCATCAAAATACTAAATATTGCTTATAGTCAAAATTTTCTTTCAAATTTTTTAAATTAGTTAAATCGTTTTCCATAAAACATGGGACAATGTTTACAAGATTTACTAAACTTCCCTTAATCTGGCAGAAAGCTACAAACATTGGGAGCCCAGTGAAGATCAAACTCATTAATGATTATCTGATTGATTTGCTAACCATTGTTCCATAAGAAGGTGCTTAATGCTAAAACAGAAAACTTAACATCTGTCTATAAAAGTATTGGTTGACTGATTCAAAGGTGACTTAACCCAAAGAGTTATAAGTTCAATACCAGGCCACAGCAGAGGGAGCAAAAACTTATCCAGGGGAATTAACTGAAACTGAGATATCTAAAGGCATGGCATGTGGAATTAGAACAATAAACCCCATGGCCTAAAAAAAGAGTTTGGTTCAAAATTCCAACAAATATCACCTAAAGAAGGCTGGAGCATACAACAGCTGAAATGTTGTGGAATATGAAGACAACAATCTGAACAATGTAAAACAATGTTTATAAGTATTTTGAAGATAAGCAATCAGAAGTATTAACCTTTTCATACTAACTCTTCAAAGACGAATAGTAAAGTTTGTAAAAAGAAAGAACAAAAAGTCAACTTACATCCCATTTCTTCCATTCTGGCAAGTAAGAATTCTACTAAAATAGTTGCAAAGGTTGCTGAAGTTGTCATATTTGAAAGGAAGGTATTAGCAATGATCTGGAAAATAATAACATTTTGTATTAACAATGTATTATAAAGACTTGTTGCAGTCCATTTCTTTCAATATATAATTAATATTCATACCAAACAATGAAATTAGAAGAGGTTTTTAAATGCTTCTTCTCTCATCTAATTATGTGCCTTTTGAAAAGAAAAAGAACCAATTTTTTCTGTCTCATCCTGTTGATTGTCCATCTGTCAAATTACTAGAACGTGATAAAAACCTAGTAACAGAAAGAAAGAAAGAAAAAAAACAACCTCTTCTATATTATCTAATCAGAGAATCTTGTGAGCATCACATATTTTACAAATATTTTATATCTACATTTGTTTATATTGAAGCAAACACATTTCTTTATAATCTTAACAGATGAAAGTTTTATATGAAAAGATTTCTGGACAGTTGATTATTTTTTGAAAGCTTATCAACCGTTTGCAGGTTATTTAAAGTCAAAAAATATTTTTTTTAGATTGTAAGAATTGTTTTTGAAGATTATGATTTACTGATAGTCTTAATTATTAACCCATAGCTGGGTGAAAGACGTGGAGTCATACCATTCCCAAGAGTATTTGCACATAAGTGAATACAACAAACCTAACTGGAAATTATACTTGGTTCTCAGATTTCTTATTCCAAGCCATTATCTATTACACATTACACACAACCAAGCTTACAGCTATTCCCAAGTGGTCATGCATCCAGGTACTGACCAGGTTAGACATTGCTTAACTTTGGTTATCGGATGAGAACCAATGTTTCAGCATAATATGGCCATAAGCCTGAAATATTGGGTCAAAATTCAAATCCCATGATTGGTTCACATTGGGATTTTATTTTTAAGGATCTTTCTGTGTAATCTTATGCAAATGTTTTTGTTCAATTCCAGCATTCCCGATTTGATGGAACCAATTTGAAGTCACTCAAAGTGACATCATCTAAATGAGCAAAATGAAATTTTCTTGTGCATTTAAAAAGAAAAAATATATAGTTCCCTGTGGAGAAAGCTAGCTTATTTAATGTTGGCTGCTGCTTTTATTACAACAGCGTCCAGAATTTTATGATAAAAATAGTTTTAAGGTATGATATATTTATGGGTAAAAGTGCTAAATATCAGAGATAGAGCATATGTAAATGATGACATGAAACAAGCTGTGCCAATCATTGTTGACCCTGGTGTCCACTTTATTTATTTATATATATATATATATATATATATATGAATAAAAACACACACATTTTATGGAGAGCTGCAAACATGGAAGTGAAATGACGTCAAACCTAAGATGTGCTTTAAGGACTGCATCAAGAATGTAGTGAAGAAATGCAACATTCCTTGTGAGCACTAGGAAGAATGTGCATTTGATTGCATTAATTGGGATGCGGCTGCTAGTAGTGGAAGGCATCACTTTGAACATGAGAAAAGCAGGCACACAAAGCTTAAGAGATGTGCATAAAGGCATCCCTGTTGAACTTCCTGGATACACCTGCTGGCAGCCCAATCTAACACGTACAGATTGTGGTAGAGTGTGTTTGCCAATGACGGGTCTAAGGAGTCACTTGAGAGTGCACTGACAAAAAGTAGCAATTGACTATAAAACTGTAAACGTAAATGTGATATTTGTGGTAAGGTATATGGGTCCAGAAGCAGTTTCATGTGACATTTTAAATTGCATGATAATGTACCACTCATTGTTGGCCCCCTTAAATGCCCTGTTTGTGCCAGAATATGTAGGTCCCTTGCTGGGTTAAAGAGCTACATTCGTTCAGCACATCAGTAGATATGTAAAGATATGTAGTAATGGCCAAACTCGGGCATAAGTTGGCAACCACCACACCCACACACTACAACTTCACTCCACCACTTTCAATAATTATCTAGGCATTTGTTCACACTAAACTTTGTCAGATTACAGTTTTATATTTATAAAAGATGTGCATTTAACAAATACACAAATGGAGTGATTACTGAAAATCAGTGACTTTATCAACAAAATCTTTACCAAATGAGCCATGTCATTTGAAATATACAAATTTACTATAAAACTTCAAAAGGAAAACTCACCTGAAGTGCATAATTATGATGAATTCGATCCACCATATACTGTAAAAATGATATTTGAAAATCATTCATAAACTCACAAAATTCATCACCGATGTCCACATAACAAAATATTATAATCTATAAAAATTTATGTAACTGAGTATTTCTTTCTTGCTCAATGAAGCAAATTAAACATTAGTTTTACATGAAGAAAGAACAATGTGTAATCAAATGAAAGATTTTATGATTATTTTGTGAAATCCACCTGTTTTTTAAAGTTCTAGAATTTTGTAAATTTGTTCTCCCACCACCCAATTACAAGCTCTTAATATTTAAGAGTAATAAACACCTGTGTCCATAGAACACTTTCATTTTACTTCTATAATATACAACAAAGAAAAAAATCAATACAAAATAAAATAACACTACATTTTGTACTCTTTTCAAAAATTTCAATTAACTTGGAAGACAGTAAAAAAAAGTACTTATAATCATCAAAATTAAGACATACATCTGTTTATATTGAAAGGATTACAAAGTAGACAAAAGTCAACAAAGAATGAATATAATGGCCATTTTCTCAAGTTTACTTTATCAATAAATAAAACTTACTTCAATTGTAATAGAAAAAATTTCTTTGAATGTCTGTGGGTTCATCATTGTAAACTGAAACAGAAAAAAAATTATATCTACATAAAGAAAACATGATACTCAGAACAAAATATATAGATATTTTACTAGGATTAATCAGAGAATTTTGAGTCAAGGAAAAAGATTTATAGTAGGTTTGTTATACATTGAAAGAAAATTAAACACCAAAAATATTTTGATCACTTAGCTCAGGTTTTCAGACTAATTTTTATCAATTAAAATTACAACTTTGTTTAAGAAGGTGATTTCAACAAATTGATTTTTTAAAAAAAAAAAAAAAAAAAAAAAAAAAAAAATCAAACAAAATAAATAATTCTCTACTGTGACCATTTGCCTGCTGAGTGGGTTTATTTTTAAGTGACTAGAAAAAAAAAGTCATCTCCAGCTTGTGGGTAGAGAAAACATTCAGAATATAAATAATTTAAAATAGGTAATATTCTTAATAAAGCAATATTTTAAGATATGTTAATGAAATAATATTTCAATGAACTAAGTTTTAGCAATAACATTAAAATATTATTTTATAAGAAACAATGTCTTCTCCCCCCAACACTAACAAATTGAAATTCATGACTTGTCATAGAACCTCTTTTTATACATGAGGTCAAAACAAACTGTTTTGTGAGAATGCACATGAAGACATATTCAGTTTGTTTTATCTAGTTAATATAACTTAGGTACCTCCACGAAATCGCTAAAAAAAGAGCATAGCTTGATGAAAAAGACGCCAACCTTGCCGAAAACAAAATTTTATTGTCTAAATGCTTATGTTATTATTAAGAGGAAAGACCAAATTTTTTTTTTTAATTATTTTTAAAAAAATTTCCTTCTTTTTAGAACATTCTAAATTTTGATTTAAAAAACCTTTTTTCTATTTGTATCAGCGGAACTAGTAAATAACAGACAATTTTTAGCACGTTTTTTTTGGTATGACACACATTAATTTGAAAAATCGTGCAAAAATAGAAATAATTATCGGATGTTAATGAAACTTTCAGGAACTATTCACAGATGATCGAAATTATTATAAATGTTTTTCTTTATGAAAGTCATGGTAGAAATATTTTTAAAAATATTTATTACCCCCCATAACTAATTTTATGAAAACGCTTAGAAATTGATCGATCGGTTTTTAGTGATTACAATAATTAAAAGCACAGGGCTTTGAGGAATGCAAATCATGTTTTTTTTGTTTTAATTGGATACGCAGTACCTAAAAATCAGCTCTGAATTGTAACATACAAAACTCAATAAAACAAAGATATTATTTAATTTCATTTGCTTTTAGTTGTTTTTATGAATATGGACAATATTTTCTGAAAGCAAAAAAAATTTTTCGATGAAAAATGAATTTTTAATACAATTATTTGTTATTTCATTAATTATAATACATTTTACATTTAAGTTGTTAAAATATTATAAAATTAGTTAAAAGCTGCATCGGCTTTCATAAGTGTCCTTATGAGATAGATCTTTTTTTAGCGCGTTGTAAATTGTATCATTTTGACTAATCAGAAGATACCCAGTAATTAAGAAATGTAATTTTGTGCTTATAATCGAGCTGTAATTATAAAATACGGAAGACCAACCAGAATATAATTAAGTTGCGTTATTTGAGTTAAGCATTGTTCTCCGCTGTTAAGGCCTTTACTTTTATGAAACACGTGTGGAGAAGTTAATTTGATTTTTCAATTTCAACTGAGAAGGGTACCTACAAGTATCAGTATCATCTTATGAAATTTATATGATCTTATTTTTTATATTAATCTCAGTTACGACATTTTTCCATAAATGAAATATCAAAATTAATAATAAAATGAATGCAAATATAAATAACAGTAGAATGTAATAAATGTACATAAAATTATAGTATTTTATGTACAATTCTGATAAAATTTCATAAGAAAGGTACCTATAAATTAATTAGATACCTTAAGAAATATGAAATTTAATGTCACTCTTAACAGTTTTATTTTAATTTCTTTACAATATATTTCCCATAAAGCATCATAAACGTAAAGGTGAAAGCTAAGTACAAAAAAAAAAAAAAAAATTAGACCGCTGAAAGTTTTCGTTAAAAATAACGGGGTAAATAATTTGTTCACGTAAATGTAAATTATTTCACTTTTTCTCCTTCCAAAGAACAAATTAGCCTCATGGAATTAAGTAAATATATCATTCATCACATGTCAAGAGACGCAAAAGTTTATGACCTGCTTTGTTTTATTTTCAAATTACATCTTTTTGGCACAAAAAAAGCTAAGTTAAGTTTGGTTCAAAAATATTTTAAATAAACATTATAATTTCTGATTTTCTTAAAATAAGTTTTGAAAAAATGATAATTGATATTTAAAAAATTTCAAAGTCAGATTTCCAGTTTTTTTTAAAATGGAAAAAAAATGGTCAATTTTGCTGACTCAAAAAAAAACTAATTTTTTTAAAATTTTCGACGTGCTAGGAAACGATTAAAAATGGAAAAAAATACCCCAAAAATACTTTGACCTTTCCTCTTAATAATAAACATTTAGACGATAAAATTTTGTTTTCGTCAAGTTTGGCGTCTTTTTCATCATGCTATGCTCTTTTTTTAGCGATCTCGTGGAGGTACCTAATATAACTAATGTTATATAAACCCTTAATAAGCAGTTTCAACATCAGCCCAGGGGGGTATAAAAACAAGTGAACCCTTAAGTAGCTCTCTATTCCTGCTTTTTCCCTTTCAAAGTGAGCACTATCAACTTTTTACACTGAAGCACAAAGAGGCTGTGGATGCTTCACCCACAAACACCTAAACAATCAAATCCCACTCAAATATATCCATTAACAATTTTCGTTGTTTAAGCAATTTACTTCTAAGAAAACTCGAACTTTCCTTTTGTTATTTTGTTTAATAAATGTTATTTTGCATTGCAAATCAATTGGTCTTATTTGTGTATGTACGTTTTCGCCACCATTATTTCATATAAAATATTCTTAGAGACCTTACATTAATTATAGAAGTGGCCAACACACTAAACCATCTTGTTGAATACTTCTTTGATGAAATATGAATTGCAAGGGTTCTTTACATGACTGATGTTTTCTTCTACCTGAATGAGCTGAATTCTTCCATTCAAAGACAAAAAGAATTCTGTTTGACGAGTTTGAACAAATTGAAACCTCCATGAAAAAATTAATTTGTGGATAAACTAAATGGAAAAGAGAAAAAGATTTAGCTTCATTGTATAAAGAGATGAATCACTAAGTGCCTTTAAATTGTGAACAGTTGATAAAAGTGGATGAGGAATCCTTTCTGGGTTTTTGTTGTGGAAATCATGATCAATGATGCAGAAGTTATAGCAGAAGACTTGACTGGCATTCACTCTTGAAGGGCAGATTTTATTTTATTTTTTTAAAATTTAAAACTGTTTATTAATATCATTTATAATTTTTATAAAATATCTATTTAGAAGTTTCAGTTTATAATCAGGGTATGATGAATAGACTAGTGAGTATAATACAACAGAATGTTTGCTTAATGAGTTTAAATAATAAAAGTGATTATGAAAAGTGAATATGTGACATGCTAAGGAGAGGAAAAATAAATGTTAAACATTTAAAGTCTGAAAAAGATGACTGTGTCACTCACATAGAGATTTTTGAAATAAAGTTTACAAGAAAGGAATGTTCAAAATTGGAAATGAAATATTACTTACAACCCCAGCAAAATGTTCTAATACTTCTTTTTCTTCCTTTGTCCTCACACTCTGACCACTTAAAAAGAGAAACAAGAAAATTAGTTTTATTTCTCAAACATGCCCACTTCTGTAGATTAATAAATTTAGTGTTGATATTGATTGACAGATTATCAGATTTATTTTTTGATCTTTGAATGCATAAACATTTTTTTTCTTCTCATTACAGATACTATCCGCTCATAAATTTTCAGTTTTTTATGTTTGTTTCAATGCACATGGTCATCAAATTTAGTTGATTGATTCATTTTTTGTCTTATCAACACTTTGCAGGTTATTTAAAGCCAGGAAATATTTTTAGATTGTAAGAAGTTTTTTTTTTTTTTTTAGATAATAATGGTTTAGTGATACAGGTCTTACTATAATTAACCCATAGCTGGGAAGAGAAGAGGTGAATTAATACTTTTCCCAAGGATATTTGTGCATAAGTGAATTTAATGAATCCAATAGGAATTGGAACCTGGCTCTCCAATGAACAATTTGGAGCCATTATCCATTATACCACTTGCACATCCTAGCTTACAGCACCTGGTATTCCAAGGGGCCATCCATTGCAGTACTGACCAGGCTCAACATTGCTTAACTTTGGTGATCATATAGGAACCAGTGTTTCAATGTGATGTGGCCCTAAGCCTCACAGAATTTAGATTGGACTATTGTCCTCATCTTTGTTGTTATCAATACATTTTGGCCATTTGCCCTCTAAATATCATCAGGCGTATATTGATCTGGGTAAAGACATTCTTTCACAGTCAAATGAAAGTAAAAATGTTGAAATTATTCTATTTTCAAAATTTTCTTTTAATATCACATCTTGTCAAAGTGACTTTTTTGATGAAGTATATTATCACAAAATGTTTGATAGTAAAAAATTTTGAAATTAACTTTGTTGAGCAACATTGTGTAAATAACAAAACAATATTTACATTCAGACTATTGTCCCCATATTTGTTGTTATCACGTTTCAGCCATTGTGCTCTCCGGCCTTCATCAGGTGCATATCAATCTGAGTAACCTACTGGAAATTCTGAACTGAACCCTTTATTTAATCTGTTCTCATTCCACTGTCCGTAGATTAAATAAAAGGTTTAGTTCTGTAGGTTACCCAGATCGATATACACCGGATGAAGGTTGGAGGCCACAATAGCCTAAACATTATGATAACAACAAAGGTGAGGACAATAGTCTGAATAGAAATAGTGTAAATAATGATAACTTCACATCCCAGAAATGATTGTTTTGTTCCATCCACTGTCTTTTGCCATTCAGACAACTTCACAATTCTATCCTACTAGAACGTTTTCTCAACTCTTTTTGCAGTCTTCCAGAAAATTAAGAATTTTTTCATCAAGACAATTCTGTAACAACCAGAAAAAAACTGTAATCCAAATGTGAAATAGTTGCTAAATACAATAAATGGGTGAAAAATGTTCAGACAAGGTGTAAAACTTTTTGCCTGTTCACAAAAATAGCTCGTCCAACATTTTCTTCTGAGGCAATTACAGGACAGATCACCCAATGTAACTAACCTCTTAAGTTTTGATGGAATTTGGTATATAGATAGATTCTTGTGCTCAAAGAAGGATTTGAAATATTTTCAGCTTTCAGGAAATAGCATAAAGAGTGAGTGATCTTTTTGAATAAAACTATTTAAAAGTAAATACTCCTTATGTAATCTCACAAAAGCTAAACATTATGGGGGGGGGGTAATCAATGAGTAACAGTTACCCAAGTTTCACCATATATTGTCTTTTGTATTTTCTTATTTGAAAATAGCAATGATAAGAGAATACTTACACGGCTGGTCTGACAATAGCTTGTCCCGTTGGGGACACATTGACAGTATAGATATCCAATGATTGTAAAGCATAACGAACAAGACGAATGAAAACGAGTATTTCTTTCGGCAAAAACTGCTTGTTCTGTACCAGCTGTAGGTCAGGTCCGCCTTTGCATGCAATAAGTCCCCAGGTTATTGTTTTAACTCCACAAACAAGTGTTTTTACTAATCCACGACAATCAGTAACTGAATAGGTATTGTACTGAGTAGCAGTCACACCAAATCGAGTATGCTGGACAGAAAAGAAACAAATATTAGTGTGTCACTTTATTACACAAAATTTTTCTTTAATTTGGAGCAAAAATTGTAAATAATTTTTTTCCATAGTTTATTTATAGTATTCTGTTTCTCTAGGTCAGTGGTTCCCAAATGACATAGAAGACAATAGCAGGTGAGGCAGAATGATTGAAAGATAAAGATTTAGAAACAGTTTCAAAAAATTCATATGACAAAATGACAAAAATAAATTCCCAGTATGAATAGTTAAATAATTATTGACTGATTTCATCACTGATATTTTTGCATTATATCAAGTATTAAGAATGTAATAACTAGGGTTTGCAAATTCGAGGCGAGACTCTTCTTGATGATATCAATGTTCAGACTTCGATCCGCGGTTATCTCCCTTTAACACTCCTCACTTTTTTTTATTTTTAAATGTACTTTTTATCACATCAAATTTGAGGTACAAGCAAATTTTCATTCTGAAAATGTGACCCAGAAAAAAAAAGTTAGGCACCACTGCTCTAGGTGAATGCAAGAAAGCATAGATTTACATATACAATGTATTTTTTTTTAAGTTGTAGGCATAAGAAAATAAAAGCTAACATTTAACTTGTAAAATGGAATTAAAATATATTACTACCTCTATCCCACAAGTTGTTACATCTGTGTTTTTTTTTTTTATTATTGGCAACACTTATTAAAGCTTATGTTTAATCTATTCTAGAAACAATTTGAGGCAATCTTTATTTGTGCCTACAAACGCTATTTATTGTATTGTTTATTTATGCCATTTATTATATTGTTTATTGGAATGGTTGGCAAAACATTGTCTAATTGGTAATTGTTTTGAACTTTATAAATTGGTAAATAATAAGGACTTCCTTATAGTTAGTTCACATATTCTAATATTTGTAAATTTAGTAACATTTACTGACAAGAAATTGTTTTCATATTTATTTTTTTATAAACTGGTAAATGATAAATATTGCATTAGTTTTAATACACTTGTACTTTTGATTGGTTGATTGGTTATTTTTGTGTAGTGGTATATCCACTCTTATGGGTTATTTAATGACAAAATCTCAACATGAAAATTCAAACTTTATAATTCAAGAGTAAGACATTATTTAACACTTAATTTATTAGCTCCAATCCCCCCACCCAATATCTTACAAAATCAAACAAGGAGTGAAAACTTGTTTCTTACAAGGACACATGGCACAGTGGATAAAATCAATGGTTAGATCCAGTGACAGGACTCAAAGAGTGTGAGTTCAATACTCGGTTAAGCAGTGGAGAACTTTCAGAGGGAAATTAACAGGAGATAACTGATAACTGACATCCATTAAACATGGCAAGTGGAACTAGAACAGTCTACCCCAGTGAGCGAAATAAAGGGTTCAGTTCAACATTCCAACCACCTGAAGAAAGCCGGAGCATACAATGGCTGAAACATTGTGATAAATATGTCGTTAATATTCTTTTCGTTGATCCAACGATTGTCTCCTGATGAGATGTTGGTTGAAAGGGCCTTAGGGACTTTTAAAATTAAAATCAATACATTCCTTGTTTTTAAAACTATATATAAATTTTGTACCTCTAAACATTTGTGTATATATATATATATATATATATATATATATATATATATATATATAGTATTCCTTGACTTCATGATTATATAATTTGTGAATCATTATTAACCTTCACTGTCTGAAGAAACCTTACCAGTGGAAACTATGGTAGCATGAGTGGTTAGTATTCCTTGACTTTGATATTTAATAGCTCTGCACATTCACTTTTCCTTTTTTTACATTGTGGATTGAGCACTCTTATATAAACATTTTCCAGGCAAATCTAACTTTCACAGGGAAAAATACAATTGAAAAACAATTACATTTATGAAGGAATATGTGAGCTAATGTAAAAACATGAACACACCCAGGTCCCTAATGGAGTTAAAAAAACGATGCACATATGAAATATGAGGTAAAAAATATATTCATTATAATCAGAAATATTTAATATACAAATTAACACCTTGAAAAGTGGACGTTACCATGAAACTTCAGAGTTGGGGAAAAATTACTGTTAAGTAATTCTTTTGTATATAATGTTTGGTTTATTTTCCAAAAAGGAAGAGTGTCCATCTCCCCTGCCCACATTTCATTTTGACTGATCAAGATTATGGCATTATTTTCACCTATGGCCCATTAAGACAAGTTATAATTCTGACTTTATCAATAAAAGTTGGTTATGGTGTTTTTGATTTGTTTAAAATATGAAGCAAAGAAAAATTTTAACTTAAAAAAGAAAATAATTTTTAACTATATACATAAAGTAAAAAAAAAATAAAATAAAATAAAACAAACTTACTTTTTCATCTTTTTCTCTATTATCCAACAGCAGAGTTTTAGTATCTGGAGTTGTTTCTTGTTTGACATCTGGAGTCTTTGAATCTGGAGACTTATCATTATTTTGTGTACTTGGTCGGCTTTTGGAGGTGGAAAAACAATAATTAGATAACTTTGCCCCATACTATTATATAATATTAAAGTATTTTATATTTACATAAAAGCATGAAAACTACATTTTTTTGCTAAATTGTAAACAGCTATAAAAGTCAAATGCTAGACAACTTCAATACTCCAGTTGTTAAAATATTCAGTTAATGTAGACATTTTTGTGTTAGTATGAAATATCTTTGGATTACAAGCTATCAAAATTTATAAAGAACTTTTTTTTCCAATATAGCAATAGACAATTTTAGAAATCAATGTACAAGATATAAATTAAGAACATGAATGTTTTTTTCTTTATTAGTTTTTATTCACAAAACATTTTTAACATGAAATTAAACCTATTAAGTTGCATATTTAATTCTAACATCTAAAATTACAAAAAGTAACTTGTGAAATCATTCTTTTTTTTTTTAGTTTTGATTCATTTGTGAAATCTCATCTTTAAATAGGCTTGTAATGAAATAAATAGCTTGCTATATAATACACAAAGTGTTTTTGTCTAACTTATTCCTGCACTAATGTTATCTTCCATGCACTAAAAATTTCAATATAATAGTAATGACAAACTATGACATAATTTTTGACAGCAAGGATAAACTAGTTTTTAATCTATTTTTACTTTAAAGAGAAAGTGAACTTACCATTTTTGTAATATCTGTGGTAACTGAGATTTTGAAATGGTCAAAAATTTCAAAACAAACACTTCTAGCATACGCATAAACAATTCACGTCCCTGCAATAAAAAAAAATATCACATTTCTCAAATTTCACAAGGAAAAATTCAATCTAAAGACAAGACATAATCTAAAGGCAAGACATAATCTAAAGACAAGACATAATCTAAAGACAAGAATGGAACAGAAACTGCTTAAAAATAAAAAAATATTAGCTATGTTTTAAAAGGACATTTTCATTTGGAAAAACAAATACTTTTGTTATTTTAAACAGAACTGATTATAACCCAAAACTACATTCTTCACAACAAAACTAAGTTTAAAAGAAAATAGACAAAAACATCACTATCCTCCACTAGACACATACTAATCTTATTACATCCAACAATGCAGAAATCATATCCTTTAAATGCCACAAAAAATGTAAGTCATTATTACTCTAGCTACACATATGGGATTGTAAAAACAACCTTACTTTACCTTTATGTTCTAGAATATTTACAAATTTCTGTATATTATTTAATTTTAAACCAACTGATCCTACAGCACCTACCAAATATTATTAACCCTTCAGCATCCTGCAAATATTGGCTGTCAAAGTTTTTCTGTTCATGGTCAAAGTCTGTTTGAGTCACTTCTTGCATTATTTGTGATAATGTCATCATCTATTATGGCAGAGTATACATGGAGCAGGTTATGGCAACTTGAACACTGAGAGCACATATTCATGGAGTGAGTTTGAGTGGGTTATATGCTTAAGTTTCTTCAAATACTGCACTCACATAAACTTAATTACACCCTAACCTCATTAAAAGTTCTTTACTAATATCCCTGTCAAACTGTAGATGTAATAATACAAAGTATATGTAATCACTCTTCTCTCCCACTCCCAAATATTAAACAGTTCCATGTAAATTTCTATCTTGCATGACAAGTTATTTGTTACAGTCACTGTGACAATATTTAAACACAAAATGAAAATGCATCTACAAGAGCTGCCTATTGATCATAATTTTCTGATTTCTATATGGCACACTTAAAAAAGAATCTTTCACCAAAGCCATGATACATGTTTGGTATATTGGTGATATACTCATTCACCTTAAAGAAACAACTGAGGAAAACTCTATACTTAATATTGATAATAGAATACCTTTCCCATTTTAACACCTTTGCTATTTTAATACTTCACTTCTTGTCTACTTAATTACAAAGTGAATGTCTTTTCAGATATAAAGAAAATGATCAACAACCCTAAAGAAATTTCTTCTTTACACATTATTTTATAAACAACTTAAAACAAACATCAATAACAATAGTTTTCCAAACTATGCCATCTGCAAGTAAATAAAATTAGCTTTAAAATTTTTTTTTTAATATAAACAAAATTTTTCTGTTGTAACTCGATGCATCCTAACTATAAAAATGATGGTAAAAAAACTATTAAAAATATAGTTCTTGAGTACATATTGTAATAAATACCTAATATTTATCATTTATTACAAAATGTTTAAAACATCTTAATCATTTGCAATAACACAGGACCTCAAAAATTGCTCATGTAAAAATGTTGTTTATGAATTCTCATGCCTTTTGAAAGATTGAATCTCTAAGACTAATAGTAAATTAAATTAAATTCTTACATTGGCCACACAATCACTACACTTTGTTGTAGATTAACATGGAACTCATCAAAACTGAGTGCAATTTGTACACATCAATCATCACAAACAACCAAAATACATCCATTAGCAAAAAATATTAGTAGATAATACTAAAATATTATACAAAACTCATTGTAAACAAAGATTCAAAATACTTGAAGCTATCATTTTACAAAAGAAACAACCCCCATTAAACACAAGGGACCATATTTTGAAATGTTGGAAAAAAATTAATTTTTGTTTTGTCAGATGTTATCAAGTATTGTGATGGATGAATTACGAGAGGAAAAAAAAGACCTAAATATGATGTCATTTGTATAGAATACATTTATTATAAATGTAGAGGTTCTAAAATGGCAGAATGAAGCTAATAAAAACTTCTGCCTATAACACTGATAATATTAAATTTCCTGAAAATGACTAGAGATTATCAAAATTATGAACTAAACGAATGACAACTTAGAAGTAAACTGAAAATGTAATAAAAATTTGATTAGTTTGTGTTAATAAAACTTAAATTCTTGCAGCTTATATATATATATATATATATAATTACTCACATTCCCACTTTCTTGATCACTCTTGGTCCGAATGCATTCAACAAGATTGAGAAGTAATTTGCATGACATCGTTTGGATACTGCTGGGAAGTGATTCATCATGTACATTCTTGGCAAAAACATTCACAGCCAAAGAGAGGTCATTGAGAGGTAAATTCTGTCGGACGTGGTGAATTAAGTCAGCAAGAGTGCTGTATGCCAAAGGTCTGAAAGAGAAAATACACAAGCATTTTTTTTAGAATGCTGCTTGAGCATATTGATGATTTTATGCTACACTTATTTCTTACATAACAAAAAATAAACAGTAATTAATTACATAAAAAAAATTAAAAATCATATCTGTAGATAATCTGCTTAATAATTTAAAATCATCTTGATATCATTCCTATTTTGAGGCATATTCATATGAACAAAATCAATTATACTTTCTTATTAATAAAACATTCAAGTGCTGCTTATCAAAGTTACTTAATGTAGGTATCCCAACACTCAGCTTACAGCTGATAAAATTTCTTAACACTAAAAAATGCATATATTCAACTCGCCGTGTTATTTCATTCAATATCTCCATAAAAACATAATGCATACCAAATAAAAGCTTATTTCATGAACTTTGTTTCTATCTTATTTATTTTTATATGTATTTAAAAATAATGACGTAATAATGTCGGTTTTTGACGTTAAAAATACGTCAAAAAACGACATTATTAAAATATTATTTTTGCACCAACCTGGTGGAATGTTGCAGTTTAAAAATAGAGACGTTTTGGTGATTTCGCAAAATTTTAGCCATTTTTTTCACTGACGGCAATTTAGACTTTCTCACATTTTGTAACTTGCACACTCCGCAGGGTTTATTACAATTTTGGTAATACGTTAGTTCAAAAGTTAACATTCTAAGCTTCATTTTCATATATTTTCTATTTTTTAATTTTAATAAGAAGTTTGTAAACAATTCAAATGAAAAGTTTGAGCGTAAAATTGAAATGCCTCTTGTAAAAATAAAAACACGGAAAATATATCAATAAAACGCTCATTTAATAATCTATGAAACTAAACCAAAATCAAATATGAAACAATAGCTCCATTTTGCACGTGTGCGATTATGTGTAACTATGTGCGACTCGCTTAGCCATCATTTCAACTCCACGCGAGACTCAATACACAGCATCAACACGGACACAAAAGAATTGACCAGCATGTTTTCTATGGACAAAATTTTGAAGGAAATTGATGAGAATTTGTTTTAAATATTAATTTTCTATGATATGTAAAATATAAATGGGATTTAAAAACCGTTTTCGTTATAAAAAATATGATACAAAAATCGATTTATTTACTTTACACTCAGATTCAAATCACAAAAAAAAAAAAAAAAAAAAAAACAGGACTTATTGATCAAAAAATGTTCATATTCAAAGAATGAGAAAAAAATTCTACAAAAAAATTCTAGAATGTCTTATGTTTTTGCAGTATTCTCACAATAATTATCAGCATTTCAGTTACCAAGTAACATTTTGTTTTGTTTAAAGTTACCCCTTCAAACAATTTTCTTACTTTTTAAATTATCTAATGAATGGATTTTAGTTACGATTTATTGCCATCTAGATACAAATTTATGATTTAATATCCATTTTTCTAATTTATTATTATTTCTTAGTAATATTTATTTCATACGAATTATGAATGTTTATTTTATTCTAAAATATTTTAATGTGTAAGTTTTAAAGACCACTGTGGAAATAGGTTTGTTGAGAAAATATTTTAGTGCTTCCTTATTTATTATTCAGGTGTATGGATGACTCTAAATTTATATTTATCCCTGATTGTATTTAGTGCAATTTTTTATGAACTGCAACTCAAATTCAATAAGAAAACGTAGACAATAATTTGTAGATGACTACTAAGTGTTAAGCTTCTCTCTCTCTCTACAGTCCAGAAATTGTAGATGTCGAGTCAGGACTGCACTTATTCAGGATCTGCTCCATATACATTCTAATCTGTTGATTTTAGGTCATTTTAACCATGATAAATGGAAAGAGCACCCCCAGAAATGGCTAGATATGAAATTTGGTGTTTCTAGTGTAAGAAGGATTCATTTTATGACACAATTCAAGCAAGTCTAAAATCGGCCTTTCAAATACCTTGTGACAAATGGTTAAAAAGCAATTTTTTTTCAATTTTGAAGTGGAATAATCCAGAATATATCCATTCTATCACTCCTAAAAAACTTAGGCATGTTACTGGTATAATCATAATGTGATATTTGAAATTTGGGATGAAAGTGGGTCTTATTTCCAGTTTTATGAAATGTCAAACCTCAGGTTATTAGTTGTTTGCACATCATTGCAGAAGTTTTGATTTATAAAAATTGCATTTCAGATCGAATTTATTTAAGAAATATGCAGTGATACTATCTGTAATTTTATTATTAATTTCTTTGTTATGTACCTAACAAGCTAGTATAATTTTAACTGTTGTTCTTAATTGCTTTTTAAAATATAGGAGTCCAAATATGGTATTTTGTCCTAATTCATAATAAACAAAAAAATGGCTAAGTCAAGCACATGTATAAAAATAAATCTGCCAAAATTAAACGGTTTGAGATATTTTGATGAAATAAAAACTGCTAAGTTTCTTTAATCATATAGATTAAGATGTAATCAGATAACACCTAGTACCTGTTTGAAATTTTTATCTGTGACACCTACTTAATGACTAATAATTGTATGTTCAAATAAAGTTTGTTTATTATTGATTTGTTTAACGGCATATCAACTCCTTATGGGTTATTTAATGGAGAAATTTAATTTTCCTGGGAACTTTGAAGTAATAAAAATATGTTATTCTGCTTTCACAATTGAATACATGGTAGATGATACTCAGCTTTTATGCATATTCATGTTTGTGTGGGCATAATTCCTAAGAGGCAGTGATATGTGTGTTTTATGTTGTAGTTTTGTTGATGTTTTGGAATACAGTTTGATTTAAGAAATTGTAGGATATTATATGGATTAATGTCATGAAAGAGTTCTTACATGTTGGTTGTTTGGTTGATTTTGTTTAGCAACATATCAACCTCTATGAGTTATTTAATGCCAAAATCTAAATATTTTAAATGCAATTGTATGCCTTTAACTACAGAAAAATGCATTGGTAATTCTACTATAAATAGGTATTGTTAGTAATTTTTTTTATTGCTGGTATTTTTATTAAAGAAATCTATTTTATACAGTCATGTGCTTTTTTTCATGAGGGAAGGTCACTATTTGCCCATAGCTGGGACCCTAACAACTGCTACCATCCTGGGTCGGGTTGAATCTGACAACAGCAGCAATTAAGAGGTGGTTCCACACTCCTCAAAACCTCTTCTGATGAGAGGCATTGCTGCCAGATGTATTTTATCATCATGCCCAGGACTTCATCTAAAGTTAAGTACTAAATTAGCCTTGACTAATCAAAGATAAGGACATTAGTCCAACCATAAGTAATTTAAACAAGGTTTTTTTTTTTTAATCTATGAATTTTTATATCATTAGCCTTTAAATTCTCAAGTTTCAAGATATTTTTATGAAAAATATTCCTTTCATTTTACCTTGCCATTTTCTGCTCAATTAGATCACATATTAAGTTCCATAACTCAATAGGGTCCCAGGGGTACCACATGTACTGCAGCCATAGCAGCAGTGATGTGTCTAAGGTAAGACAGCTTGATGGCACCCGTCCTTCTTCAGGCTGGTTTTGAATGGTTTGAATTTTCCTTCTTGACTGGTTGCCATCTCAAGCCAAGAGAGCCCAGTCAACCTTGCTACTTAACATTTAACCCAGTAGCAATGCTCACAAAAAAAGTAAACTTTAGATTTTGCTACAAAAATAGGATATTTATAAAATATAAATTGATCAAAGACTTTAGGTTTTTAAATTACCAAAATCCATCCATAACTTTTGGAAATATTAGCATTTGAAACTGAAAAGAAAAAAAAACAAAAAAAAACCTCCATTTTCCTGAAAATATTTGTGTTTTCATTGATAAAATTCTGTTTAAAAAAAAAAAAAAAAACTATTCAAGATAAAGCAATGAAATCTGGCATATATATGTAAAATTTGCTGGTGAATATCATGAAAACATTAAAATAAAGATAAGCAAAAGGGAAAATAACGAACCTGGCTGGAATTTGAACTTAGCTTGCCAATTTCTCTTTCAGAGTTATTAACCATTACACTATCCACAAATCAAAGTACATCTATGACCAAATTCAAATTATGGTATATATTCAAAATTTATCAGAATTTAGTATTAAACTTTATTTGAATTGCAAGAGAGTCAGGATTCTAATAAAAATGTTGCAAAATATATATTTCCTATGAAGACAATTTTTCCTATAGAAATTTTAAAAGCATGAATTAGTATGTATTAGTTACACTGATAGTACAAAACAGCATATTAATATGCAGAAGATTTAACATGAACCAACCTGTGTGATTCCTGTGCAGTCCATCCGCTGCCAATAACCACATTTTCCTGAAACATTTTATCTATGCAAGGCACGAACTCTACAAAAGAAAGTTTTTTGTTTTTTTTAATCAACAAAGATAAAATAAAATGTTAATGTGCACCTAAATGACAAATCCAAGAGAGCTATTTACAAAAAAAAAAAAAAAAAAAAAAAAACTTAGCTACAAGATAGCTAAAATTTCTAAACTTTGTACCAATGAACAAACAAATTGCTCAAACTAGAAACTTCAATATTAGATTAAATTTAGTTACTTTAACAAATTTCATATTTGTTATTTTTGTTCTCCAAGACTTATATACTTAATGTCACAAAAGTTCAGGAAGGAAGGAATTTCAAAATTTAAAATTTTTACTAATGACGAAAGATTTATTTGGGACACTTATGAGCAATAAATCTCATTTCCACCAGGTTTTAAGAAATGAGAACATGAACACTATTCACCAGTGTGAATTGCAGCCTAATATTACAGTATTCAAACCTTTTTGAAATTGTAAATCAAACAAGTAATCAACATTAAACAGTGATTAAGAATTTAATTGGCCTGAAATTAAAGTTTCAATTACAAACATCAAATGTGCACATTGGCATGGCAGTTATCAACATGAAAAATGGAATTCACATGCAAAATTAAAATTCTAGCCAAGGTCATTGCATTTGCTTTTGCATTAATCCATCCCCCCCCACCTTGCTAAGAGTTAAAAAGCAGAGTAAATTGGGCTCTTTAGCCTTGGTTGGCAAACAGTCTCAAAGAAAGCCAACTCAGAATTCAAAACAAGTTGGTTGTGGAGCTGGAATCTCCACCACATAAAAAACCTACTTGCTACAGAAACCACAGCAGCAGCAACACTTAGTGCAGTGAAGACTGTAGCCCAACAATCCACGGGGGGTAGTCTAATTGCACTAAAGCGAAGTAGGAGGAAACTTTCAATAAAAATTCATAATGGTAGGAGACACCAACATCCCTTGGAGATGAGATGTAATCCCAAAGCTGAATTTATTGCTTCTTTGAGTGAGAAATATCCATTGTCCTGACAACCAGGCCCCATTATGCCAATTAGTGTACACAAGCCACTTAATTTGAACTCATGATTTTAGTTCTTGTATTGCTGTGCCTTTTCTTATTCTTCTGCAGAGACTAAGTTGGGGTTTTGTGTTAATTTCATGATGATCATTTTATTTAGCCAGAAAAAGAGAGATTTTGGTAAATTTGTTGTACTGAATAACTGTCATTACAATTATGGAATCCATAATTGTAATGATAGTTATTCAGTTTTTCCAAATTCTTCAGAAAATTGCAAATGACAGCTCTTGATTTATTCAAGCTTTACGCAATGGATCCGTTTTTCTCTTCTTAAGTCAAAATTTGTCTTTTTGATTAAGCTTGTTGCTTTCATCATTTTCAAAACATGAATAAGATGTTTGTGTGATAATACAGTCTTCAAATGACTACTTTTTGAATCTCTTTAATTAAAGTTACATCAACAGAATGTTCTAGAAACTTTTAGAAAAAATTGTATTTACTCCTCCACACATGGGGATAGGATACAACAAGATTTTCATTGTGGGAATGCCATGCAAACATTGGATAGCGGACCAAAATTTCTAGTCCTGTTGACACTTGCTTTTTGACACATGCTAGGTATCAAGGATTGAGTATAAACACAATGCAATGAGGAGGTGCAACTTGAACAGGACCCTCCTGTGATTAGAGGATTAATATCAATTGGTCACAAATGACTAAGGAACAGATAGTTTACTTTGATCCCAAGAACTTATGAAAAAGATCAAAAATAAGTTTTTTTAATATACAGTAGTGGCCATAATATAAGGAACGGAAACAACAAAGACATAAATATGTGTATTACTTAAAAAGTAATGCATGATTAGCAATGAAATTTTTACCGAATAAAGATTAGGATGTAATGCATAAATATTATACAAAGATACAAAAATTTACATAAGTTTTTTTTTAAATAAAGATTAAATGGAACAAAGGAAATAAGCTACTGGACAAAAGTTAAGGAACGATGTTAATAATTTGCATAAACTTTTAATTTACATTTATAAAAAACTCAATGGAGCTTTTCAACAATAAGTTCATTTATCATTAGGACTTTATTTTTAAGCAATATAGCAAATTCTACACACAAAACGCTCTCTTTTGAAGAAAAAAAAAAAACTCATCGCTAACTATCAAGAAAAAAAGTCAATTTCAGAAATTTCTGATATTGTTCATTAAGTCTAAAAATGTCATTCATCGTGTAATTAGCAGGTATAAAACCGATAAAACATTAGATACAAAACCAAAAACCGGCAGACCTCCAAAAACATCGCAAAGAGAAGATCGAAGAATTGTTAGAATATCTACAAAAAAACGTTTTGAAACTGCTACATCAATTGCCCGTAAATTTAATGAAGAGACAGATAATAAGATCTCAAGGAAAACGGTTAAAAACTGCAGGATTGCATGCTCATATTTCAACTTCGAAGCCTCTCATTTCAAAGCAAAACCAAAGGGCACACCTGGAGTATGCGAGAGAATATGTTGTTTGGATTGACGCACAATGGGATACAGTTCGTTTCAATGACGAGTCCAAGTTTACTATATTTGGTTCTGAGGGCAAAACTTACGTACGCCGTAGAACAGGTGAAAGACTGTCTTCTCAATGTGTCAAGAAAACCGTTAAGTTTTGTGGCGGCAGTGTGATGATGTGGGGAATGATTTCATCTGCAGGAGTTGGCCCTATCATCCGCGTACATGGCAATATTAATGCTGAGATTTACAAAAGGCTTCATCAGCAGCATGTGGTACCAAGATTACACCATAATCTTTATGAATCTCCTATTTTCATGCAGGACAATGCACCTTGCCACAAGGCTCAGAAGGTTATGGCTTTATTTGAAGAAGAAGGAATCACCCTATTGAAGTGGCCAGCCCAAAGCCCCGACCTGAATCCAATAGAAAATGTTTGGAAGATAATTGGAGAAAGGACTCAGAAAAGAAACCCGAAAAACCAGGATCACCTATGGGAGTTATTGAAAGATGAATGGGAGAGAATTACTGCTGATTTTTGCAAGAAATTAATTAGATCATGTGGTCGACGATGCAGAGAAGTCATTGAAAATAAGGGGATGTTTACCAAATATTAAATTTTGTTGATATTTTGTTCACAATCAAGTATTAACAAGATTGTTCCTTAACTTTTGTCCAGTAGCTTATTTCCTTTGTTCCATTTAATCTTTATTTAAAAAAAAACTATTATGTAAATTTTTGTAACTTTCCATAATCTTTATGCATTACACCCTAATCTTTATTCAGGAAAAATTTCATTGCTAATCATGCATTACTTTTTAAGTAATACACATATTTATGTCTTTGTTGTTTCCGTTCCTTATATTATGGTTGCTACTGTAATCAATGATTTTTAAGAATTTGTATATATGAGAGTAAGGAATTAAAATTAAATTCCCTATCCATATTTTGAAAATGAAGTGAGTGACAGTCTTTGATTAGAAAGGATAACATTAATGTAGAAGCTTTGATGTTGTGTCCAGAAGTTCTGCTCAAGTATTATGACATAAGCATATAAATCAAACATCACAGATAGCCAGACATTCTGGTATTGACGTCTCCTTAGCTTTACATACACCAAACAATAATCAGAAGAGTCAGGGCTCAATTGTAACAATTATTTCAATATGCGGCAGGGTCATTCAATTTAGTTTTGGTGGGGAGTTAGAGCTTAGCTCATTTCCATCGATTTTTCTCATATTTATAAACTAAAATAACTTTTATTTGGTTTGCCTTTTGTTCAACACTTCACTTCATCTGAGACTTGTTAAAAAGTTACAAAATTTGCGTTGTGATTGTTTTTTTTCCTTTATTTTTGGATTACAACTACCAGTAACTAGTAGATGGTGGTTTAACTGGTATTTAAATTAAATATTGTCTTTTAAGGACTTTAGGCAACTGAAAAATTTTAACCCCCTTTAGAGAGTCTCAAAGATTTTCAGGAAACCAAGAATGAAAGGGAGGGCCTCATTCTTGTTGCCAACACATGTTGCCTCATCATGACTTGCTTTTTTAGGCAATAGCAGTAACCACAGTTGTTTTTGTTTTTTTAGATCAGTGGTTTCAGTAAGAAAAACTCTACATGAGAAAACATAAAAGTACATTGTGTGTGTGTGTGTGTATGCATATATATATATATATACACACACACACACACACACCTATGTATTAGACTAAGAGTGGGTATTTGAATGACAAAATGGAAAATACAGTGTTACATGTTTCATCCTTCAAAAAACCTTTTCGGATGAATATGGAGTCATATGTCCAGAGGATGGGGGGACAAAATACAACAAACACCAGTTACAATTCTACATCAAGAAAGACTGAAGACTCAGGGATGCTTAAACTGATAAAGCATCACTCTATTTTCAGCATTTGATGCATTTTGTTCACCACATGTACAAAATTGGTTTGAAGTCCTTTTGTAGGACAAAACGCATCACACTTGAGCACCATATTGTCAGCTATGATGCTAGTAATGCTATACTGAATAACCAAAAAAGTACATAAAAATAATTACCAAAAAACAAATGACAGATTTCTGTTGCAGTTAATGGATTAAGACACTCCAATTTTAATCTTCTTTAAGGAATATTATTTGAATGCCTGAAATATAGAAACACTCTCAAAAGCCCTATCTTTCAAAATTGCTTAACAATGCACCTGAGAGTACATCAAACCCACTTCCCTACCAATAATAAGAAATAAAAATGATGAAATAACAAAAAGTAAGCATACTATTTCTCAAATCAGTTGTAAGTATATGGCGTGCCGCAATCAAAAGCTCTTTTCTAAGATGAGCAACTTCTGGGGGACAAAGTGTGAATAATCCCAGAAGGCCTTGTACCAGCTGTTGAGAATTGTGGGAAACCAGATCCTGAAAATATAAGAGGGAATAAAAAAAAAATCAATGCCTGCACAAGAAAAAAAAAAATATTAATTTAATCTAATAAATAAAAATAATTTCAACAGTTTTATTAAATTAAAAAAATTAATTTTAAATAAAAAAAAAAAAAAAAAAAAAAAAATTTTTTAAACAGCTTGCAAACAAAGGGGAATATAAAAATATGTTCAATTTGTTGCTAAATCAACTGAGAAGATGAAATTAATTTCTAAATCCATTTAAATATTTAAAATAAAAAGATGTGAACACTCACCTGGTAAGATTTGATGATGTATGCAAGAAAAGACAGAGTTTTAATTTGGGCTCCAATGAAATCAACAAATACCTCTTTGTTGAAGGAAGGATTGTTACTAAAATAATTAAACAATGATTCATTTAAACTCCTATACTTTATGCAAGTCAAACACATAATTAACATAAAATTTTTCATTACTAATGACAACACTAAACCAAATCTGAGAAATGTAAATTCTTCTTGTATTCAAAAGATTATGTTTGAACTGAAAAAATATGAAGCACAACTAACAAAATATAGAACAAACATATTCCAGATAAAAAACAAAACTATTATTAAAAAAAATAAAATAAATAAATAAGTCTTGGAAATTGGATACTGTCTTTGCAAAAACCAATTCAAGTATATCAAGATATTTAGCTTAGCTATAAATCAAATTATTTCAGATAACTTGGTTTAGTACAAGGTCAAAAGGTAATTATACAAGCAATTTGAATTCTTAAAACAAAGGAACCTTGTAAGCAAATCAGAAAAAAAATGTCTAATTCTGTTCCAAGTTAGGTAAAAATGCACAAAAACAACGTCCAACATTTACAGGTAAAAGTTGAAAAATGTTAAAAAAAATAAAAAATAAAAAAATAAAAAAAAAACTCAATATGACGTACCACAAATTTTGTTTTAATAAAGCACAATTTATTCTAAATTTGGTGGGTTAATAGCATAGCGAATGAATATTGGCTAAAAACCCCAAAGAAAAAAAAATCATAGCAACTTACCGTAGATGACTTGGTGGCTGAAGGGTGATTGTATTCATAATGAGGGGGATAAGTTCAGAAACATCATGATCAACATTGGGTTTGTAAATCTGATACATGAGGACAACTATGATGGGTAACTCTGCCAAAACTTTGAGTGAGAGCACTGCACGGGGAATAATGTTGTACTAAAAAAAAGGAAAAAAAATGAAAAATTATAAACATCAAGTCTGCTTAGTCTACAGATGATGCAAAAATTTTGAGAGAGAATCTACCTTTTTAATGTAATATTTTATAAAAGGCTTATTTTAGGCTTTAAATATTTGCTTAAAATTTATTGTTTCATTAAAAATGAATGACAAGGTACTTCTGTTAAGTTTTGTTACTGCTTTTTTTTCTTGTGTGCAAACAAGATATCTTTTTTTCTTTTTTTTTTAAATACAATGTTGAAATAATCCAAATGATTATTCACCCCAAGTACTTTTGGCCAATTAGCCATTTTCAAAGATTTGGGTTGTGCTATTGCAAATGGTGTGCAAGGTGCTGACAGGTAGTCATTTTTAATTCCTGAACACAACCTCTATTTTATAACCATATTCATAGTCAATGCTAATGGCTGAGTTTTATTTATATTGAGGGCATGTATTTTATTTGTGTTGTTGACAAGTATGTCGCATATCTAAGTCAGCAAGTTTTCATGCTTTAGTTTAAGTGAACCTTTATAGATCTATGATCCAAGAGACAGACAATTTCAACACGCACTAAATTCAAAAAAGAAGTCTTGTATGAACACACACACAAAAAAATTAACAGAATTTATTTTTTAATGAAATATAAATTATACACAATAATACATAACTATTAAAGTTTATTATATACTAATATACAGTAGAACAAAAATAAACATTTTCAGATGTTACCATTTAAAAACCAATTTCTGTTTAGCCAATCTTTTAGTTTAGCTGAATGCATGGTACAGCTCTGTGTATGTAAAAACTTAAAAAAAAAAAAACACCCTCCAAAATGATATGGTTAAATAAGCCATTTTCATGAAGGAGACATTTGGCATTCATTAACCAAACATTATTCCTGTTAGTTGAAATTTATAAAATCATTTCTTTGAAATTAAACTTCAGGTCACTCTTTCTAGTACTAATGGAGTTTCATTCAAAATCTTTTGTTTTTGATAGTGTGGAAATTTAACATTTTGATTATATCATCATCTCTTCTAATTACATGTGCCATCCATTTTTATTGTTGCTGCTGCTGTTGGAAGCATTCAAGCAATGTGGTTTTTGTTATTTGACAAAGGACTTTGCAATTCTGTAGTACCAATCTATATATAGGGTATGATGGAGGATCATCTGCTTTAAGACAATCGAGAAAAATAAATGCTCTTCATTGAATGAGTGTGACATTTTATTGCTGGTATAAAATTGGTTCTACCAATGCAGTAGAAAAACAGAATTCAAATTGCCTATAATGGTAAGAGGAGAATTAACACTAAAAATATACCTACTAAATCATTTGGAATGGATGATGAAATATCCTATAAGAAATTTCTTTCTGTATAACATTGATTCATTTTATATGGCATCAACCCTCTGCAGGTTATTTAATGCCAAATAAATTTTTTTAGATTATAATAATGTTTTTTTTGGAGATAATAATGGTTTAGTAATACAAGTCTTACTAATTAACCCATAGCTGGGAGGAGAAGAGGTGGATTCATACATTTCCCAAGGAATAAAAAAAAAAAAAAAAAAAAAATCACACACAAATCAAACATTTCTCTTAGGCAAATTTGAGCCAACTGTACACCTTGGATAAAAGCTAATCAAGAGTCTGCTCACTCGGTTGATTTATTCATTTTCTACTGCTTGCAGGTTATTTAAAGCCAGAAAATATTTTTGTACATGGTAATGGTTTAATGATACAAGTCTTACCCAAAGCTGGGGAGAGAAGAGGTGGATTTATACCTTTCCCAAGGGTATTTGTGCATAATTAACCCAACTGAAATTAGAACTAGGCTCTCCAATTAACAATTCTGTGCCATTATCTCTTACAGCACTTGCTATTTCCAAGTGGTCAGCCATCTAGGTACTGACCAAGTTTAATGTTGCTTAACTTCGGTGATCATATGGGATGTTTCAACATGATATTGCCATAAGCCTCTGTATAACAAAATATTTCAGTTATGTCATTAAAGTATACATTCAGTGGATGTTGATGAAAAATATTAATAGGCACCATTTATAAATAAACTGCACCCATTACCAGTTGAAAATACCACTGAATCTGAATGTCCTTTATCAAAGATTGAGCTTAAAAATCATTCTAGATGCACACCAACCAACCAAAGAGTCTTCCTCTTTGAAATTACAAATACAACAAAACTTGCAATTGTGTTCCAAAAAATTGAATCAGTTGGCTTTTATACAAACGAGCTCTAGGCAAAAGAAAAATAATATTTATTATTCTACATCATCAGCCACTAAAGCAAGGAATTCAAAAGTTTGTTTTTTTTTGTTTTAACTATCTTATTATTCAAACTTGGTTTACAAAAATATATTATATAGAAGTTTATGCTATACTAATCACGGGATCAACACATGCTATGAAGGCCTTCTTAAGCCTAGCATAGAAATAAATATCACATGGCAAACATTAATAAATATAAATGACAGTAAGGCTTCAACAGCAGTAATAAAAGAGAAAAGTTAGTGAAGGTAGTCAAGCATGATAGCAGCAAGCAAACAGTCAAAAAGATTTTTGCTTACAAGCAAAATCTAGATTCAGGATTGTCTCACAATGGACTAAGACATTAGTTAAATGTTAAGTGAATTGAAGTGTTGGTTCATGAATTTGGTAGCATAAAAATTACAAATTTAATCTTTATGTAGTACTATTAATTAGAATAAAATTGGACTGGGTGAAAACGGAGTAAACAATAACAGAGCAATGCTGCTTAAAAAAAATTAAAAACGAAAAAAAAAAAGACAAGAATGATCTATGCCTCTAGATTAAATAAGGGTTCAGCTAAAAATTCCCTCATGATTACCCTGATCAAGAAACACCTGAATAAGATCAAAAGGCACAACAGTCAATAAACTGTAATAATAACAAAGACATTTGAGTGAATGTAAATTATACATCTAATAATCAAGGAAAATTAACAAGTAGAAATGATGTCTTCAACAAATGTCATTTCTTTTCAGTTTCAACTTACCGATACACTTTGATTATCAGCATTTTTTTTGTCTGTAATGATGGTGGTGATGGTGAAAATTTCTTGTAAATAAACATCCACATTTACTTCCGTGATATCTTTAACTTTGATTTGTTGCCTGAGTTCAAATATCTTATGTAAATAATTTGGAAGATTTGCATATATATTTTTTACAAATTGAAGAAATCCTTGGATCTGGAGAGAAAAAAAAAGAAAAACATTCAATTAACTCACTAAAATTGTCAGCCTCCTCAGAATTAACTAAATATTTTTCTTTTATTTTTTTTTACCATTGTTCATTTGGTGCAAGGCCTAATTGGATATAGGAAGGGAACACAAGTTACATATTATGGAGACATGCAGGATAGATAATGGATGCCTATCGACTTAAAGAGGTTAAGATTAGTGATCAGCATCTTTTTGGGAGTATTTCATATTGTAGCAGTTTTGCGGAAGAACTTCCTACATACCAATGGAATATGAAAGGAATGAGGATGAGTCAACACAGTGTATGAGACATGGCAGTTCCTAGCTGTGAATGTTAGGATTAGCGGAACCAAGAAATGTAGTTTGCCCAAACATCTTCCATGAAAATAGCAATAGAAAAATGCTAGCAATGTTTTGTCTATGGGAGAGGGTTGAAGGGTGGAAACCAATTTCATCACCCACAAGGCCACAGAAACACTTTCAAACTCAATTGAGGCTGTAAAGTGAGTATTGGGCAGCTTCATCAATAATGCAGAGATGCTTCAACATGTCATGGAGCTCTGCAAAACCATTTGACACTGTGAGAGTATTTGAAAGGGTCTGTCAGTCAATGATCTGATGGATGCATGCATGCGTAGAAATTTATGAGTTGATATGTTAAGGTACAACAATGGCCTTTTGGACATTTTACCTTGTTTTGGTGTGAAGAATCTGCCCACAAAGTTTGTAAAGTATTTCTTGATACACCCTCTATATATGGATTTAATAGGTCAGTTAATCAAATCTGAGGAAATCAAAAAGTAACAAAATGATAATATTGGCAATAAGATTGATTTGTTTTTTATATATTTATAATAATGCTTTAAAAAATAGTGGATATAAATGCCCAATATTAAATACAGAAAAGATAATATTAATAATCAGAAAAAAAAAATAGAAACAGAAAAATCATTGGTACACCCCCATTTAACAAAATGTTTAGCTGTAAGTTAGGGCAAAAGTTTCTTGCTTTGACTGATAAACATTTTTTGAGTAATAATCCTCTAAGCAAGATTTTCAACAAAAATACACTAGAATTAAGTTATAGTTGTACTAGTAATCTATAAGAAATTATAAAAAAAACAATTTTAAATAAACAGCTAAACCTAAATAAAAATAGTAAAACAGAAATCAATAATTTTGATAAATTATGTAACTGTAGAAATCCCATGAAGTGTCATCTGGAAAATAAATGTCCTAATGAATCTAGTGTTTATCAATGCACTATTTCATCTACTGAAAACCCAGATGTTAAGAAATTTTATATTGGAAACACAAAAAACTCTTAAATTAAAATGGTACTATCATATTATATATCCATTATTTTATTATACATAATGGTACATGTAATATTGATTTAATTCCTTGATTTTTTTAATTTTAATATTGCCATGTATGTAAGGCCCATTGATTAAAATAAGTATTGTATTTTAGGTTTAAAGTCATAAAAATGATTTAATCATACCAGAGGCCCCTTTAAGATAGTTCTAAAGTATATATAAAAATAATTAAAAAAAATTAATCTATTATTAGAGATATACATATCACTCAGATTATTTCTTTGTAACTTAAATGTATATTCTTAACCGGAAGCATGGTGTCACATCTTAATATGATAGTTCCCCAAGATATGTATGAATACCCTCCACCACAACATCTAACCTATATTTTTTTAACTACTTTAGCTTTGACCTGTCTTTTGATTAGTCAAAAGAGACACACACATAAGGTTTTAAAATCTGGATCCCCACCTCCTTAACTCTTTAATAAGCAAACGTATTGTTTTCTGTTTTCAAAAGTAAATCATTTTTATCAAAAGTTACTGAACATTGCCTGATGACAGGATAAAAAATTTAAAGTCCCAAAACTTAGAAATTTCCATGTTGCAATGTAAAATATTTTTAAACAATATATATATATATATATATATATATATATATATATATATATATATATATCAATCTTATTGCCAATATTGTTATCATTGTCTTTTTATTCCACCAATTTCATTAACAGCTTTATTAAATCTACATACAAGAAGCACACATGGGCCATCTTTAGCTTATAAAAATTTAGACAAGCAGATATATCTATTTGTTATCATATATAGATGTGCCTGTTCTCCTGGTTTAAGCAAAACCTTTGGCTTTATTTGTATTTTCTTTGTCATTTGGCTGTTCTACTTGAATTATGCGAAAACTAACAACACTTATCACTGCTAAATTTTTTCAGCAGTTCAAGTCTTCAAATATACAATCTAATCAATAGAAAGAAAATCTATATCCCTTTTTTAATATAAAAAAACACTTATTTTTGTCTGGATTAAAAAATTTCAATTTTATTCAGGTCATAGCAGGTCAATAAATGCACACCACAAACTGCCTTAATTTTTAAATTTGGTTATAATCCAACATTAATGCAAAAATTACATTACTCCTTTATAGAACACACAAAAAATTAAAAACAAAAAAAATTAATATATTTAAGTAGGTACTTCCATAATGTGTTTGTACAACGACCAAATGCACCTCTTTTTATAAAGAAAAATTGTTGAGAACAGTAAATGATATATTAAATTAATTAAAAAAATGATCAAAAATAAAACAAATTAATAAAGGATAAAGCATAATAAAAAAAAGAACAAACAAGAAGAATAAAAACAATCAAAAATCAGCCCTGAATTGTAAAATACAAAAGCCAAAACTGAAACATTAGAAAAGATTTTAATTGCTTTTATGAATATTATATGTTAAGATTAAGGATAATATTATTTGAAGCCAAAAGATTCTCCAATATAAAATGAATTTTTACAAGTAATGTTTGCTTTTTTTGTTTTTTTTACAATAATTTATAAAGTTGTTAAATCTTAAAATTCAGTTTCAATGTCCTGCTATTAAATAAAAATATGTTTACTCATCATAAATCTAAAAGCTTATTATATATACAAACAACCAGTATTTAAAAAAGAATTTTATATTATTTCTGGATAAACATGTCATTATATATATATATATATATATATATATATATATACACACACACACACACACACACACACACACATATACATACACACACTTTACCAGTTTGTGACTGGAAAGGATAATTCCAAGGAAGATATACATCCAGAGAGAGCTCAATGTAGACTACAGAGCATTATAATAAGAAAAACACAGAGACTTTAGTTATCCATTTTGTTTATAATTTTTTATTTCATAAACACTGAGATGTTCAACTCATCAGAACGAATCTACATATCCACACGAGTGTACTCCCATATGTGCTACTGTCTTTAACAAACCACCCCAAATCCATGCAGTAAGCATTTTTAGGGGATTTTAAGTTTCTCTTTATGCTTACATTTGAAGATAAACTCGTTTTGTTGGTTTAATAACTGGTTAGCATTTGTGTACTTGATTATTGCGATTTTTTCCTGTATACACAGATCGCATCTGTCCCGGAAGTTGTTGGGGGTTCTGGACCGATAGATGATTTCCCATTTGATCATTGGGGTGAGCTTATTATCCTTAATTTTCCAATAATGTTTGGAGAGAGCGGCTTGGTTTCTCAGGTTAATATTTGAGAAGGAATGTCAGTGGGTGTATAGCCTTTGTTTCCAACTTCTGGCAGATATTCCTATGTATGTCTTTATGTCCTTAGTGTTCTCTCTCAGGAAAATGGTAACCTGGTATACCACATTTTCTGAATTATAGGTGCCTTTGGACATGTATGTGTATGTGCGTACATGATAATAAATATTACACGACCTGGTTACTTTTTGCAAACTTCTACACATATGGTGGGACATAAGACTGTCTTGCTGACGTACACCTTACCCATGTTTACAAACTAACATTTTATGACATTTCCATAATCCATAGTTTTTTCCTTAAGTTTGCTATTTGTTTTTGAATGTCTATTCACCGATTGTATCTGACAATATTATAGTGATTTCTAATTCTAATTATTATTTGTACTAAGGACTACTTCATAATAATCAACCCACTGTATAAACCTATTTACATAGTTCCAAAAGTTAAGAAATATCTAGACTAAAGCTACCACTACTCCACCTTTTCCTTCTCACCCTCTTTTTCCCCTGGCCTTCCACTTCTTCTATATACCCACTCATGTTCCTCTCAACTCAATGTCTTCACTGACTATCAGACTTTGGCCTAAAAACAAATGCTTAAGTATTACTATATTAATACCGAATTTTATTTAGATCAAGATCCCTTTAATTAAATTAATTTGAATTGACCTGATTTATCCTGCATAAAAACAGCAAACAGTATAGGCCAAAGTAACATACAAACCAATATTAAAATCTAAAAATGTAAATTCTTGATTGAGGAAACTGGCTACTACCAACCACTAATCTCCCAGTCCAATCTTCACCCAACCCCTCTCTCACCTTCCTTCTCCATTACCAATCTAAAGTATCCATCCAGCGTACTTTTTCCATTTGTGGTGAAGTTTTCATTCTGATGAGCTGAACAAAATAAAAATTATAAACGAAATGGATAATTAAAGTCTGTCTCCTTATTATCATATATATATATATATATATATATATATATATGTCCATATATATATATATATGGATGTCCATACATGACATTAAAAAGTCACATGTTTTTAAAGTTGTTCCAAATTTCCTAACTGACATATAAAAATTAATAAATACCATAAAATTTCATATGTACATAAAAATTATAGATACCTCTCTTATTTATGAAATTTCATGTTATATTAATTTTTATATTATCTTAATTCTGAAAGTTTAATTTTGTTACATAGTATTTTAAATTTTATTATTATTTTCTCAGAAAGCATCTTCAAATGTAAAGTTTGAAAGCTAAAGTGGATAATAATTAATAAAATATTAGATTGCTTAAAATATTTGTTAATTTGTAAATATTACTGGGTAGTTAAATAAGTTCACTTAAAATTTGTCACTTCTGCTCATCCATCCAATGAATTCTCCTGACCTCATCTGTCAATACCATCAATCAACTCCCAGTAAACATGTTTTTCTTATTTTCTACTACATTTTTTCTGCTAAAAAAGTAAGTACAGTTTGTTTCAAATTAGATTAAGTAAACTTTAAATTTTCTAATTTTAATCAAATAACCTTTTAAAAATAGCTTATTTTTATTTTTACAAGATTTTTAAAAAACAGAATTTAATTTTTGTTTAAAGTTTATTCCAATCAATATAAATTTTTGTTTAAAGTTTATTCCAATCAATATAAATAACTCTGAAATATCCAAGTGCTAAAAAGGTAAAGGTTCATTGTATGGGATGAATGTACCATGTTAAACAGGGTAGCTCTGGAAACATTGGACCAAAGCATGAAAGATGTTAGAGATTGTCATTCGCCTATGGGAGGTATAAAACTCCTGCTATCTGGAAACTTTAGACAAACACTGTCTGTCATACCAAAAGGGAGCAGAGCTGATGAAGTCAGAGCATGTCTCAAATCTCTTTGTGACAACATATTTGAACATTGACTGAACAACATGAGAGCACAATTATTTGGAGATCAGCTGTCAGATCAGTTTTCCTGCAACATTTTTAGACTTGGCAATGGCAAAATACCTTTAAATGCCAATGGAGAGTGACTATTAGTCCAGCTTACAATGTTGTCAGTAATGCTGATGAGCTTATGGCCAAGATTTTCCCAAACCTTCAACATAATTACAAAAAACACAATTTTTTATGTGACAGAGCAACACTAGCTCCAAAGAACAAAGCAGTTGACAGAATCAATGACAAACTGTAGCAGTCCCTCTTGGAAACATATCTACAGGTCAGTGGATACCATTCCAGATCAGGTGGTCAATTATTCAACAGAATTTCTGAATTCTATAGAACCTCTCAGATTACCTTCACATAAACTGGAAATCAAGACTTTGTAATGGCACCAGACTGGTGGTTAAGAAGTTGATGCCACGTGTAATTCAGGCATCTGTTCTTACTGGGCATGGAAAAGATGAAGATGTCCTTATTCACAGGATTCCCCTTATTCCATCAGAGTAGGATATTCCATTCACATTTAGGAAACTTCAGTTTCCAATACAAGTTTTGCTATGTCTATTAACAAAGCACAAGGCCAGACTATCAGTTACTGGACTACAGTTAGAAGAATCCTGTTTCTCCCATGGGCAGCTGTATGTTGGTTGTTCACATGTGGGAAGACAAAGAATATTGTCTACCAAGAAGTATTCTAATGTAAAAACTGTTTAAAAGATAGTTTTGTGTTTGAATAAATAAATTTGAAGTTATATTGCTATAGATTTATTTTTAACTTTTTAAATCCCGGCCAATGCCGAGTAGCTCTGCTAGTATATATTAAAGACAATATTGACTGAAGAAAAAAAAATTTTCTTAAACAAAAAATGAATTTTTACAGGATTTGTTTTTAGGTTTTTACAATTTTAAATTGAATAATTTATAAAGTTTTTAAATCTTTCAAGATTAATCTTCAATTTTTAGGAAATATTGTTATTAAGTAAAATTATGTTTACTAATCATATATTGTAAAGCTTATTACAATCTGACGACCCCAAATACTTTTAAAAGAATTTCAATTGGTCTTCGTATGTGTGATTATGTGCAGAATTTCTGAAGTACAAATGTACAAACTGATAAATCTAACATTAAAAAGTCACATGTTTTAAGGATCCCCCACTACTCATGGTGAAAAAGAAAAACTTTATCACCTGCTCCACCATACTTAACTATGAATACATTTGGCTGTCGATTAATTGTCAATAAATCATTTAACATGTCAGAAAAAGATCCTGTAGTTAAAGAATGTTTGTATACAACATTCAATGCTATATATAATTATTATGCAATATTTGTTTCAAATCAGATTAATTTAACTTTAAATTTGCTAATTTTTCTCAAATAATGTTTCAGAAATATATATATTTTTGCAAGATGTTTAAAATCAAGAATTAACTTTTGTTTACAAAATAGAAAGCTTTTTCATTTTTAAAAATTCATTTTAAACTTTATTTATTCCAAATTAGTTATCACAGTATTTTAATTACATAGAATCATTCTTAATTGCAACGGGAAATCATAATCTAAGATTATCTAGGAATGGACACAAATGTACACAAGTTTCTAATTTTAAACCCCAATTATTTCCATCTGAAATAACTTGATTCCATAATTAAATAGAATAAAAAAATTCATTATAATATTACAAGTTTATGGCTTATTGGAAGACCATGTATACACTGTCAAGAAGAGAAAGTTGAATTGCATGGCCATGTCATAAGAGGCAACAATCTTTACACTACCATCTTATGGAGTGCCACCTTAGGCAAAAGTAGACAAAAGAAAAAATGGGTTGACAATGTCACTGAGTGAACTGGAAGTCCATTCAGAGACTCAGATATTGGCACGAAACTGGGATACATGGAGAGAATCAGTCAGGTGCTCAGCTGCCCAGTGAGCCAATGGCCACACCCAATCAGGGGAAGCCACATATATCTGGTTGTTAAACATAAGATTAATGTCCATCATTAGATCTGTCCTGCACATCTATTGACTTTAATTTTTATATTTTTGATGCAATTTTTTTTTGTTGCTTGAATGTAACAAAATTTAATTTCTCAAAGCCACAATGAAGAGTGACTTACTTCCTCATTCATTTGGGGTCTGTATTGACGATGAAGCTCCATGATGATTCGTAGACACACCAGCACATTTTCTTCATTCTCCACCTGGACAAGACAAAAACATGTCAAATATTTGATGAGAAAAGATCAAAACTGTAGAAGAATATATTACTATAAGAAAAAAAATAATGGTCAACTTGCAAGTAAAATATAATGGTTTCACAAGAAAATGACTATGTTAAAAAAGCCTTATAAAATTTATAACATTTTATAACCATCAAGGAACAGGTGCTATTAAAGCATTTGTAGAAATTATAGTTGAAACTCAAATTAATGGATTCATTCTTTTTAGAATATTAGCCAAAAGTATTCAACATTTTTCATTTTAATTCAACCTTATTTTTTTTTTTTAATAAAATAAAACAGAAAATTTTTTTAAAAAGTTACCTTTAAAAGTTTGAACATCAAGGGAAGGATTTGAGGAATATATTTTTTTAGATGTTCATTGCAGGGTATTCTGTGTATAATCTCAAGTAGCAGTTTTCGCAGTTGCTACAAGAAAAAAAATACGATACAAGCACTTTTATATTCATGATTTTTTCTTTTAAATAAGAAAATATTTAGGCATAAAAAATCACAAATTGATGCCATTCAGATGCTAAAAAAAAAAAAAAGATCCATTTTTAACTATATTTTTAGCATTAAAATAATTGACCTATGATTTTTTGCCTCAAAATAAAGAAATCTGGACATTGATTTATTATTCATAAGGAAATCATTTTTAACCTGTCATTGTTGGAGACAAAAAATAACTCAGATCACAAGCAGCTCTGTGCTTTCATTATGCTTCTAGATCTGGGGTCCAACACATGATAAAAAAAGATATTAAAATAAACCATTATTATAAGCTAATCAAAGATACTTTTTTTTTTTTTAATTTCAGTCAACTTTCACTCAGCTCCAAATGTGATTAATCCTTGACATCAACAATATCAAATTCTGGATCTGCAATGCTATTTTTAAAAGGAAGCAGAAATTAAATTTATGCAACCTATAAAAGTTTTTTTTTTTTAAGTGGACAACAATTTAGAAAATATAAATTGGCAAAACCTGAAAAGTTACAAGAAAACATTAATCTTCTCAACACTATAAAACATTAGAAAAATAGAAAAAACCCATCAGAAACAAATTAAAATAGATTGAAATAAACCAGGTATTGCTATGAAATTTCTAAAAGGGCTGAAAATTATTTTAAACCTTCTAAATGTCTTTGAACTGAAATTTCAGTTCTATTTGAAAGATAATGGCTAAAAACTTATCCAAATTAAAAGAAAAATTAATTTCCATACATAAATAAATTTTTATGCATTTTTAAAGCATTGGCACATTTTTTCATTACTCCTCGAACCGCTATTTTATATGAAAAATAAACAAATTTAAAATTCTCTTTAAAATTCAATATTTGTCCTAGAGACATGTTTCAAAATCTATTAGCAAATTTAAGAACTAACTAATGTTTACCTTTTACTTAAAGCAAAGTGAAAATAATGTTTTCTTTATGCATGGTAGCCTGTGGGATCAAAGGACAAAATAGAAACTGTAATTCTACCCATGTCCCAAAAAGTATGCAAAAAAATTAAAAAAAAATGTAACTCAAACTTTAGTTTTATGCCTATAAATAGAAAAAAAATTTTTCAAAACAATATTTTCAGAAATTGACTTCAAAATGAAAGTAGCGCTAAAAAAAAAAGTTTACTTGAGGAAATATTAAACAGAGAAAAGATTATTTTTCTTCTTCTCCAGATTCCAACTTTTCCATACCTGCATATTCTGTTCTGCAATGAAATGAGGTTCTCCCTCATCAAGAATCTTGAGAAAGACTCGCAGTGCATCCTGCAGAAACTGTGGGTATTGAGGAGAAATGACAATGCTCTGAAATAAAGAGGAAAATAGTTTGGGCAGGATTCATTTTTCATCAATATATATGAATACACAATATATATATATATATATATATATATAAAAAAAAAAAAAAGAAGAGAGAGAGAGAGTCATTAATCATCTATATTTCACAAAGTTAAAATAGATCAGGCTAAAGTGGCTACAACATTTATTTTTTGTGGAAAATAAACTTATTTTCTCAGTTTTCTCATTCAATCTTGTGAAGTCTGTGAAAATGTTTGTAAAATGGATATTTGGGTAGCTCCAGACATTTTGCTCACAGATTCAATTTAGCTCCGTAAATTTGTATCTCATCCAATGAATACTATTCAGTGTTCATACAATACACACAGAACACTCTTCAGGTTTATCGTTCATCATCTTTATGTGCTGTGTCCACTCAGGACATAGGTGATCATGGCTCTCCACAACTTCCTGTCCATTGTAGCTCTTAATAAACTGTCTTTCTTATTTCTCCCAAGCCCTGTTCTGCCATCCATTTACTCAAGCTCACTATGTATGTTATGCATTGTTTTCCTGTCCCCCTTGCTTTCTATCTGTTCCAGGAGTATCAGATTTTCCAAGCCCTCCTTCCTCATGATGTGCCCCAGAAACCTCAACTGTCTCTTCCTGATGTTAAGTATTAGTTTCTTTTTACTTCCATTTTCTCCAAAACCTTGTCGTTGCTCACATATTCAGTCCATGACATCCTCAGCATCCTTCTGTAAAACCACATTTCTGTTGCTTCAACTCTCTTCTTCATCTTTGAGAAGACTTTCCAGCACTCACTGCCATACAGGAGGACAGATATCACATAGCAGTTTAGTACTCTTTTCATGGTTTCTAGTGAAATAAATAACTGGATACAATTTATTACAAAATGGAAAAACATTTTTGTGTGACAAGTTTTATCCTTTAAGACTTCAGAGTAAAATGATGTTTACATTGATGTAAACTACATATATGCATGAAGGAGAGGAGACACTGAAATTTTAAGCATTTTTTTCATGTTTGGGTACATACTCTAATAATTTCATATTACTTTTCCTAGCACTGCTTTAGTACATAAAATTTTATATATTATTTACATTTATCAAGAATAATGCCACCCTTTGAAATAAGTCATTGAGAAAGTCTTATAAATCATATTGAAGACAGACTTTCTTACTCCCTTCATCCCAACAGAAAATTTACAGCTGTCAAAATTAAAGGATTTCCTTCACTTGTGACCAGTTTACAAGCCAGTTTTAATGAAAGATTTTCATCTTCAGAAATTCATTTTACCTAAATGCCAAAAAATAAATGGAAAATACAAAGAACTGAAAAAATGACCAAAAACAAAGAAGCAACAACAAAGTTTTAGAGACAACGAAAACAAAAGACATTTATAATTAATATCAGGAAGAGACAGTTGATTTCTAGGACATATAATCAGGAAAGAGGGCTTGGAAAATTTAATACTCAGATTGAAGGCAAGAGGAACAGAGAAAAACATTGCATAACCTACCTGATGAGCTTCAATGAATGGATGGTGGAACAGGGTTTGGGAGAGAGAGCCAAAAAACAAAATTTATTAATAGCTACAAAGAAGCAGAAATCATGGAGAGCCAAATCACCAACATCCTGAAAGGACACAGCACATAGAAGATTAAAGTGAAATTATCTCCACAAACAAAAATCTAGTTGAAAATTCTTAATCTATTGCAAAAAAGCAATTTGTTTTTTTGACATGAAATATTATTTTAATTCATCTGTCCAGGTAATTATGGAAGACCACTGCTCAGGCAGTTGATTTAAAAGACAATTTGGTCACAAGATAACATTAAAGAAAAAAAAATCCAACCATTTAATAAATTACAATATTTTGATTACCAGAGTTGACTGAATAAAAAAGCACTCACCTCAAAGTTTTCACTTAGTTCCTGGGCAGCTTTTAGCTTTTTCTCAACAACTAAATGAAAAAGAAAATTAATAGAAAAGATATGAATTTATAATTTTTTAACCTCCACCTTAAAGGCAAATAAATTCAATGTATTTTTTCTTTCATCTTATTTTTATTGCTTCACATTTTCAACTTAAATATAGAACACAGATCAGAAATAAAAAAAATCCTTCAGAGCCTGTCAAACATGGATAAAGTTTTACTAATTCAAAGAGAGCTATCAATAGATAAAATTCCTCCTAGAAAAACATTCCTGATCAAATTCTTCTTTATCCCATATTGTTTGTTTACACATCATAATAATAGTGCTACAAATATAGGGAAACAAAAATAAGATGAAACTAAAAAAGAAAATAATGAGGCTTCATTGAAGAAATCTGGACAAATTCTATAATAAATATTTTGCTGGGTGTAATTGCTCTGCAATCTTCAATCCTATCTAAAAACACTTCACATTTTACATCTGAAAAAACAGACATTTTTTTTTTAGTTCAACCCATGAAAAGCAGTAAAGCCACTGAGATACAAGGTGTTACTGGATGTGGAAAAGTTAAAAACAGAAACACTAAGGAGTGAGAACAAAAAAAAGTAATCAGGATAGCAACTGACATTGCATTTAAATTTTCGAAGATTAAAGTTAGAAAGCATAGAGCCTCTAGACAAATAGCAGGAACACCAGACTATATGTGGAAGCAATATTCTAAGTATGGATGAATGGTAGACTTATACATAAGTAAAGATAAATTCTGGAGAGACAAATTGCCTAGCACAATAGAGTAAACCAACTTTCTTAGCAGCTGACTTAGTAATGAAATCGATATAGTCTTTCCACTTCATGTCAGCTGAGAACGTTAATCCAAGAAGGCACAACATGCTTTTAAAATTAAGAAGTCTCCAAGCAATGTTATGATCGATTTCTGATATTATTTAATATCCAAAAATATTTTTTAACAACCTTATGCTATTTTCTTGCAGTTAAATCAAAATTTAAAAATATTTAAATTTGTATTGTTGTAATACATTTTAAATTTTCTTTTATTATTTACAGACTAAAGTCCTCATATTTGTTGTTGTTACATTTTTGGCTACTGTGACCTGACAATCCAGATAACCTGCAGGGAATTTCAAATTAAAGCATTTATTCTATGGAAGCAGCTTGTTTTTGCTCTGCTGTCCATGTCTAAGGGTATCTTGTTTGAGACAATAACCTCATGGATTAAAAAAGTAATTAATAAATTCCATGATATATATAAATCTCCTTCACTACTAGATTAAATAAATGGTTCAGTTTGAAATTCCCTGAAGGTTGTACAGATCAACAGACACCTAAGAAAGCCAAAAGGCACAAGAGCTGAAATGTTGTGATAATAACAAAGATGAGGAAATGTAAATAACGATAACTTCTAATATTTTTTTTAGTGAATTACAGTAGAATACTGACCCCACTTCCTATACATAGATTCTAAAAACAATCTCAAACTTACATTTTTATACCATTTATACATACTTTGGTGTTATCTATGAAAAATATGAAAGGATTATCAGATTTACAATTATTGAATATGAACAAAAAAGTTGAATATGTTTTGTGTGATACAAAAGAATAAAAACCGAGTGTGTAAATCATACATATATATATATATATATATATATATATAAAGTATGTGCTGAAAATGTTCAGCCAAATTAAGAAAAGACTAAAAAACAAAAATTCTAATCTGATTTTTCATTAGATTTTAGGAAGTGAATCAGAGAACTTTTCAGCACTTCGTATCAGTGAGAGAAAAAGACACGCAGGCAACAAATCTTTTATATATTCAGAAGGGTTTTACTTTTTCCTTTCTTTTGATGCTTATAGATGGTTTACTTAATATCAAAAGCATTTTGTAAGCTCCCTAAATTTTAAACTAGATTTAAATGCAATTCCCCAACACTACAACCAATGTAATCAAACATAGTCCAAAAAATTAAACAAATATAAAAAGATTATATTTAACTCCATTACTACTGTGGGTTAATTGAACACTTTATAAAATGTTTTTCATGATTAGTCAAGTTGCTTTCTGAATACTTATGCCAAGTAACAAAGAGTTTCTGATTTTAGTCAGTATCTCTGTGAATTACAAACACATGACTGTAAAGTAAGGATCTTGCTCATTCTTTGAAATTTGAAGAAACAGTTATTGACGATAATGATCATAGACTGTTTTAAAAGATCAGGCTTAAAAGAAAATGAAACTTGTTTTTGCATATTTGAATTTTTGAAAATTACGAATTCATTTCTTTATATTGACTTTTTAATTTCATTGATTGTTCAAAATAAAACCCCTTTTTTTCATTGTTTATTCTATACAAAACAGAAATGTTACTCAAGACAATATATAACAAGGAAATTAAGAATTAAATATCTCTACATTTTAAATATGGTATTTGGAAATCCCACAGCACTTCAGCAAATATAACACTTTAATCGCCTCCTACAAGCATATAAACAGTGTCAAAATCAAATTAGCAATATATCATTTCTATTTCCAATAAAAAAAAAAATATATATTATGTAATAGCAATTTATATAACTTAAAAGTTTGTGCTTAATGTACTCAAATAATTTCAGTTGCAAAAATTGCCAGATTTTGAATGATAGCGGTCAGATCTTATCAGCCAAGAAATCATTGTCACCTCAACCAGAGTGTTTTGCAATTCTCAACCTTTTAAGGGAAAACTGAACATAACATTCTCCAGGAGATAACTCATATCTAGTTTACATCATTCCGCTACAAGATCGCTATCTTTAAATTAGAAATTAATTTCTCAACTTAGGAGACTCACTTTACAGTGATGTTAAACATGTTTCTCATTGAAAAAAATAATTATGCAGACATAATTTGATTAGGATTTGGAATTTAGAAGAGAAAAGTAATGTGTCAGTTTATAAAATGAAATGCATGAATACCTAACCCCAAAGTGAAAAAAAGTAAGTTTTTAAATATTTCCTTTTATTTTCCATTGACCCACTTTTTAAAAATTTCTATTCATCTGTGTGTGTGTGTGTATATATATATATATATATATATATATATATATATATTCTCCCATAGAGAACAACAGATGCGAGTTCAGTAAATTCTAAGTTTTTACTCAACAACATGTACAAGTGAATTGATTAAAGTGGTCAATTGCCTGTATCCTGCAATGCATAGTCTCCATCATAGCACCATTTCCTGCACAAGTGTACTATATATCAGATGATGCTACAACCACAGGCTTTTTGAATAGATGTTTCCCTATCTCCTAGCTGCATGCTGGCTATTGGTGCCTATAAGAATATCATCTCCCCTTTGCCATCACTCTCCAGGCTGGTTTGAATTCAGTTTTCCTTCTCGACTGGTTGCCAACCAATGGTATAGGGTCTCAGTCTGTCTTGCTATTTACCAATAGTTGGGTTGGTGGGGTATTGATTCATACCATTCCCAAGGCTATTTGCATTTAAGTTAATGTAATAAACTTAAGTCTGATTTCTCATTTCAAGGTGTTATTCATTATACTACCCATACATCCAAGTTTACAGCATCTGGTATTCCAAGCAGTCACTCATGTAGGTACTGACTAGGCTCAACATTGCTCAACTTCATTGATCGGATGAGGACCCATGTTTTAACATATGGCCATTAGCATCATATAATAACGTACATTATAGAGAACTAAAATTCAAAAATTATGGTTTCCACATTTGATCATGATAAAAGTTGCAGTAAATATTCATAAAAATTTGATTTTTTGCATAAAAAGCAACCAAAGATAAAAAGTTATAAAATAAAAATTGTTTATTGTAAAAAAAAATTAGCAAAATTTGTGAATATGTGTGTAAATGAACAATGCCAGCATAATGTTGATATGGAATATTAATAGATTTGTACAAAGGATTTTAATTACTTCTACACATCTATGACTGCAGGACTTCATTTGAAACAAGGAATGAAAAAGTACTGTGATTGTGGCACTCACTGTGAATGACAGTGTCTCAGATATAGGTAACTTCTTGAAAGTGACCAAAAGAACTGAAGGAACAACAGGTGACTATGCTGACACACAAAGATATGCACCAACTTCAGGTCATCTCTGATGGCCCTGAGGGTTCTGAGCAACAAAGGTCATATGGTACCCAACTTCTTCCCAGTTATTGATTGAATGATTTGTTTTTTTTTTATGCCTTAACCTTTTTTCAGGTTATATAAAGCCAGTAAATATTTTTGAATTGTAAAAATTTGTTTGGAAATAATAATAAAAGTCATATTTAATTCCTAGGTGTCATGAGAAGTAGTGGATTCATACTTTAATCCAGGCTATTTGTACATACACACAGTCAATGTTACTAGCTACATCAAAGTGCTGAACATAGTGGTCAGTCCGAGAACTGAAAAGTAGCTGGACAAGAATTTACACAATCACATCACCCACTAACATGTGGCCTCTCTGCTTTCCCACTCTGAATTGCTTCTTGGTCTACTACATTTGGGACAATGTCGAAAAAAAAAAGAAATAAAGAAAGACCAACTAGAAGCTCCACAATATCAAGGACTCATCAAAGTCTGCCACTGTGAACATGATAGCCAATATAAACAAGAACCACTTGATCTTAAAAACTGCACTGAGGTCATCCTTGAAGTTGAGAGTACTTTTATTAAATAACCATTTTCTGTTTTCCTTAGTTAAACATGCATACAATTTTTATTTTTAACATATGTATTTTTCTATTCAGTTTCTTTATAATTTGTTCTCAATTACCTGGCAGATCATATGAAAGGACACCAAAAATCCTCATGTGCATCTAACTGCATAAGGGTTCTTGGGAAGCGGTGAAACTTTTGTTGAGGTACAAGGATAAACTTAAGCAAAAACCTAAGTTCTATTGACACCCCACTATTATCCTTTTGTGGAAGTCTCTTCTGATTGTGCCACTTGGAGGAGTATGTACATAAAAGAAATTACAACTTTTAAGCAATCACACA